GTTAACTAGATGATTTATCTGATTATATAAAATTACACTCGAGTTGCTTCAATTTGCCATGTCTGATGACATGATAATGCATCAACTAACTAAGTTGATCTCCAAATGTAATTGTATTATAAACGGCTTGTAAATGCTATAAAAATTAGTTGTAATAGTTTCATCAATTATCAAGTTATTTGCATGAAATTGCGTCAATTTCATAGTAACCTGAAAAGGTAAATTTCACTTTGATGTTACATTCAGAAAACATTGTTTCCATTAAACGTTGAATCGACCATCTCGGACCAATTAAAGTCTCGCTTGTTGACATTCAAATAAATTTAGAAAATAGTAAAGTCTGAAGTCTGAACATGATTCAACTGAAATGTTAAGAGTCAATTTAAACAATTTGTACTTTCCAACCAAATCAGTTTAACTCTTTAAGTCTTCAGTCTTCAGATTTATTCAGCTTCTTGTTCAAAATGTAATACAATTTAATATTGTCTTTATAATATTATCTTGAGCTTCTTACTGAAATCTGTGATGCACATTCCTCAACCTTCTGATTAATCTGACCTTTCTAAATTACTCTAAAATATCAATTCACGTCAAACGCAATGATCTCAACGAATCTAATTATTCAAACCGATTAATGAAACTATAATTAGACAAAATGTTGATAAACCCTGATTAAACTAATTTCCGTTGCATTGTTAATTAAGATAGCTTTATTTCAGGTAAATTTTGCTCATGGGATTCTGTTTCATTCTTCATTCGTCAACATTTGAATAGTCGTTAATCTAAATTGCTTATGCTCTAATCTTCCTTTTCCATTCATCATCAAAATCGATTCACTTAAAGTCCATCATTTGCAATAATTGATAGTTAAATACGAAAAGCAAACTCGATCAAATAACCAAAAAGCAACAAAAAAATCATTCTTTTTTAACCCAAATTGAACCCAAACCCAAACCTTTGAAATATGAAGATGAAAGTATCCAAATTTAGGTGAATTCAATAATGTCAATGAATCGAGTTGAAAAGGTAAAAATTAAAACTGATTGTCTCATTAATTATTCATTGACAATAAACTTATTCAATTTTCAATTTTGATAAAGTTGATTGAAGGAATCGATCAATCCTCATCATTCAAGGCTTTCAAAACGAACCCTTTATTGGTTAAATTACGTTGTTGTCTCTCTGGTTTATCATTTATTTCATTCATCCACACTTCCGTTTGAAATTAAAAAATATTAACTGAATGATAATAGTGATTATCATGGAATCATGAAAAATTATTACAACTCTGAAGCCTTGAAAATGGCAAAAATAAAGTGAATGAAGATGATTTGGTAAAGCCAAAAACAATTTCAACATTGATTACCTATTTTTTTGTTTGTTTCAACTTGATTTGCTTCAATGAAAAAGCTTGATAATTAGTTTTCCCAATCACAATGATAATAATAAAATAGATTAATAGCAAAAATTGTTTGCCTCATTGGTGATTTACCGAATGTAAATTCATAGCATTCAGTTAATTTTCACTTTCTAACCTTTCCTTTTCAACATTCAAGGTTGACTTTTTTTGTGGTTCAATTTTTGCACTCCCTGAAAAGTTTCAATAATCATGAGATTTGTTCATTAACCATTCCTTTACCATGAATCCAACAATTTCAACATTTCCACTTATAAACACTTTTAATCTTCATATCAATGAAATCTTTAGCAGACTTTAAATTTATTCAATTACATTTTCCCATCAAATATTCATCTTTTTTCATCATCATTTAGGATATCAAATTGTCTGTTTATTCATCTCATTGTTGTATTCAAATCAAATGAACACTCATTTACTCGGAAAATGTGATAATGAATATGATTAACAATGATTTGCATTGAAACTTACATATTGCTTACACAAATCCAATGGTGAATCAATTTGCGTTTTTTTGCAAATGCATCAGATATTGGTCTAAATACCATTTAATCTCCACTTCAATGGCGTTTTACTGATCAAATGATATTAAATTTGTTAACTTTGCTCATTAATATTCATTTTCAAACAACAATTATTGATGATTGAAGTATGTGTTGATATTTCATGAACATCAGTCACACAATAACGATTACAAACATAATGATGGCAACAATGAAATAAACCGAAAGGTTAATTTTAAGGTTAATGGTTAAAATTATCAGGAAAAAGTTGATTCCAATTCCAATTATTCCAATAAGCATGGAAATTTGAAAAACAGAAACATTAATCGGTATTTCCACCGAGTTTCAATGAAAAAAAGACAATCAAATCAAAAATTGAAATCGATACATTTTCTGGTTAAAATTTTAACCAGAAAATCTCAAAAGTCACCAGAAAAGACGAGCTTCTCAAAATTAAAAAATGTTTCTTTTCATTCACTTCTTTAGTTATCTCTTTCCTTTATTTGAATTGAATTCAGATGATTCATATTGTTCATCACCTGATTGTTACATCGATCATTCAAGTTACTATCGACATTGTTTGTCTTGTTTTCCTATTTTTTAGCAATCCTCTTACCCAGCAATTAACCAATTTGCAATCAAAAGCAAAAAAAATCTTTACATTATCAAAACGTCTGTTCTTTTGTCACTCTTCATGTTCATTTCCCTCCTTTTTCTTCTCTATTCATTTTTTCCCTTGAAACACTTGAAAACTAATAAACCTTGATTTTAATATTTATCATTGATTAATTGTTTGGGTGATTTAAGTTCATATTGAATTGCTTGCTGTTTGGCAAAAAAGGAGGAGAAAAGGACAGTTACACTTTTATAAATCTTGTTATCGTCAATTGAAATGCTATAAATATACGTAGCCATCATCTTGTGTCATCCTTTTGTTTCTTGAATCTCATGTTGACTTGTTTATTCTTTTTCCATATTCAACTTGTACAGAATTGGCCATGTTTTTTTACCCCTTAAACTATCATTTGTTTTAATTTAAACGATTTCCTTTCTTTTCTTATTTAACTTAACGGATTTTTTATTTTTGTAAAAGCCAACTCAAAGTTTAACTCTTCAACATTGTCTTCAACCAATTTTTAACCAGTTTTGCCTTCTGACTAAATCAAGTCTTAACCAGCAAAATCAACAAATCTTAATGCCTCTTGATTTAGATTGACCTTTTCCTTTGTTTAATACTCATCTAGTAAAAAAACCGTCATTTTTTTTCCTTGTCTTTTCAACTTTACTGTTCATCAAACGTTTTTGATCTTTTTGTACAATCCTTTATTCAACGGAAAAAAATCAAATTGATTGATTTTAATAGATTGTCAAGAGTAAGGAAAAATGACGCTTAAGAGCACGCTGTAAGTTAACTTATCATTTCTTCAAATTCACTTTTCTTTCAGTTTTCATCGGTTTTCATTTTCCAATTCAACTTAAATTGTGTTCTATTTGTTTTTTCACCTTTACAACCTTTATTTATAATTTCAATTTTTTGTCATTAATGTTGAACAATCTTTCCAGTTCAACATTAACAAAAGACTGTTTCAATGGTAAATTTGTATCAACGTGAACAGTCAACTCTAATTGGTGCTAAAATATGGCGTTGAAAGAGTTTTCATCAGCCTTTTTTCCCTTTCTATTCATGATATTATGATCTTGTGTATTTAATTGGTGGATTTAGGGGCAATCCGATCAACAAGAAATGTTGTTTAAAATTAGGATAAAAATGTTAGTAAAGATAAGATAAGATAAAATTTCAATAATTTGTGACGTCACTAATTTACAAAGATCCGATCAACCAATTTTATCCACATTTCGGACATGCGTCTGTCGCCAATTAAAAAATTTTTCCCGGTGGACATTATTGAGATTAAAATATGGCGTTGAAAGAGTTTTCATCAGCCTTTTTTCCCTTTCTATTCATGATGTTATGATCTTGTGTATTAATTGGTGGATTTAGTTATTTTACTTTAAGTAATATGATGCAAAATGCATCTGTCAACATTGATGACTCTTCCATTCACCATTTTATTTCACGCCATCACAGTTACGTTTCTCAGTTGATGTCAGTGTAATGGAATCAATGACGATGCTCTTGTGTGTTGATGTAAAACAAAAGCAGGACATGTGAGTTAAAGTTGAAGGTGAAGAGGGTGATAAGTGACGATGATCTTAAGAAAATCTGAAGAAAAATGAAGTTGTGAAATTGTATATAACATGAGTTTAATCCAGTTTAGAATTAGCATCTACAAGATGTAAAAGAAGAAAAAAGTAAGTCATCCTCCTTGTTTGGCTTGGGTTCAAGCCTTGAGAAGGAAAACGAAAAAGGTTCTGTTGATATTTCCAAATTTCAATCTTCATCTTTTTTCCCCTTTCTTTTCTTTCTTCATTCTCCATCTTAATTTTTTGTTCTTCTTAACCACCAAACGATTATCATGCTCTTTTCCATGTACCACTTTGACTTTACCATTCATCGTCTCAATTCCATTGCTTCTGTTAACAACATTAAGCTCATCATCATCTACAACCGTTAATGATCTTACACTTCATTTTGTATAATCTTCATTGTAAAGGACGTTTCATTCAATTTATATTTTATAATTAGTATCGTTTTCATTAAGTGAGAAGAAGAAAGTCAAATCAAAAGTAAAGTTTAATTACTGCTTTGATTTCTATTCCTTCCACCAGTAAGTGATATTTATAATTCTGTGTTTTTGTCTTCTTTGATATTGGTTTTGTTACCATTTGTTTCTCAAATCAGTCTAGTTTCAATTGATTCCTTCGTCATCTTTGCTATATTTAGAAGTAATATAAGAAGCTGTGTTGATTGTTATGTTGTGGAATAAATTGCCGCTTTCTCAAATTGCAAGTTGCCTTCTGTTTATGTGCATTTCTTATTAACGTCATCTTTTATTTTCTCTTTTCCTTTTATTCTTCATGTTATTCTCGATGTTTCCCTAATGATGATTGTGATGATAACTTGACTATTAATACAACTAATAATGATCACAATAATGTCAATATCAACATTTTACCAGGCCTTGGATGGATGCTAATAAAGGTGGTATCCCAATGGACGAGGCTCCTAAAGATCCCGGAGTCTTAACCACGCATCCATCATATACGGACACTGATTTTGAAGGTAAGTTACAATTTAAATCTGGTTATTATTCACACTCTTCCTAACCTTAACTATTTATGTGTTCACCCTTTTCAGGTCACAGAGCCCATGCTATGTATGTTGGCTTTCATGTTCCCGGAGGCTCGTATAGAAGACGAGGACATCATCGAAGGCATAAACATCATCACCATAAAAATGGTCACACAAAGAAACGAGAAGATGGAACCTTGAGCAGTGAACAAAGTGATATTCGTCCTGGTAAACTTTCTTTTCTTTCAACACTTTATTTCTCATTTATCATGTTAACTCATTTCTCTTCAACTCAATGAATTCCAGTATCACATAACTTATTTTAATGGCGCGATTGGCTGTATTTCAATTTCATTACTGACAAACCGATGTTTTCAAGTGTTAGATGTGACTGTTATGCCTTTATTGTGTTCGTTCAATCGACTGATTTGTGTGCATCAGATGAATTTTCTGCTTATTAGGTTAAGCTCTATCTTGTGAACACGTTGGATAACGTTATCAAACATCTTCACTCTTTTCGTATAATTAATTTGTTATAGACTCTTTGATAAGGAATTATGCATTTCAATTTTACATGGTTATTTAGTTTATCGTTTGGTGTTTACCAATAACCAATTATGCAATTTTTTGATAACTTTATCCAGTCAATTAATGAGATTGAACAGATGGCTGATAAAACTCAACTGGTTGGACTTGTGATTAAAGAGAGATGATAAAGGTGATGAAGATTGACTAGATGAAAGTTAATACATCCCAGTTGATAAGTGACATTGAATTTAGCTTTAGCAGTTTTGATTGAACTCATTTCATGATATCATGAATGGAAAATGTTTATTATTAATACTATCTTAGTATCTGTGTTTATTTTGTTAAGCAAACATTGCCATTCTGTTGAGGTTTCTTTCAATTAGCCCATCAATTACAAATCCTTATTTACAAAAGAGCCCTTACACTCAGCATTTTCATCTTATCATAACTTCCAATTTTTAATTTTCAAATTTTCGCAACTAGAAATTTTTTTAATTTTAATTTAATGTGATTTTTTACTAAAAAGCACTCATGTTAAGCCATCTCTTTCTAAACAATCAACACATTTCATGTCAATGATTTACTCTAATCTTTATCCCAGCTCTGTTGAATTTTGTTCATAAGTCTAATCTTGAACTAGAGCTATTATTAGTGTTTCAAAAGGTTAATTACTCTTCATAATTTCGGAGTTCATCTTAAACTTAATCCATGAATCAGGATTTTGCACGAACATCAAAAGGCAGCAAATAGGTTAAATAAAATTTCATTACCCATTGATTTGAAAGTATTCACTGATATCTGGAATTCATATTGAAAATTCATTGTTACATTCAAATTTCTTATATTTAATAATTTCTTTACACAGTAACACCTCCAGCTGAAAGAGTTCAATTCATTTTGGGTGAAGATGACCAAGATGGTGCTCATGAATCTCATCCATTGTTCAGTGAACTGGAAGAACTTGTCAGTGATGGAAATGAACTGGAATGGCGGGAAACTGCAAGGTTGTTACTTTTGATTGACATTATAACTTGAAAAACTAAATTACAATATCTTAACAAAAGATATCTTTGTAAATATGGATATTATAGCTATTATCCTTTTTTTCATCTGAACGTCAAGTTCTTTCATCAATTCTTTATGAACTTTATTTTTTGGATAAAAACCCATTTACTATCTTTTAATAATTCTCATTTTTATCTTTTATGCAAATATTTTCCCTGTTTATTGTTCAACCCTAAAGATGGATCAAATTTGAAGAGGATGTGGAAGAAGGTGGAGATCGTTGGTCCAAACCTCATGTTGCAACGATATCTTTGCATTCTTTATTTGAACTTCGCAGTTGTATACTTAATGGAACGGTCATGTTAGACTTGGAAGGGTCCAGTTTGGATCAGATTGCAGGTAAAAAATTGTATTTACTTTTGTGGCAACAAAAAAATGGCTAAATATTGTATTCCGAGAAAACAGTATTACCAAGTCTTTTTTTTTCTTGACTAAAAGGTTTTATGCTGAAAATGTCATCATGGTATCATTAACATTTCTTATTGCTTATTTCACACAAGTATTTGTATTAATTCTTATATCATTACTCTTTGTCAGATCTTGTCTTAGAAAATATGGTGAATTCGGGTCAATTGAAATTAGAAGCTAAAGATAAGGTAAAAGAATCATTATTACGTCGTCATCGTCATCAACATGAAAAGAGACATGATAAAGATAAAAATCGTCTTCCCCTGATCCGATCACTTGCTGATATTGGAAGAAATTCAAGTAAAAGCATGTTTGGTTCTCACAGTAAGTTATTTTTGATTATTTTTAAAATCAACAAATGGCACAATTAGATTGATTTATTTCTGTATCGAGCTTTTGTTTTGGATAAAATATGGTTAAAATTTACCAGAAAAAAAAGGATTTTTAGATTGTTCCAAAGTAACTTTGATTTCTAAAGCTCCATCAATCTAATATTTCTCAGAGTTATTCAGTTTTTTCAGTTTCAAATCATTGTCCATTTCCCTAACTCAGGTCAAATTTGTTTTGAATTTTTATTTACCTTTTTTGTGTTCTACCTGTGATTTGTTTCGCTTGCTTTGGCTTGCTTTGTCTTGTGAAACTCATGCTTGGCTCTATGTTATTTTACCATATTTGTTGTGTATTTTGCTCACATATTATCACCAATAAATGGCTAAATTATTAGGTCAGTTGGATAAAATTAAAGATAAAGATGGAGGTCATCCCAATGCTCCGGTTACCGCACCAGTAACCTCATCAGAGTGGAATCCTTCATTCGGCAAACTCTTGAGCGTTTCACTGGGTAAAAAGTTTTTACACTTAGATCATTATTATTACCTTAGTTACTACAGTAGGAAATACAAAACAGTAGTCTTCAATAAAGAATCAGTAAATATTGGCTTTTATCTAGTCCAATATATGTATGCGTATTTTACCTTTATATTTATTTAGTGAAATGCATGAAAACAATCAATCAATCAAGACAATGACAAAAACATTGATATGCATCATGCTCCGATCTATTAAAATTTATTGTAATGTTAAACACACACAAGCACACTAATGCCTAAAAATCTCAACTTGTTCATTCACCTGTAAGATATACTTTTTTTCCAACCCTTTTTCCAATACAATTTACATTGAAATTGATCAATAGTTGGCAAATTAAACAAAAATAACGTTTTTGTTAATCCTGTTTGACAGAACCAATAACAATGCGTGAAATTGAAAATTGTTATCATTCATCTTCAATAGATACTTTGATATTAATATTTTTAAGATTATCATTTTTTGTTATTCTTCAATTCAACTCTTCCCTGTTTACCTTCAATGTTTTCAATCTATTGAACTGAAAATCTCTTTTTTATTTGTAAAATTGCACGAAATTTCATCTTACATTTATTTTTTTATGCACTTTTCATGATATTTATAGATAAATAACAAATATCAATCTTTCCATCAATATTGATATTAATACATATGTTTCCATCATTTTTTATTAAACTTAACAGGCGGTAATCATGAAGGTGGATCAATACCTTTAAGTCCCAGTGCAACATCACTTCACTTGGGTGCTAACTGTCAAGGACTTTCGGGTTCATCCCTTGTGGACCAAAATGGTGCTTCTTCAGCCGATTTACAGCACAAGGTATTTACTCTTAACAATGTAAATAAATCAAATCACTAAATTTTTTGCTTCCTTTCAGGCGAATCAAGCATTCATGAAAAAAGTTCCACCAGGAGCAGAAGCGGATAATATTCTTGTTGGGGAGGTTGAATTCCTTGATAAGCACATATCTGCTTTCGTAAGACTGGCTCAGGCTTGTCATTTAGGGGATCTGACTGAAGTACCTGTACCTACTCGATTTTTATTCATCCTTCTGGGTCCCCATAGCATTCCAGGCCGGTATCATGAAGTTGGACGAGCTATGGCTACTCTCATGTCCGATGAAGTAAATGTTTTCATTTATTATATCAAATTTGGCCATTTTTTTATAACAAATTTGAACGAACTGACAGTTGTGTTTTTATTTGACAGATTTTTCATGACGTGGCATATAAATCAAAAAGTAGGCAAGATCTTCTTGCCGGTGTTGATGAATTTTTAGACGCAGTAACTATCCTTCCCCCTGGAGCCTGGGATCCAAGCATTAGAATTGAACCACCGAATCAAATACCATCTCAAGAGTCTCGTAAAAAGCATGATCCCTCTGAACCTAAGAATATAATTGATGAAGAAGAAGAGGAAATGAAGGAACGAGAAGCAAGTGGATTAAAACGAACTGGAAGGTATCATGATAATACTACTATGCTTCATAACACAGAATTTGTTGATTTTTGCCAAATTTCTAGTCTCGTTCTTTGCTCTGTCTCAGAATTTTATAACTTTTTCCTGTTTGAAGGTTAAATTTATACATTTTCACTGCACAAATATACTTAATTCAACACCAATTCATCAGTTTATTTCTAGCTTTTTATCACTTTTCATCTCTTAACTAAACACAAATTTCCTATATATATTGAGTAACTTGTAATGGGATAACTAATATATTATGCTATCTGATATTTCGAAATGTCATCACATTTGAAAGTTTCAAGTACTTTTGCAATCACATGAGATTTTTCTGCAAAAACAATGTTTTAAATCTAAGCTTGAATATAGCTCAAGCCAACTATGCAAATTTACTTTAAAATCATTGAGATTTTACTATTTGATTTTTCAATTATTAATTTTCTTTGTTCAATTTCATGTTTTTAGATTATTCGGTGGTCTCATTAATGATGTGAAGCGTAAAGCCCCCTGGTATCTCAGCGACTTCAAGGATGCCTTAGCCTTGCAATCAATCGCTTCTGTAATTTTTTTATACTTCGCTTGTTTAGCTCCTATAATTACCTTCGGTGGTCTTCTTGGTGATGCTACAGGAGGAAATATTGTAAGCTATCAAACTTATGTTTGAACATTATTTAATTCAAACATGACCATCCGAATGTCTTTTAAACGACCTTTTAAAATGAATCTCAGGCTACCATGGAAAGCTTATTGAGTGGTGCTATTTGTGGAATAGTTTACGGATTTTTAAGTGGGCAGCCTTTGACTATACTCGGTAGCACTGGCCCAGTACTGGTTTATGAGACGATTGTTTATAATGTTTGCCAGTTAGTAAATTTTTTTTCAATATTATTCTTTAATCTTCTTTTGATTAACATTTAATTCCAATTTTGTTTTATCATGACAGAAAATTCGGGTTTCTTTATTTGTCTATTCGTATGTGGATTGGACTATGGACGGCTTTTTATCTCATGGTGTTTGTGGCCACCGATGCAAGTGCTTTTGTATGTTATATAACTCGTTTCACTGAAGAAAATTTTGCCACTTTGATCTCGGTAATCTTTATTTTCAAAGCTGTCGAAAAGGTAAAGTATTCATTGTTTTTAAACATTTATGGTTATGTTGATTAATCTCACTAATTTCATTTTCAGGTCCTAGAAATTGGTAAAGATTATCCAATACGAGGGGGTGTTATGGAAAGAATTGATTATAGCTGTAGTTGTCTTGACAAAGACAAACAATCTTATGAGATTCAGAAGTATGTCTACAATTCAACTGGAATCAAATATTGCATCGAAAACAGTGGAACTCTCGTAGGTCCTGGTTGTTACGAAAAAAATGTGCCTGATGTCTTCCTCTTCTCCGTCTTGCTTTTTATTTTCACCTTTGCCATTTCGGTATCTCTGAAAGAGTTTAAATTCACTCCTTTCTTCTCTAGTAAAATAAGACAATTTGTCAGTGATTTTTCCGTAGTGATAGCTATACTTGTTATGACTATGGTCGACTATAAAGTTGGCATTGCAACCCCTAAATTAGTTGTACCAGATAAATTTCAGGTAAGTTTATTGTAAGCTTTCAATAGCACACATAAAAGTTGAGCTTAGAAACCTTCTTCAAATAAGTTTATCCAATCCGATGTAAGCTTTTATGGGTCACAAATTTCATTTAAAAAGGATATCAACTTCATTTGAAGTGTATTGCTAAATTCAATAAAATTTCTGAATTTATTTGTGAATATTAACAAGCAATTTTTTCGTAGCCTACTTCTGACCAACGTGGATGGCTTGTTCCTATCTTAGGAAACAATCCTTGGTGGATGCCATTGTTGATGCCGTTCCCTGCTCTTCTAGCTGTAATCCTTATTTTCATGGATCAGCAAATTACTGCTGTTATCGTCAATAGAAAAGAAAACAAACTCAAAGTAAGGCATAAGTTTATCTCTTTTTCATGTTAGAACTCTTTTAATAACATTTATTCTTATTCTCACCTTCAGAAAGGATGTGGTTATCACCTGGACTTGTTTGTCCTCTCCATTCTTATTGCAATATGTTCAATCTTAGGACTCCCGTGGTTTGTTGCTGCCACTGTTCTTTCCATGACTCATGTAAACTCATTAAAAATGGAATCAGAATCAGCAGCACCAGGAGAAAAGCCACAATTTCTTGGTGTACGAGAACAGCGAGTCACCCATGTTTGTATTTTCATTCTTTGTGGTCTTTCCGTTTTTATGACTTCTGTTTTAAGAAACATCCCAATGCCAGTTTTGTATGGAGTCTTTCTTTACATGGGTACATCTTCGCTTAAAGGCTCTCAGGTTTGTTTTAATGATGGTTAATTTTATTTCTCAACCAACAATTTAATCACTAATAATTGATTTTTATCTTTTTTTATAAACAGTTCTTCGAAAGAATTTTGATTGTATTCATGCCTCAAAAATACCAGCCAGATTATGTTTTCTTACGACATGTTCCAACACCCAAAGTCCATCTTTTCACATTAATTCAAATAAGTTGCTTTACGCTTCTTTGGTTAATCAAATCATACAACAAGACGTCAATCTTATTCCCTTTGATGGTAAAGAATCGTTAAAACTTTCATACAATTAGCATTAATCTTGAATACATTCTGATTTATGAATCTTCTGGACAGATAATGATACCATATCAAACCTATAATATTGCTCTGTTATTGATTGATTAATATATTAATGTTCGTCTTTTCCTTGTATTTTCAGCTTGTTGTCATAATTGGTGTTCGTAAATGTCTGGACCTTATCTTTACTCAGCGAGAATTGAAATTACTTGACGACATTATGCCTGATTCAGTTCGACGTAAGGCAGAAGAAGACAAAGAAGACGATGATGATTCAAAGGGTGATGATAGCAATATGATATCTAATGAAAGTTTAGGTAACGTTGCTATTCCGTTAGCTAATGGCAATATACTCAAGATACCGGTCAATAAATTTAACGCGGAACCTGATCAATGTAATATTAATATAACTGAGCAGCTTGCTAAAAGTGGTACTTGGAAAAGTATTGATCAAAATCAAAAATCTAAATCTAATAAAGAAAACAAAGAATCTTCCAAAGATAAAGAAAAAGAAAAAGACAAGGAAAAGGATAAATCTTCAGGGTAAGATATTTTAGGTGAAATCGCAATGATACTAAAACATAATTATAGTTAAATGCTAGTCCTAAATATAACAATTTAATTCTAGTTTCCTAATATATTAATAGTTCCTATTTTTGCACTCATAATCGTTTTTTGTTTGCTATTGCCTCTTCCATGCGCCTTTATTTTTTTATTAATTTTCAATTAACATTAAGTTCTATTAATTATTTTAACATTGTAGTGATATCGCCGTTTAATTTTTAATTGTTGGTACTATCAATGAGGATGATGATGATGATGAAGATGATTATTTGCACATAAATAAAATTGCACGAAATGGCCTAATCAATGAGTCCACATCGATGAAAACCATACTTCTAATAAATCAGCAATCAACCATCTTCGACAATCATCCAGACATGATCTTTAATTTCCAACCATTTTGGATTAAATTGTCCCCATTCCCGAATCTCACCATTAAGTTAATATTCACTTCCCATCAACTGTTTTCCCTCTTGATTAATTATCAATCAATCAAGACAGTCCAAGAAAATAATTTTGTTTTTTTGTTAAATCAAAAGAAAATTGTTGCAGCTCCTCAACATTGCTTTTAATTTTAACCATTGTTCTTATTATCAAAATGATGATTATTATTATTTTATTATTTAATTTGATTCCTCAAATCAACTTTCATTTTTCCCTGTTTAAAATGAAATTTCTTTTAATTTTGTTCCCATTTCTGTTATTTAATAACCAAACAAATGAATACTTATCACTATTCATTGTAATATGAAACAAGAAGAAAAAAAACAACTTAAATCAACTTTTTTTCCTCATTTTTCCACAATTATCATTTCATTTTATCTGTTCTGAAACTGAGTATGATTGAGACAAAAATGAATCCAATAGACACAATTAAGTGTGAATTATCCACTAGACAATTACCATACAAATTACAGTAATATTGTAAGACCTTTATTTCATGTTTAAGGTATGTTAATTGCTTAACCTAATCAAATGTCCAATCTAATATCTTCATCATCAACATCCTCCAAATAAACCAAGAAAATTATGATTCTGTCTTTTCATTGATTTTTTTTCATTTTCCTCATTTTTTCACATCTTAACACATAAATTATTTAGACCTTTGGTATTTATTTCATTAGTTTTGTTTCACTTTCTCAACTCTTAATCGATTCCCGCAAGTTTAATCCTAAATAGTAAACATTAACCAATCAATGAAAAAAATGATTTAATAGCGTAATCCGGTGTATTAATAACAAGATTTCATTACTCTATCATCCTTGAAACATGAAACAAACGTAAAACCAATCAATTTTTGTTTTACCATCCATACAACAACACAATAACCTTTTCCATTGAACCCAATCTTTTTTTACTCCAAACAAAACTCCATGTTTATTAACTTGTATCAATCAACTTATCATCATTTACATAATTATGAAGACATTTTTACGATTTTATCTTTGAGCTTTAAATCCTTATTCAACTCTTGCCACTTAACCTTTAAAGAACCCATATTAGTTATAATTTAATTACATTTAATGGTAATATTTCAAAAGCCAATTTTACAACTAACATTTTCAGTTGAAATGAACGCCTCTAAAATTACGTTTACTGCTAAAACAATCAAATTAATGCTTCTTAATAAATTAGATTGAAATAAATCTACATTTTACGCTTAATTTTATCCATTTATCTGATTCTTATATTTTTTCTTCTCTTCATTTCTGCTCATCTCTTTCATTTCCTTTTACTTTCTCTTTGTATCTTTGGCTACACTTGATTCCATGATGATTTTTAGGAAAAAGAAACGAGGTAATAAGAAAGATGCCAAAACAGAGGAAGAGAAGAAGCGACTCTCCACCATGACGGAAGAAGATGATGAGGAAGATTGTGGTATTACTATTAAAATAGATGGACCCACTCCTGTTCCGTCGGTTGTACCTTCAACTTTAAACTCACCCCAAGATGATTCAGCTCCATCAATTAAACACAATGAAACTCCTGTTTAAATAATTTCCTCATAACAATCACAATCATCTTCACTTTCATTATCCATTACCTGAATAATCAAAGAAAAATGTGAGAAGTAAAGAGATTGGTTACTGGGGAGAGATGAAACACGCCATTAAAGACTAGAGCCAAATGCTAAGACAGCAAAAGATATTGGATTTGCGTCTACTCAAATCAAATCTGGTACAAACTGAATCGAGTTTGTATTTATACATAGTATTAGTTAGTTAATTGCTGACAAAAAAGATTCGAATGATGGGATTCTCAACTCATACACTCATACAATGAATACAAAGGTTCATAACTTAATTAAAAACTGTTGCCATTTTAACTTCATCTGGAATCACATATGTTGATTGAAATCACCAACCAATTCATTCTCATGACCACCACAATCGCAATCATCATAGTCATATATTCATCTTTATTAATCAGTTATTTTTAAATCCAATGATCTCATCTTGAACCTCAACAAGTTAGCTTAGGATAAATACTAGGGTTGATGAATAATCACAATTGTCGATAATGGAAACCAGCTAATTTGAGATTAATAACGATTGGAATAGGATTTCACGCTATAAATCATCTCGCAATCAATACAATTTTAAATTGACAATAAACATCTGCTGATATAATAGGATAGGATTCACTGATTGACCGATTGGCGTTGGATTTTTTTCAATTAAATAAGCAAATACAAGAAATTGATCAAAGATGTTACTCAATCTAGTAATTTTATGGTATTAATCTGACTCTAATGAGGATTGGGGAAGCAATTGAAACTATCCAGCAAACACTTTTCAACATTAGAGTATTTATTGATCAAACCTCTTCTCTCTTTAAAAAGAGTTGAATCTTTATAAAACAAATTTCTTCATCTTATATTGATACAGTTAAATCACCATCATCAGAAACAACCGCCATCACAGCCATCATCATCATCATTCATCATTAAAATTCATCTCTTCTTGCTTTTGTCTTTGTCAACTCAACCCAATTCATCTGAATATTCATATTGAGCTGTTCTGGGTTCTGGTTAGATCAGTTTAAATTAATTAGAAATGAGAAAGAGAAAAGCAAAACTTACATGACAAAAATGACGCTTAATTTTATAAAATTAGTTAACTATTATTGCTACGATTACAATTATTAAAATTGAATTAATATCTATTGACAATTTCAACTAGGTGATTAAAAACAAACGAACCCAAAGTTTTACAAGAAAACACTGACAATTATTATTACAATTTAGTTGAAGAGGAGTTTCAGAAAGATGTTGGTTTTCATCTGGAAACAGTTTGAATAAATAGTGTGAGAAGAGATGTTAACTTGAAGTTAATTATTGAGGAAATTGTGATGATTTAGTTGTATAATTACCTAATCCAATTGATTTTAAATTAAAACAAATCAAAAAACACTTTGTTATCTCTTTATTTTCAACTTACAAAACATTATTCACTAACAGTGAAACAATTTTTCAAAACTTTCGGCCAATGCGACTCTAGCCGGGTAAACTGAAATCGATCAAATTCCCAACTTAATTCCGTAAATTCAAGTTAGGTCTTGAGAGCTTATATTCCTGTTCTCATGTTTCATCCTGAATTTACTGAAATGCATGTATGCATAAATACATACATAATAGATAATAGAAAATGGCTTTCGATTCTGGCCAAACTTTTTTTGATAATGTGAGTTTAAAGGCAAATTGGTTTCTAACTAGTTTAGAGAATTTTTGACTCTTGTGTTTTCACAAACAGATATCTATCATGTAATGTAGATGAAAGTGGGAAAGATCAAGATATCTAATTCAAAAAATTTGAGAAATTTGATCTATTGTTTTAGTTTCTTTATTTGATTTAGCCTGATTATCTTTAATTCTTTGATTATCGTTATTTCTAATTATCAAATCTAAATTATGACCGCTGAAGATTTACTTGAGCTTTAGTTTTACATAAATGAAAACACGTAGTACATTAAGAGCCATCTCTTGTTCACAATGCAAAGTTGACATAAGGTGCTCAAAATTAAACAAAATCAAAAGTAAATTTCAAATATCGATCGAACGGCTTCAGGGAAACCTATATTGTTGGTAAAAGGTTTAGCGGTTACGAATTTTCACCAAAATCAATCGAGTTGGCGTAAATTTTCAGTTCGTCTTGGTATTGTCAAGGAAATGTTCGGGAGAGGATGACTCCATCCTGACAGGCCTTTCTTTCTTCGTACTCCAAAGGGTTTAGAAAGAATAGAGAAGAAAAATACCTGTATGGAAGCTACAAGTGACCATATCTGACCTCTTCGTGCCCTTGGAGAATTACAAGAATGGAAAGCTAAGGAATTTGCATCTTTTTTGGTTTATTTTGTTTATCCCAAGTAGTAACAATAGGGTTCACACCACCCTACTTCGTCTGTTCTTTTTGAGGTGTCATTACGGTGCTGTCAACCCTGGTTTCATCTGGAAAATTGGAAATTACAAATGCTTGAGTTGAGCTTGTGAGGCCGTTGGTAAATTGATGAAATTTAAAACTTATACATAGTTATTGGGGGGTAAATAACCTGATGCATAGTGATGTTTTTATTGATTTTCAATGCATTTGATCTGCGAAATATGTTTGTGAATTTATTTTTTAGCCAAGCAACTTAATGAATGTTTTCTTGGAATTTTTTGATAGAATTTAATCTTTTTGTATGCAATATGGAATAGCTGAAAAGGCTTAGTTAGAATTTTTTTACCATCAGAGTTAAACTGAGTTACTTTAAAAGTTAGCTAAGTTTATATTGTAGTTTTGCTATTATTTCACCAAACTTATGAACATGAATTACATGTAAGTATTTTGTGTAAGTTATTCGTAAACTTGCTAGGAATACTGCATAAATCCTGCATTCTTTTAGCAAGTTTATAGCCGAAATGCAATTGAATTGAATCCTGTCCTCACCATAAGCGTAAACCTAAAAAAATCAAATTTTAGTTGAATGCAAGACTCTGAACTCAAATTAGACAAATTTATTTACTCGCTTTATTGATCTGAATGATTAGGCTATTATCTTTCTGTTGCGTAGTTTCACTTTGGTCACCAGAAATCTAAATATTAAATTTGGTATCAGAATCTTGTTAGTTGTAAAGAATTCTTAGAATGATTAAATTTACTTATTATGGATAATTCATATTGCACCTTTTTCAGGTTTCGTAAAATGAAGATGAAATTAACTCTTAATTATCAGTTACGAGATTGAAAACAGGAACGATTGATCAAAATTTGAGTCGATCAATTATAATTAGCTTCTTTAAGACAGTTGCCTGAGTAAATCGGTATTCATTCTTTGGCATTAAATAAAATTCGAAATCATGGATTCCGTTTTATAAAAACAGATTTTCTTCAGAAAATTAACATTGCTACCGCGAAAAATTCAAATATCTATATGAAGTTGAAATTGCAACTCCAGAGGATGAGAAATATCGCTCAAATCATCAACCGTATGGTGAGGTAATTTTCTTGTATGGACCTGTCGAACCATGTGAATGCGCAATAAATAATAAAGACGATGATTGGGATCTATTAACAGCCCATTTGATTCACAAGATCAATTCTGGAAAGCAAGTCTTTGAATCAGTCAAGGCTCATCTTGATAGTTTTCCTCAAATTTAATATAACTCAATGCAATGCAACAAAGCTTTATAAATCATCAAATTTAAAAATTAAGAATCAAATAAAATTTAATGAGCTTTCAGCTTAATCTTATAGAAGGTCAGTAGGAATTTGTGTCTGCGGTCTATCAGTTACATTCAATTGGTTTGAGAACTTAGATGCAGCTCTTTTAATCTAATTACGATAATTCCAGAAAATCGTGATAAAACCAGTCACAAGGTGGCGCTCGGTGAGCCTCTTGAGAAGTGAATCATGAAAAGCGGATCTTTTATCATTCTTGTTCAAGTCTTTCAGAAGTTAACAATCAGTAACATGAAATGACATGATCTTTTTCTATGGTAACGATTACATTAAACATGTGTTAATGCTTTACTTCAATTCAAATGTTATTCACCTGTGAATCTTCATGAAATCAACTTTACACTAAACTTGCCATCAGATAGTCGGACTTGGCATTTATTGCAACAAATTGAAAACCATTTTCCGTTTTCATTTTTAAGTGACAATCTTTTGTTTCTTCATTCATTTTTGTTCATTCCAATGAATCCAATCATGAGGTAAATTTTAGTGATTTATAATTGTTCAGTTGATTTTAAATTTTTAATGAATCTGATGGGCTAAAGTCATCTTCTCTGCCGTTATTTTTTGCCCTTTTAAAATGGCTTGTAACAGTTTTCTTGATGTGCTTTATTGACAAGTGAATTGTAATCTATCCTAAACTTTTTTCTCTCTTTTATTTTGACAGTTTAAGCACAACTTCATCCCCTTCGTCTTCATCTTCATCTTCATCCACATCATCTCTATCATCTTCATTGTCAACACCATCTCCATCCAGTTCACCTGAAATACCGCCAACATTAATCTCATCACCATTACTGAGGAATACTCGAACCCCAACTTCGCCTGAATTGAGGTAAGCCATTCCTACCACTAATTAACCTTGTCATCTCTCTGATTAAAAGGTGTTTTATATCTGTCAAATGTTTGTTCAAACCAACGAGGTTAACAGAAAGATAATGCTCGAGTTAATCTCAATGACAGTGTTGATCAACTCATTCACGTTTATCAATTCATTGAGTAGTAAACAAATGAGCATCTTTTACCCACTGCAAGTCTTTTATTCCCATTTCCCTGTCCTTGCAATTCCAACAAACCTTTATCCAATATCCGCCAATTAGCATTGATGAAGATGAAGATGATATTAAAACAAAGTCACAGCACAATCGATCCGACCCTTTGTGCCTTTTCATTATAATCTCAATCATGACCATTATTTTCAAGAGCATTTCCACAATCTATCAAAATCTTTTGGCGGGAACTCCACCTAATTTTAACTTGACAACCATGATAAGCACAAGTGGATGCGAGCTAAATGATAAGTTGAAATGAGCATGAGTAATGTTCAGATCGATATTACATTTAACTCGCTAAACATCCAGCAATAAACCAAAACAAAAGGCTGATTGTCTTGTATATAAACAGACAATAATGGCTCATAAACTGAATGTCATACTCAGTCTATATAATTAATTACCATCATTATCAACTTTACATTAACAGTAGTTTTACGATTTAACAGCGTAAGCTTAAAAATTATCACACAAATTGAAAATCGATTATATCATGCAACACTAAAAACTGAACCATTTTCAAGTATTCAACCTTAAATGTTCAACTGTTGATATTGAAAGTTATTTTTAATACGATCAACAATCAATTATGAAAATGTCAACCTTGAATATCGATTCAATTGCCCATATTTGTTGTCAAAAAGGTTCAAAATTTTCAATAAAAAAGCATATAAATCAACATTCAACCCAAACATTCATTTTAGGTAAATTCAGTTCATTGAACTCTAAATTTTCTTCCTATCAGAGTTTATCTTTCAAGAACCATCAGAGTTTATCATTATTCCAATCATCGACTAAATCATTATAATCAGTAACTCCATAGACTTGCAATAGACTTGAAAATTAAACATTTATTTTGCCTCTAAAATCAATATTGACGAAATTTTTGCTTCTCAAACATTCCAATCAGATCAGATTGTTCAATTGAAACGTTTCAACAATTAGAGCGTATAACTTGATATTTAAAATATTGGTTTATATTTGAAGTGTTTAAGAAAAGAGTTAATCACCCAAATCGTGTTTACTTTGTACTTTACTGATCTTTTAATTGCATTTGTTTATCAAAAGATGATCAACAAACAATTTACAATTTAATGATACAAACCATTTTAAAAATTTCACTCAAAAAGTGTTGCCCTTTAATCACAATTAAAGTACAAGTGACACATAATTAGACTTACAATTGAAGGTGAAATACTCATTAACTCTTCCTTTGTTAATCAATAACACAAATGATCCAATTTTTAATGGATTAGCGATTAATTACAAAACTGTTGATTATCATTTAAACTTGAATTACATTTAGACACGCATCTAAATCAACTCACAATCAAATTGATCATAGCCATTGTTGAACCATAGTTGCTCTGAACAATTCAAGTAAAAGGGAAAACCAAATTTCACTCAATTTTACAGATTAGTTTAAAGATGGTTAAGCAAATCCGTTATAAACAATCAACCGTTTCACCAACCAATTTGGATGAATCGGTGCAAGATTCAACAGTTAAATCTCCTTATGTTTACACTCAATTTTGGCTTAAATTGTCTGGTGTTTTGCCCTTGAAGAGTGTCCAAGATGGACAGAAAGGAATCAAAATAATGTCGACAATTTACTCTCTCTATTGTCGCCTAATATCTTCAATGTTATGGATCTTGTCCATTCGTGCTTTCATTTTAATGTTTATCGATGATCCCAAGTTGGCCTTTAAACTGGGCGATCTAACTGTTCTCTTCACCGATAATCGTTACATTTACTATCGTATGGTTTACTTTTGTTGGTCAGCTTCAGCAACTCTAATAGCAACATCTTATGCCTTGGATGAGACGCAATCATGTTTAGTACCTTTCAATACATTCAACTCGTCAAGATTAAACCATTATTACAATACAACAACTTATCGTAAATTGAAATATCTTTTAACCATTTGCTTTTGCTGGGTCATAATTGTCACAATTACTGGTGTGCTTAGCCACCTTCATTATCAATCGATGATCATTTACAATTTACTTTCTTCTCCCTCTTGGAATCCAATTGATCTCGCCAATCTCAATGTTAACCCATCTTTTTGGCTTATTTTACATGCTATTTGGTATTTTTACATTACATCAATTGTCGTCTTTACAGCTTTTCATTTTTCCCTGATTTGCTCAGTTTTGGAGCAACAATTTGATCTGGTTACAAGCAAAACTGAACTCATACTTTATTCAGACAATATAAAGCTTGATCTCAAAGATTCATCGCTTTTATCTCAATATGTTGAACACAATTATCTTTGTGAAACACTCATCAAGTCCAACTCTTTCTGGAAAAGTGTCATTTCAACCATTTCAGGCTTTTACATTGTCAACCTTTGCTACATTTTTTACACTCTTTCCTATGGTCAAGTTAATCTCAACCTTTTCACCTTTTACTGTCTCATTGCTGGATTCAATTTTTTGATTCTTTATTTGATTTTCTTTCCAGCTGCTGCTGTTGCTAAAAAGGTTTGTCAAAAGTTACATCAAAATTAGTTTTCAATTGAAACTCAAGAGTCATCATCGGTTCATCTAACTTGAGAATCTTTGATTTGATTATGATAAACGTTTCAGGCTTCTTGGTTAAACATAAGGTTTGACAGGAGAAACTTGATAATCAGTGGTAAGGCAATTAAATCGCCCACTTCGGGACAGATCACAATTTATAGCGAGATTAATCAATGGGTTGATCAAATAAGTAGCGATTCAATTTTTCCTCCTTTTCTCAACTGTGCTCAATCAAAATCAGTAAACGTATTGATAATTCTTGATATTTCATCTTGAAAACATCAACAATTTTATGCATTTTATTTGCTCAGAATTGCTGTTTATTCATTTTTCAAACACAACATTGATCAGACTAAATAACAAATCTTGCAGGTTAGGGTCAGCAAATGTCAAAGGTAGCTCTCGACTCGAATTTTGTATTATTATTCAAAGTGCTCTTAATGAAAACAAATGAAAGCTGTATTTACAAATTGATGATGAATAGAGTTCATTGAATCTTGTATTAGATAATTTATTTTGGAAATTGACATTTTTGAATGAACTCTTATTCAATTGTTCAGGCTTTTGCGGTCAACACAGCATTGTATCTATCAGGATCTGAATTTCTGCCCAGCTTTATCTATGTAAGTTTCAATAGTTGGCCTTATTCCTTGTGAGTTTGCCTAATTTTTACTATCTTTTGATATTTTTAAGGTTGAATCTTTTATTTTGCGCCTTAAATGTACAATCGGATACTCGGCATATCGCTTTTTTGTCATCAAATATACAACAATTGGAGCTGTAAGTTTCCCTAGAAATTAAATCTTAGGACAGATTTTAACCTTTCAACTTTCATATCTTAGGTTATATCAGCTACTATAACTTATTTCCTGATTGTTGCTGACTTTTCACGATCAACTGGAAGTTCAACGCCAACAAATGATACCGACATTGATGTTTCATTGTCTTACAATCGTACTCTTTTCACCAATCCATTCTTTATTAACATTTCCAGTGAATCTGGTTAATTACTGTTCTATCAAATTCAATAATCAATTTCATCTCTTCCCTCAACTTGACCAACTTCAATCCAGTTCACCATTAATCTTCAATATCAAACATTGATAATCTTCACATTTAATCCTAAATACTAAATCAATATCCATTATTAGATTTAACCTTTTAATAACAGTTAATCCAATTTACTTTCAACATGAATGTGCAAATGTCGAAACAAAATGCAAAAAAACTTAAAAATCTGGTTTTACCAGAAAATCATCAACATCAGTGTTACTTGTATGAAATTACAAAAAATAGTTAATTAAAAGACTATCACTAATCATCACCTTATCATTGAACAGTAATCAGTAGTAATTCAATGTACTGAACCAGTGATTTCAATAAATTAATATTCACAGTTAACTGGTCAAATTGAAATCAGCAAAAAGTAGAAAGTAAAATATTTTACTTTTACAGATTAACCCAAATCCAATGTAAATCTTGAAATTTTAGGTCAACCTTTAAAACAATGTTGTTAATCAATTGTTGGCAACAAGAAGTTGAATAAAAGTTGAATGAACACTTTCAACTATCCAATGTGTTTAATTGTTCAACTCACAGTTGTTTTGCATTGTTTGTACACTATTAATCATTAAACAACCTCTGATCACAATTAACCAATACTGGTAAATATTTCAAACGCAAACTGTTCAATTGTTTGATTGTAATCTTGAAATAAAACAAAAACTCCAACAAAAGTAAAATCATATCTAAAACTGTTAATCAAATTTCATTCAAAGTTGAATAGTTTCTTGATCTTTGCATTATATCATTTACAATTTGATACAATCAAGGTTACCTTTTCATCTTCCTTCATCTTCCTTCATCTTTACACCTCTTACAATTTATCTGTCTATCATTTTCTTCTCTTTCTCTTCTCTCTCTCTCTTCTTTTTCTGTCTACCAAGTGAGTTGTTTTCCTTCTCACTCAACATTATTCAATGACTTTTTTTTGCTGCTGCTGTTGAGCGTTTTTGCCGAGCTTCTCATCACCAGCCTTATGTTTTGTGTCTCAATGTGACTCTTCAATGGGATAACGTTGGTTCATTCAACGCACCTTCATCTCTTTCATCCCATTTAACCATCTCATCATCATCTTCATAACAGCGCCAATTACTGTTCAGTGTTTCAAACAGCATTTTTCTTTCAATAGTAATCTAAATTTTTACTAATTAATTCACCTTATCAAAAATGCTCATTATAAACGTTACAATGTATGTTAATTTATATCAACAGTAATGTTTCAATTTCATGTGAACATTGATCTTTATGATTTACTCATCTTTTTACCTTCGCTCATGTCAACCCGCTTCAACTGTCCCACTGCCCTGACTTGCTTTCCCATGCTAACCCTTTACTTCCCACCATTATTGACCTCTTTTCAGACTGTCATTTGATCAACCCTTTTCAACTTTCCTTCAATTTTCCGCTCTCGTCAAACCATTTCCTTGAATTGACAAACATTTTTACTCTTCGTTAATATTTACACCAAAATCATCATTGCTACCAATTTTTCATCTTTTTTCATCTTTTTCTTTTTGTTTTTGTCTATTTTTGAATTAATTTGGTCAACGAAAAAATGAAAATTGAAAATTCGGTGGACATTGAATTCAGGAAATCAAGTACTGAAAAGTTACCGACCAATGGGAATGACTTGAAAGCAAACGATTTTCTGACTGACCCTCAATCTGAACCCATTAAATCTGGTGAAATAATTACCAAAGGATTGGATTGTAAAACTAATGGAACCAATGGAACCAATGGCCGGTTAAGGTCAATCAACTATGTTAACAATGACCATTTGTCAGCCATTTTCTCGTCCCTCAATTACATGAGGAAAAATGGTCAACTCTGTGATATTATTTTACAAGTCGCCGGATCTCAATTGAAAGCCCACAAAGTGGTCTTATCAGCTACCTCTGCTTATTTCAACGCCATGTTCAATAGTAAGTCATTTAAACCTTCAATCATAATCCATGTTCCCATGATAATCAATACAAAATAAAAGGTAAAATCCAAATCCAAATTAACCCAATCCAAATGGTTACCAAGACTTGCTTTTTATCCTTACAATATTGTAAAAACTTGATTTGTCATCCATTTTACATTATAATGTCTAATATCAATTGTGCGTTGTCAAGGTTTCACCAGTTTTTTGTACACATTTTAATTGTTTCACTGGTGATTATCATTGACAAATTGTGATTACTTTTCATGTTGCTAATTTTTTGTTTAATCATTTCAATAGTATCTTTATCTTATTAGATTTCATTTTCAAGTTTCCATGTCAACTGCCTTACAATTCAAGTGCATAGTTAACTAAATTGAGTTTTATCAACTTGCCAATATATTTTTGGGTAAACACTCGACTAGTAAAATTTTGGGTGTTGATCGTTTCATGTTTCATTGGTTCCTCTTTTGTCCCAACCAGACTATCACAATTTATCATCATTAATGAAACCATTACTTCCGCTCACACCCTTTAAGTCCTATTTTAATTCAATTTAATGATCTAACTGTAGACTCGGTTTGTCATTTGCTTTTTCAAAGTCTAACTCAAGTTAATTTGTATTTTGTCAATTTATTAGGAAATTTAATCGGAAAAATCATCTGTTTATTTCACCTGTTTTTTCATCAAAATTAATATGCATTAAGAGATTCAAGTTGATTCAACTTTCAACTTTCATTAAAACAATTGTTCCAAATGGTCAGAATAATGATTAGAAAAGGCAAATCTGTTGATTCATGATGAACAATACTTTGATCATAACTAATATTAATTGCATGGTTAGCTAACTGAGGCTTCAAATGATTGTTCAATCTTTGCTTTACTTCAACTTAATCATTCATCCTCATGTTGACATGTTTGATTAAAACAAATTGTCAAAAGATTTGCAGTTAAAATTAATAATCATTTAAACTGGTTTAATATTTTCTGGTAAAGATTGTTTAACAAGTATATCAACATGTTTACAATGTTTGATAAAAGGATGATTTTAGGATTATTAGCACAAAAATAGGACCTTCTTCCTGATTTATTGATTGAAATGTGTTCCATATTATAATCATGTAACAATTGAAGTCAATCATTTATCCCTTGTTGTCCATATCATGATGAAAATTGTGAGTTAAATCACGCCAAGACTATAGTTTAACGGCCATTTGAATCAATTTGATTTTACAAGATAAATGTTTTTGTTGAAAGGTCAATTTGAATGAGTCTCAGTTGTTGCCAATTGATATATAAATTGCAAGATATAATTTGATCTCATCAGCAAGGAAACAATTTATATATTGATTACACATTTTACTGTCAACAACCATTAATCCATTTCCAATGATAATAACTTTCCAAGATAATAATCAAAGAAAATAGTAAAAATATATTCTCCGATTTTGTCTACCAACATGATTGTCCATTGACTAGAAAAAGCTTACCTTGAGCAACAAAAAGATGATAGTAAAGGTTAGTTTAATGGCAAACCTTATGATTATGTTTGCATAATTATCCTCACAATCACGATATTTTGATTAATATTTTAAATTTCAACGATGATTCCACTGATTCAGATCGTCTAATGTTTGACCTCGGGCTGTGAAACATCATGCAATTGGGATTCCCTAATCAAAGTCAACCTTAAGTTATCCTTAAGTCAATTAGCTAATTGATTGATTACAAATCTGTGGATTAAATGTTGATATTCAAAATTACAATTTAGCTTCTTGGTTTAATTGTTAGTCGTAACCTTGATTGATTGGTTAATTGTTTGTCAACTTGAAAGAGATTTATCAAAACCTTGATTTGCATTGAAATTACTTGATTGTCAACCATCGTTAAGGTCAACCTTAAATTATCATGGTTTCTGAATGTCTCAGGTAAATGGTTATCATTGTGATTGTGATTAGTCTACAATTATATTCACGCATTTAAACGTGTTGTCACACGAATTTGACAGAAAATTTAATTTCGAATCAACTGTTCAACTGATTATCACGGTAATTGTATTCACATATGAAACCTTCAAATTTTCATCTTTTTCAAGCTTCTCAAGGTTTGTGATATTTGGTTAATTAACCCAAACTTGAACCCAAGTTTCAATAAGATTCAATTGAAGATTCGTTCATTTGCTCATTTTGTAAACATTGATCTGCAATTAAATTTACAGTTGATTGGGTTTTCAATTTGAATCTTGATTGTTTGAGACTCAAAGTGTTTTAAAATTGAAAAGCTTCCAAAAAAGGCATTTAATCAACCATTTGAAACATTCAATCGATTGTCTTTAAACTTAATTGTTGAGTTAATTGGACAAATTAATATAATATTTTTGGACATCAGTTTAACCCAATTACAGTGTTTACATTTGATGATAAATTTCAATTTACCTTTTGATTGATAGTCACTAACTTTCCTTTTTTTCCCTGTTGATTTAGTGTATCATTATCATAATACTAATGATTAAAACGTTTGTAAACTAATCATTAACCATTAACTGGTTCAAGTTAATTAGATTAAAAATCAATGATCTTATTGACCCCGGAAAATGGTGAACAAAAAGGTTTTAAATAGTGATGAAGTTTCAAATATACACTTGAATAAAAAGCCATGAATCAAGATGAAACATTGAATGTAAACAAATGATTTTAAGGCTGTTTTTCAAAATTAATCATTTGTATTGGATGATTGCCAATTGAAATTTGATTAACAATCGTCAAAATTGATTTTCAACTTTTCACCAAACACATAACATTAAGACGTTACTCTCAACCAACAATAGATGTAAGATTGATTCACTTGAACTGTTGAAATGAAATTGATAAATTGATTTGTAATTGCGATCTATCGATACATTTAGATTATCATTTTAGTAGAAAGTGTGAAAAAAATTTGATTACAAGTCATTAAATACAAATCGATAAATTTAAGTTTAATTTTGTATCAAAACCAAACAATTGAGGTCAACGTTAACTGTTAATTTAGTCAACTAAAAATGACAATTGAAAGGTTTAAAGTCACTGTGAATCTTATTGTATCTTATTGAATCAAATCTCAATTTGAATATCTAACATCATTGAATTGTAAAGGGCCAAGTTGGATATTGTATCTTATTGTTGGTTTCAATTTGATTTAAAACCAGTTTTGTTAAACAAAGCTGATTGAAATTAGGAAAAGATTCAATTATACTTCAAATTGAGTTATTGTATATTCATCTTCATTATTGTTGCATCAATTTGGATGGGCTTGAAATTGGTAAACAAATTTTACTAAATTGGTAAAAAAATACTTGTGATGATCAATTATTGTCTAACCTTAATTGTATCACTGAATCATGCTCATTAATTGAATTGAAACAGACTAAATCAATTGTCTTAATTAACTGTATTACTAAGTACCAACATCTTACTGTAATTCAATCTTTACCTTATCCTTGAAGATTCACCCTTGAAATATTGTGTTATTGTAAGGTTTTTAACCTTTCAGATAATTTGTCGGATGATTTCAATCGATAATCATATAAAATAAACTGAATGGTCAATCATTAGATCAAGTAATTTATCCTTCAACTTGAACATCGATTAGTTGATTTAGTTCAGCTTGGTTCAATATTGTATTGATTAGTATTGTAAACTAAACAATATTGTCTTGTGTCTTGACAAATGCAATCGAGGCAATTTGAATCAAGCCTGTTCTCAATTTTATCAACTAATCTTATTTTTACTCATTAACTTGAAAGTGTTGATGTAATTAACTGTTGATTCAAGACTTCATTTTTTCACCAAACAACGTCGTTCAGCCCAAAATAACAATCTAAATAAGTAACTAAATTTAACCCTGACATGTTGAATGATTTTTACGTACAATAACACTTGTTTTTTATTGCTTGATTAATGTTGTCATCAATTTAATCACCCTTTTCCTATTCGGATGTTGGACTCTCTTGATAACTCAAAGCTTTTGTTATTACATTATCGATCCAGCTCTTGACCTAAATTATCTTGTGAAATACATTTTCATGGGACAATTGTTGACCTTGAATAGTAACTTCAACCAAAAAAAGCAACTTGCATCTTTAGGCTCATCTATAGTTCAATATTTGAGCTCATCAGTTGATAAACATGAATTGCTGGGCAACAATTGCTGTAGTTACAGTTGCAATTGTATTTGTTTAAAGTTTCCAATCCACATCTTTGAGTTGATCAATCTCTTTTTGTCAAAGTCAAAATTTTTGAAATCATTTCGTAGCAACTTTTTTTCAATACCAATTTGCTAGATGTTCAACAATAAATCATGTCCACATAGTCATTCAGCTTAACCTTTCTCCTGTTGATGTCCTTGTATTGATGAGTAGTTTTTTATTAACTCATATATCGTAATAATATAGCTTTATATTTTCATTGTTATTATCCAAGTCCATCATGGTTGCATTAATTTCCAGTCGGTAGCATCTAAACATTAAATTACTTCTGACTTAGCAAATGGTAATACATTGTAATAAAAAGTAGTCCAATGTTTTTTAACTGCCAGTAACTGGTAACCATCCTTGCAACAGTAAATAACATTTTGAAAATTAACTTTACATGGCTGTATCTAGCTAGTTGTCTACCGCATTAATCATGCAATATCAATCATGAAAAGATTGAGATTATTCCAAAGATTGTCCATGGATAAGTACATGTATTGATTATCACTTTGATTAACTATCCTTATTTTGTAGCAATTGGCTTGTTTAAACGTTAATCTCTTTTTTTTCTTCTTTTTCTTTCTTTCTTTCTCCAGGTGAAATGAGCGAGAAAAATAAACCTGTGATTATTTTGCATGATATTGAATTCAATGCTCTAAAATTGTTGATTGACTATGCATATTCCGGTGAAATTGTCATCAGTGAGGAAAATGTTCAAGCTTTATTACCAACTGCAAGTCTTCTTCAAATTTCTCCTGTTCGTGAAGCTTGCTGTAAGTTTCTTTTACGTCAACTTGATCCTTCCAATTGTTTAGGAATCCGTCAATTTGCTGATGCACATTCATGTGAAGAGCTACATCAAACATCGGACAAGTTTGTTGTTGAAAATTTTCCCGCCGTGGCAAAAACTGAAGAGTTTCTATTGTTACCATACAGTGAGGTAAATTATTATCTCAATTGTTGAACAAATAAATTTAGTCAACACTATTGATAGTGCGTAAAACGTTGAAAAAAATCATAAACAAACTAACTCAATTGTTTTCCTCCATTTTAGGTTGAAGATCTAATTTCAAGTAACCATTTAAACATTCACGACGAGAATGAGGTTTATAATGCAGTTATACGGTGGGTTAAATATGACCTTAAATCACGCGAAGGAAGATTAGGTTCTTTGCTTCAACACATAAGATTTCCGTTAATCCATAAGAATACTTTGTTAAATCATGTTTGTAAGGAACCCTTGATGGAAGGTAATCCTGATGGTAAAGATTTACTGATTGAGGCAATGAGGTACCACTTGAGTCCCGACCAACGAACCAACATTAAAAACATACGAACTCAATATCGCCGCCCAAAAGGTTTAAAGACGTACATTTTTGCCATTGGAGGTGGCTCATTGTTTGCTATTCACAATGAATGTGAATTTTATGATCCAGTTAGTGATACATGGTGCTCTTTTGCACCAACCTACAAGAGACGATCTCGAGCCGGAGTTACCACTTTAGGTCGACATTTATATGCAATTGGAGGTTACAATGAGAATAAAGAATTGTCTTCAGGTGAATTTTACGATCCAATAGTTAACTCCTGGGAACCCTTGGCACAAGATATGGGAACAAAACGTAGTTGTCTGGCTATAGCAACGTTGAATGGTCTCATATATGTTGCTGGTGGATATGATGGAGCTTCTTGTCTATCCTCGGTGGAAAGGTTTGACCCATTATCCGATATGTGGGCATCTGTTGAAGCCATGACCGGTAGACGAAGACATGGACGATTAACCGTATTAGATGGTTGTCTCTATGCAGTTGGAGGTTATGATGGAACCAATTATCAGGCTTCAATGGAAAGATATGATCCAAGGGTAAGAAATAATCAACAAATTAATTAATAATAAGAGTGTCAAACAAAGAGTTAACTAACAGCTTAAAACACTTGTTCATAATGCGTAGTCGCCATCTTGTGCAAAACAAGCTTAATTAAAAAAGAAAGAAAAATTTGCCCCTTTCTTTGATTGAAATCAATCTATGATTAAGAGGTTACCTACGATGAAAGGCGCTAAATTTACTTTCAATCCTACGAGATTTACAGTTTTTGCCATGAGAATATTAGATTATCAGATTAATAAATTTCTAATAGCAGCATCTATTATATTGTTTCAGTGAAGAAACTAAAAAGTTGACGATTTTTATTGTAGACTGCAAATTCATCTGTTTTGCTGATGAAATTTGATTTTTTAAACAAGTAATAAATCATTTCCTCAATTATTTTGTATTGGAGGGAAAACAGATGATTAATTATTAAAATGTCATTAGCCTTGGGTTTCTGTTTTGCATTTTAGATACATGAAAGGTTATTGAATTTCTTTCATCTCATCTTCAATGAACAAAAGAAGCTATTTTCATCTGTTATTCCTAAAGCTCGTCCATTTATTGGTGTTGTGGTTCGTTGAAACGTCAATTTATGTTTCCAGGCATCAACGATCGATATTATTCCAAGTAAAAGGTTGATTAGAAACTCTGTTGTAAACTCTCTCCTTGGTTACTAACATTTTCATGATTGTAACCTTTATTTTGAAGTTCATTGACATCTTAGGGCCAACTCCCTGTAAAGCATGTTTTTGTTATGATTGTTGCTGCCTTCAATACCATTAAATATATCATCATGATGATCCTATTTCAACAATTAACCGTTACAATTATTGTTCCCATTGGTACAGTTGTTAATGGAAAATGTTAACCACAATTGAAGAATTGAAAAAAAACAATTGAAAAGTTACAATAATAGGAATCACAGTTGATTGACGGAGAGAGCAAAAGTGAACATAAAGATAAACACAGACACAATTTACGAGTTTAAAGCACTGCATAGATCATAGTAATTTGATTTTAGACATAACAGGCAAACCCTCATATTATCAATTAATCAGTCATGTTGAAGTGTATATCAATTACATTTTGATAATATGCTTTGTCTGCAATCATTAATGCTTTTATGAACACTGTAACAATGAAATTAAACAGTCTAAATCATTTTATAACAATAACTAATATCATTGTTTGCTCTTATTATTTTCAGGAGGCTCGGTGGCAGTTAATGCCTCCAATGACTAATCGTCGCAGTAGTGCTGGAGTTGCTACTTTGGATGGTAAAATATACGCAGTTGGCGGCAATGATGGCAGTCTTTGTATGAATACAGTTGAACGATTTGATCCAACAAAAAATGCTTGGGAATCAGTCGCACCAATGCATACTCGAAGGTAAATAAACTGTACACAGTTGACTTTATGATATGCTAATCGTTTTTTCATCTTGGCTTTAGGAGTACCCATGATGTTGTTGAGGCCGATGGATTTCTTTATGCGATTGGAGGCAATGATGGAAGCTCAAGCTTGAATACTGTTGAAAGATTTGAAATTAAAGGAAATCGATGGATTCCAATCAATTCAATGATGTTAAGGCGATCCTCTGTTGGAGCTGCAGCTTTGGAATGTCCGAATATGGAGAAAATTTTGGAAGCTTTGAATCATCAAGAATCGTGATCTGTGTGATAGTTAGAATTTGCTGCTTCGATTTTTTGTTCTTTTTTCTGTCTTGCAGTTGAAAAGATTTTTCCCGCTTTTCCCTGTTTCCTCCGTTTTTCTGTATTCTGATAAGATCGTGAGAAACCAACATTGATCTACCAAAATAGCCATCATGAAAAACCACCGCAATGACCATTCTTGTCACCATTTTGTCATTTTCATCATCTCTCTTTAACTTATGTTATGACTGCGAGTAAGAAAACATTGATCCATCATTGAAAATCATCATTTTTACTGGCAAACCACCAAGAAGCCTTGTGCTTTTGTTTTTTTATAAACAATTAATTTTTGATTATTATTATTATTATTATTACAATGTAAACTAAAGTTGAACAAACCACTGTTTTGTTTTAGTTTCTGTCAATTATACATCCATCACCAATCCTTGATGCTTGATGGTTTCCATCTTCATCTAAGAAATGAATACCAAAGGACTCATGATTAACATGAGTTGTTGTTTATTTGTCTTTTCCTGCTTTACAAAAGATCTTTTGTTATTAATTACAATGTTCAACCACTTTTTTGTTAACATTAACTTAAACAAAGTATCAAGCTAATCAAATTAAAACGCTTACCTTCCGAGAAACTGTATCTGAAATGCAATCAAATTGCATGTAGAGTCTTGAACCATTATCACTTTCTTGGACCAATTTGTGCAACAATATTCCACTAAAAATCCAATAAAAATAATGACCAAACCGTTTGATTAAAATCAAAACAATGTTAAAATTTCATTTCCTACAAAGCTGCCATCTATTGACCTTTGACTCGTCCTATCTATGACACTTGACTGTATTTATTCGGTTGATTTAAGTTTGAACTTATTTATCAACAAGTTTCTTACTGTTTTATTTGTGATTTTTTATACATTTTGTTTTTACTCAAATTTATTTATTTTTTCTGTGTTCTGATTAATATGTTTTCAACTGAGCCAATTACTCCGTCTGAAAGTTCAGAGTTTAGTGATGCAATCGCAAAATATGACCAAGAACCTCCATCCACAAATGTCTATTATTTTGGTTATGCAAAAGAATACTTTCCATCATGTCGTGCCTGTGTCTTGGGCCAAACTGACAAACAGATTGATAAAAGGTTGAATGATAAACTAATTTCTGGTTCCGATTTCCGTGCTAATGATTTTGAGGATTATATACACTCACATGATGCTGTTGATGTTATTGATGTTATAGATGAAGATGAACCCAATTCTAAACGACTACGGCTTCGAAGTAATGGTTCAACCTTTGGTCCTGTCTCTAAGAAAATGTTTATAGATGCAATGGAAGTTGACCAGATTACTGATATAAGTCTAAACCATTCACCAATTGCTTCTTTTGATCATTCTATGTGGTTATTGATGAAAAATGTTGCTCATCTTTCACTTGTTGGCTGCCATTTAGAGATTGTTCCAGATGAACTCAAGCTTTTTACAAATTTGCAATCTCTTAATTTGGGTTATAATCAGATTCGGTCAATACCTGAATGGCTTGGCTCTTTATCTCATCTGAAATCACTGAGTTTGGACGGTAATCGGTTGACAAGTCTACCCGATACAATTTGTGATTTAATCCATCTCGAATATTTAACCATTGGAACCAATGAGATATCATATTTACCTGAGAAATTCGGTCGATTGACAAAACTTAAAACTTTCGACGCTTCTTTCAACAAACTTAACGAAATACCTGATTCTTTTGGCTCTCTTAACTCCTTGGAAATTATTGAACTGGGAAGAAATCAGATTGAAAAGATGCCCAAATCTCTGGCTGGACTATCTAATTTAATTATTCTTGATTTTTCGGACAACAATCTAGAAAAATTACCAAATTCTGTTGGATTCAGCGGTACAATAAAAAATATCCACCTCGACAATAACAGTTTGTATGAACTCCCCGAATGGTTCAATGATCTGCCCAATCTTGTTAAATTTACCTGCAAATGTAACAAACTGCAAGGGGAAGCTCTTTCTCCAAATTTCCTTATGAATAGCAAAAATTTGCAAGAGATTAACTTCAATGGAAATTTAATCAACACTTTGCCGGAAACTTTCTCCTCATTTGAGAAACTTGTATTCCTTGAGTTGGGTAGTCCACTAATGTTTCCCGAAAGGAGGCCTGACTTGAAGAATGGCAATCGTTTAAGGACTCTTCCTGTTCAATTTGGATTGTATTTGAGCAATTTAATGGAGTTGCGAATAGATGAGAATGATTTGGACAGTTTACCTGAACATTTTGGCATTGGTTTAATTAATTTACGAAAGCTCAATCTTTATCACAACAATTTAACACAGCTTCCAGACTCTATATGCTCTATGAAAAATCTCGAAGAGTGCATCTTATCTTATAACGGGCTGAAAGAACTGCCAGAAAACTTGGGTGATCTCGTAAATTTAAAGCTACTGAGGCTTGACTGTAATGAGGTATTTTTTTCTTTTGGTATCTTCTTAGGTAAATCTTGTATTGACAATTCAATCACCTAATTATTTTGTTACCTTTCTATTCTTGAATTTTTCAGCTTGATAAACTTCCACATTCGTTCTCAAAACTATGCAATTTGACCCATTTGGATTTATATGGAAACAAATTCAATCATTATCCAGAGATACTTTTAAAATTAGAAAAGATTAAATATATTGGAATGCAAGCTGGAGATTTTGAGTCGGATGAAGGTTTGACTGAAGCTGATGGTCAAACAATGGATACTAAATGTGAACAAAATTTTCCCGAAAACTACGCTAATACGGATATAACTTGGTAAACTGAAATTCGGGTTAAAATTTTGATTGTTGAATCAAGCTGTCTTGTGGACTTGAATTTCTAATTTGTGGTTAGTGATGAAAATACAGCATTTGTAAACGCAATGATTTCCAAAATTCATGTTTAATTTACAAAAGGGCAATTTTGAAAAATCTGTGAAAATGCAAGTACATTAAGAGCCACCTCTTAACCAACATCATGATTATTTAATTCAGCTGAAATGTAAATTTTGTTATCTACAATTCAACATAAATTGGTATCTTTAATTCTAATGTAATAGGCAAGAAAGCGAAGAGAAATATTTAAATATATTTTCGTCAAACGTAATCAAATATCTTACAAGTTCCATCTTCGGAGGAAGTTAATATTAAATCTTTATCGAGGGCAAATGAAAAATCTAAAATTTGGTCATCGTGTCCAGTCTTGGTAGAAACCAAAGATGCATCTCTACCGTCAACGATTCTTAAATTGCCATCAAGACCAGCACAACAAATCAAATAAGGTACATTTGGACACCATCCAATCTTTGAAATCCCCTGATCACAATGGAAAGTAGATTTTTTCGTTTGAGTACTAATATCCCAAAATTCAAGATGCCCGTTGAGTGATCCTGTTGCAAGAACTGAATAAATATTATTGAAACCCAGGCTTTCAACTGAGTTGGATGTATCGACTGTTTTATCATCTTCACTTATTCCACAGGCAAGATTTGCCACCACTTTACCAGATTGGGTGCTGATTAATTTAGCTGTTGAGTCGAGCGATCCAGAAGCAATCAAAGAATCATCTTTGGTTACATCTAAGGAGATGACTGCATCTTTATGAGCAGAAGGAGGTTTAATTGTATGAAGCGGTTTGGATTCCGTCAAATCCCATATTCTTATTTTACCATTTTCGTAACCAGTTACCACCTTTTGTCCATCATTGAAGAATATTCCCGCTGGATTGTCGGCACCAGGGCCTCTCAAATCTTTAGTGGTATAATCAAGTGAAAGAATGTAAGAAACTTCTGTTTGAGTGCCAACCATTAAGGTTCCTGGTTGATTAGGATGCCAGCGAAGCCAATTGATATCAGCTCCAATGTCATAATCGTATATTCGTTCACCATTTGATAAGCTGCAAACTTGGATATATCCTTCCATATCAATAGCAGCAATTAAACAATCATCACAGTTGAATCCAACATCAATAACTGAATCTTCAAAATCTAACTGGCCTATCACTTGATAGTTACTTGTCCTCCAAATGTAAGCTTTATCATCTTCACCTCCTGAAACTGCAACATCACCTTTACTGTTGAGGGAACAGCAAAAGACTGGACCTGAATGCCCATTAAACCTTTGGAAAGGATAAAAACAATAATTTCTTCAGACATATGGAAACAAAAACAAAAAACATGTGATAATATAGAAAATTTGCACTTACATGATTTGGATTATTTAAGTAAATAGCTTTTAAAAGAAGAGTACAATGATCTGAAGAAAAACTTATTAAGATTGTTGAATTGGTGTCATTCTGGTTAGGCTGGTTCTGATCTCTTCAAACTTGGATACCACGTGATCTCCATTCTTTTAAGTAAGACTTTACAAAAATCTGTCAACTAACGACTTTTAAAGTTTCAGCTAGCTAAGTCGATACATAAGCTAGTGAAGGTAACAAGATTAAAGTTAAATAATTTTAACTCGATTCAGTTAGAACAGACTAGATTAAGTAATGTTGGATTGGTTTGGTTTAAATCGAGTTCGATTAATTCGCATTAGGTTGAATCAGCTGTAAAAGTCGGTATCCTTAGTTTAGTAAGCTGTAGCTTATAAAAGAAGAAGTGAGCTGGTGGGTTGTTCAAATTCAATTCTATAGGGTTGAGTTTAAATATCACTCTATTCAACTCATTGATTTCAATATCAATCTTTTACTAGTCAAAGTAACTTGTGTCCAAGAATTCGAACTAAAATGTCTACTAAAGTTTATATCATTTCTCAATTGAATGCTAAAAAAGTTAAAGATGAATTAGAGAAATTATATCCGAAAGATGTTACCTTTGAACTGGTGCCAATAAGTAAGGCCAAGGAAGGTATATTCATCCGTGACTTGTGGTTGGAACCAGAAGATTTGGAGAGACTCAAGGATGCCGAAATAATTCTTGGTGATAACATGTTTATGCCTCAGATTTTAACAAGTTGTCCAAAATTGAAATGGATTCAAGGAACCTATGCTGGAGTGGATACAGTCTTTCATCGTCTTCCTAAATTTTTCAAATCGGGAGAGTTTCCATCAATACCGGCAGCTCGATTCTCTGGAAAAAGTTTTGGTAAACTCATGTCTGATTACTGTTTAGGTTATATTATTGCTGTTGAAAGAAATTTCATCAAATTTCGAGATAATCAACATACTCGAGATTGGTCAATATTGTTATCCCAACAATCTGGTTTAATTTATCGAAGTTTAGATGAAATAACAGTAACTGTTCTTGGCTTTGGTTCTATTGGTAAAGATATGTGTAAATGTTTCTCTAGTTTAGGTTGTAAGGTGACTGCTTTTGCTCGTAGTCCTAAACCCAAGAAAGATCTAGACTCGAACGGTGTTACCAATTTCACGACAAATCTTTCTGATGCCTTATCCAATACTGATTACATTGTTGCCATCTTACCAGATACACCAGACACAATTGGACTTTTAAATGGAAATGTGCTCAGTGTTTGTTCAGCTAAAAAGCCAACTTTGATAAATGTTGGTCGAGGTTCTCTTATTAGTTCAGTTGATGTAATTAAAGCTCTTGACAACGAATGGATTTCAAATGCTGTTCTAGATGTTTTCGAAGTTGAACCGCTGCCTGCTGACAATCCTCTTTGGACTCATCCTAAGGTTATAATGACACCACACATATCCGCCTTGACTAAACCTAAAGATTTAGCTGAAGTTTTCCGTAATAACTTTGAACATTTTAAAAAAGGTGAACCTTTAGAATTGTTAATTGATTGGAAATCTGGTTATTGATTCAAAAACCTGAAACCAAGCCATAAAAGTAAACCTTTCCATATAGTTTGTTTAATATATGCATTTATATTATCCAGAAATTTTTAGATATTGACATTCATTTATTATTATTGGTTTCTGTTTATTACGACAATAAAATATGTTACTTGTATGTTGCAGTTTTAGTTGAACATGATTGTCACCATGTTAAATCCACTTCAATAGATATTTTAAGATAATGATTCACACCTCCAAGGATATCAATAATCTATTCAGTTTATTGCAATAATAAAGAAATCTTTTATACACTTCAACCTTCTGTTAATGCAATCTATTGATCACTCGTAGATATGATGGTTTATTAAGAAAAAAGCAAATCTCAAACGCGTCACATTAATTGAATTGCACCTGTTACACAATTTGTCAAATCAATGCTGCGTTAAAACTTTATTTAACAAATTATATCAAATATATCTTACAATTTGTTAGTCCCCTTCGAGACGTTCTGAACAGATCAATGTGAAAATAGTTCCGATAGCAAAAATCGAGACTCCAAATGCAGCAATATAAAGAGATAAACTTTATCGATCAAACCTTATAAACTTGTTTCTGTGAATCGTTTAAGACAGACTGAATATCCTCCAAATTTCATTTATTTCTTGTTTCAAGTAACAATCATTTTTATATTTTATGATTTTTTTTGGATTTGACGTTTAACTTTCAAAATAATTTTTGGAGTCTTCATAATCATCTATTGAAATTAGTGTAGTGTAGAAGTCACACGATTGCCAGTCATCGGCTGCTTGTACAGGATACAGTTGTTCGAGGCCAAAGATCATAGAACAGCAATAAAAAGTTTACGTATTCACAATGTTTTTGCTTGGATTGTCCGAAAATTTTTGATAATTTATCAGAAATCAGAAAGAAATCATCATTTTGTGAATATTAATTTTGCTCTTCTATAATATCGACAATTATGGTTTTGTGGAATTTTCATATTTGAGTGTTTAAAATAATAATAAATGAGTTAGTTACCGAAATCAAGCGTATTTTCAAATGCAACATTGTAAGGGAAATTAAAATTGAAATTAATCAAAAATTTATTTTAAAACAGTAGGTTCCATTTTTCAGGAACATAAAATCTTAATTGAATAAAGAAATAAAAGATGAAACATTAATTGTACATGATGGGCGATTTAATCATCAAGTTGAATTTTTAGATTCAGTTAATTTGTGTCCATTGAGAATACAAAGATCTCATAAGGGTAGTGATGAAAGGGAAAACATGATAATTACAGCAAGGTAACCCTTAATTTTATAGAATTTCAATGGTCTTGACTTGTCGAGTCACAGCAGGCCATTTTAAGACCTTGACCAAAAAATGAAAATCTATAAAATAAAGGGTTACTCTACTGTAAGTCAATAATGGCGGCAAAGATTGAGATGAATTTATAGCTGACAAAAATGTTTGGTTAATCTTTTCGGTGATAAGATGGAATCCTGAATATATCCGTTTTTGCTTACAATTGGTTTTGAATCGAGTCAAAAAATGACTAAATATAGTTATGAAGTTAGTTTAAGTTAAAGAAAATTACAAAACTAAATACAAAACAATAAACTTGAGATTAGTTTAAAAATCTCCATTTGGCTTATTCAACTATGAAATAAACTCTTTGTCATTATTATTAGTAATAGAAGTTTATTACCATCAGAAATAAGCCAATTAAAGTTACTGAGATTTAACTGTTTTGAGTTCGTAACTGGTGATCAGAATCTGGTGGCTTTATTTTCATTGAATTGCAGTAAATTGTGGATACGAAACCATTTTGGCTCACCTGGAGCTAACTGGAGTTGAAACAAATATATTTAGGCTCGTTTTATCACCGACAATAATTCAGTCTCTTGAAATATTCAATTATCGTTTAACATATGCATCAATGATTTCTTTGGACAAAGGCTTGAGGAGGATGATCGGATTATCAGCTGAACATTCGATGGGTATGTCAGGGTCAAATAAATCAGCATCTCGCCAAAATGAACGTACACTACTAGAGTTTGAATGGTCCATCATACTACTGGGTAAAAAAATGTCATCGTCACATTTTTCAGGTTTTTTATTATCGTTCATAAGTGTTCTTCTCTTTGCTCTTCCATATCTGTTGGCTTTATTTGATGTTTCATTAGTCACTTTGGTCTCTTGTTCGTCGTTTAACTTGCTCTTGTAGTCAGATAAGGTCCTTCTTGAATAGGTTCGCGATTCCCTACTCAATTCATAGCTATCATTGGCATCGTGTTCATTAGATCGATGAATGAGAAGCATTATATTTGAATGGAAACTTTTATCACAATCAGTGCAGCAATGCGCTCTTTTTGGACTTCGAGAACGACTAACACCTAATTTTTTTTCCAAGCCAAGACTCACTGGATGGTCAAATTCGAGATGTTTGGCGAGAGAAATCTGCTTAAGAAAAACTTTGGAACATAGTTCACAGTGAAACTTTCCATCGTTAGGGTCTTTGTCTGGGATTACTCTATCCTCAAAAGATGATTCAGGACACCCTTCTTCGCCTTCATAATAATATTTTTTCAAGGGTTTACGAGGCGTCTTAACTCTAGGTCGACTTCGACTAATCGACTTGGTAGGCGAAGCTCTGAATCGATCATACTTTGACCGCGGATCTTCTGGTACTCCTTCAGCTGGTTCCATCAAGTCTTTAAGGATTTCTTCAGTAGATCTCATTTCATCTTTAGGAGCCAATTCAGAGTAAAGTTTATGCATGGCGCTAACTGCCCAGTCTAATCGTTTGAGATCTTCTTCAAATTGTTTTTGAAATGAGGCTATACGAGAATACATTTCCTGAATGTTTATAGGTGATCCAGCAATGGTTAGCTTATACTCAACTTTACCAAGACTGATGCAACTTGAACTCAGCTGTTTGAGCAATAATTCTCGACGAGCTAATAGTTTTTTCAATTCATGAGCCGCTGTATTGATGATTGCTTTGTCCGATGTTTGGATATTTCTCGAAGCGATAACTTTTCTTACTTTGGTAACTCCATCAGTTGACTTATTTTCTTCAATTGTACATTGATCAGAATTAGTTTGATTATCGTCTTTACTTTTTTTGACCGCCAAAATTGAACCTTTTTCGCTTAAATCAGCCTTGCGTCTGCGAGTTGGTGTAGTTGGTGTAGTAGCATTTACTGAGGGAACGTTTGAAAATTGCATTGGTTTTTTATTGGCACTTTTACCACTTAAATTGGAAGCTGGATGAGATACTGAATCATTTTTCTCTGAGCCAGAAATAAGCTGCTGTTGAGTACTGTCAATTAGTAGTGTCGGACTTCGTTTTGAATAAGTGATCAAAGTTTTCATTTGACCAGTGTCAGATTTTGATGTTGGATTATTAGAGACTTGATTATTGATTACTTGTAAATTCTTAGGTGACTTAGATTCAATCGTTGGGGTTGTTTGTTCAGCATTTGTGCTCGATATAGTCGGATTTTCTACAACTGGAACTTTATTTGGTGCATTGGTGATGGCAAAAGGTGTCTGAACTGTGGGAGCGAACTGAGTAGGTGGAACAATGAAGTTAATCTTATTGGGTGAAGTAATAGGCGCAGTTACTTTTGTAGGAGCAGGTTTTCCCATTGGTTTTATCATAGATCTTGAATTTAACGGAACCAAATTTGTTCCCGCTGGAAGATTTACATTTGGAGCACCAGATGGCATCGTATTAAAAGTTATTGTTTTAACACCAGTATTCAATGAGAGATTTGCTTGTTGACCTGTATTGGGATTTTGTACAGTCTTCTGAGAAGGAATGAGTATGTATTTGAGCGGAGGTGCATTCGCATTCGGAGGTCCAGTCGTAATTATATTAGTAAATGGTTTAGTAGCACTTGTACTGACTGGATCAACAGTAGGGTTAGTTGTAGTCAACAAAATGAAAGATTGGTTTAGAGGTTCTGTACCAGGTTTAGATGGATTCGCCTGTGATGTAACAGGCGAATTTTTCACGATATACATGATGAATTTAAGGTAAGATGGTTTAACTTGAACTAAAACGATTCGAGTTACAAATAATCAACTTTTTATTATTAAAAAGGTTCAATAAAATTGAAAAGAAATATTGGAACACCGAGAGTTAATTCACGAGTAAAAAACAAAAGAGAATCAGACTGAATTTAAGCGAGTCTATGAAAGCAATAGATGGCGTTGGGGATCATATAAAGGGACCATATTCTAATAGACATCAAGTTAATGTCCATTGAGATTCAATGATTTTATAATGACATTGCCGATGATTTAAAAAGAAATGATTAATTAGATGATTAATTTACTACATTTTACCTATTTCCCTATTTCATTGCATCCTAAGTCGATAAGCTGTTCAAAAATGAAGCAAAGTTCACAAATTGATTCTCAATGCAACTCTGACTAGCTTAATAGTTTTGTTTTGTTTTGTGGTAAGATTGAAATGATTGAAATTTATTGTTGCTATCTGATTGTTGTCTGATCAATGCTTTAGCTTGATCAATTTCGCAACAGTTTACTTGATTGTATTAACAGAAAAGTTGTAGACCATTAAAAGACCGTTGATCAGAAAAGGAAAGTTAAATATTTTTAATAGAATCATCAATTGATTTAATTTTTCCAAGTGGTATTAGACCTGTTAAGTGTTTCAAACTATTCAGCAATCTTATTTGATTGTTTGGTATGAAGATGATGATGGATGAATGAATAGAGAGGATAACTCTTTTGTTCTCATCTTTGATGGATTCAGGAACATTTTTGTTTGTTTTGTTGCCCAAAACCAGTCAACATCATGACAATATTTACCTACCTTTTACCTTTTCACGTAAAATCACAATTCTTCCTCGTCAACATTGAACTCAATCAAACATTATCATCATCACAATTCAACTATTAATATTTTATATTCAATAATAAATACAATCAAATAACGTGTTTCATTTACTTCCTATTTACTCCTTACTAGGGACAACAATTGACACGTTTTTGCTTTACATTACAAATCAACAGGTTTAACAATGAGAAACCTTTATAACAAGTTAGTCAATCAACAGAAATTAAATTTAAAACAATTTAGAGCATTAATAAGATATTTATGGAAACCATGACCATTGATATAAAAATAATCAAATGTATCCATCATATTGGATCGCTTTAAAATGACAATAAAAATCAAGAAAAAAGTCATTTTTCAAGCAAAAAAATTACTTCGCCAAGATTCGTACAACCTTGATCTTAATAGCAATTTCAATTGCTATTAAGATATGTAGATAATTGCTGTAAGCAAATAAACTTGTCCAACCGTTAACATTGATTAGCCACGATGAAGATGCATGAAAACTAGACGATAAAAAAATATACAAATGTAAACATTAAAACCAAATAAGATAAACCGACGATTATTTTGATTAAATAAGCCTAAAATAATAGACACTATGTAAAATTAAAATATTGATTAAGACGTGTACATGAGTTGAATAGTCAATTTGAAGGATTCCAGGATTAAAGCAAAAGATAATGAATATAAAAGCAAAGAATCTTGCTGTTAATGTTTGGATTATCGACTCCAATTGAAAATATTTTTATAAAAAACGGCCGATGATAGGAAATGTTGAGATAAGTGTTTAAATTTTATGATTAATATAATGATTTCTAGTGCAAAAGTGGGTTATTTATTCACTATTGAACCATTCGCTATCGCTCAAAACATTGAACACTAACAATAAAATTATCGTAATTCATGATAAAAATTGATTTTCTACAATTCTTTTGTGATTTACTTTACTTGTGATTAGGTCAATATGAAAGTAAATGTATCTATAATGTTTCGTCCTCTCTTCATGTATCCAAACTAAGGCTAAGTGTTATTGTTGACCAATTTACTTTCTCATCATTCTTATCCGATTGTCAATTCAATATCAATTGATTGAATGATGAAGTGAAGTGAAAAAAAATCCTTTTCGAGTGGTTTTTAATGCAAAAAAGCGGAAGTGTCCCAACCTCCCAAATTTGTTGATAAAGGTGGGTTACTTTTACTTTTCTTGGGCCTTCCTTTTAACTCTATCTGAATCATCCTCATCCTTATCTCCATCTCCTGTTGTCAAGTTTTAGGTTGAAGGAAGTTATTCAAGTGATAATAGCAATTGTAGTGAGCTATAACAACAGAAGCAAAAAAAGAAAAGGTAAAAATTAAAACCCGATCTCAATTAGCAGGAGTAAAAGATTATAATATGCTTAGATAAATATTATAAATTATAAATCTACATTGTGTTCGGACGTGTGTGAGATTTCAAGGAGGAACCAATAATGAAGAGGAGAGACAAAACATGAACACGATGAGAACGATCAGGATGGAGCGATTCGATCGATATAAAAGCCCGAAACATGTCCATCCATCGATTGCAGATGCATTTGCTTGTTAATTGAGTTGGTTTAGTGTTAACATCGAATTTAACGTGGAATCGCAATTGTTCTTGTCCCTTCGTTATGGTTATGTTTCAATCCGAGGTTTAAAAGTGAAAATTGGTTGGACTTGTTCATTTTTGCTTTTGTTCAATTCATCGTCCGGAATTGATAATCCTGTCACCTGGTTCTCCGTTGAATTTAAATAATTTAATCCATCCTCTGTGTTCAGTATTCACATCTTTTTTTAATTCACCATGAAGTGCTGTGGGATGAAATTACACCATCGTCTGACTGATCGTCCAGTAGTCTTTCTTTTGCTTGTTACTCTTTGTTGGCTTATATTCTCGGAAAATATCAGGCAAACTGAAGCTGGTAAATTACTTGCAATCAAAAAGTTGAAAAAGATTCTTCCACTGTTAGCTTTAATGCCAAAGTAAGTTGATCCTGCAATTTTTTCACCATATGACAACATTTTACAGCCAATTTGAGCTAAACGAATCGCTTTCTTTTGATTTCCAGGAAGAAGACAATTCTATTACCACTTCCAATACCATTACCATTGCCTTTACCGTAAGTAGATTTGGTATTTTATTTTGATAATTTCAGGTTTTTATCAAACAGCAAATCTATTTGATTGTTAAATGGTCATTTTTTCACTTTTGTCAGAGTGTTGAAGTTCACTAAACAGAAAGAAATGCCCGATTTGAAAAGCTTGTTAGCCAAGTTTATGGCAGCCAGTGGAGGTGGCTGGGGAAGCTCAGGTGGCGGTGGATGGAGCGGAGGCTCAGGGATGATGATGCCAATGATGAGCTCACACGAAATGGAGGGCCAAAGTGGTGGATACTCGTCTGGTGGTCAATCGTCCGGTGGTTACTCATCTGGTGGATCCATGGGCGGTTGGGCTTAACAGGTTGACACTTATTTTTTTAATAATCATAATGATGAAAGTTATCATTGTTTCATCACTAAATACATGTATGTATTTACATATTCCTTCAACTAAATTTATGTACAATCAATTTGTTTACTCTGTTGGCTGGGCCACAAGATTTGAAGAGAGTTTTGTTCTCACAAAATAAGATTCAACTCATAATTTTAAATGTTCATATTGAAGATATTTTTGATGAATTTCGTGAGAATAAAATATTTATATTTGTTGTTTTACTGTGAATCAATTTAAATCACATGTTTATCAACTGCTTGAAAAGTGCGGTTTAGTAAAAGCTCCTCCTTTTACATATAAATATTGGCGGGAAAAGTGTATCGTTTGTGTTTTTGTTTTGCTCAGCTTTTGCCAATAGTAATTCGGTTCTCATTTAACGTTTTATCCATGGATAATCCTGAAGTGACTTTAGAATCAGTGTTCAATGAAATTTCTCAGACGCTGATAGGAGACTATCGTTTCAACAGTAAGTTGGTTAATGAGAGGGTTGCTCGTCTTGAAAAGTTTACCAGAAAGGTTGATGATGTCCTCTTCAGTTTTTTCAAGGTATGTTTTGGTTTGTTTTTTATCAAATGCTGTGTATTTAATCTTAATAATTTTCTAATTGTGTTTAATACTCCTTTTTAGAAATGTGTCGGAGATTTTCTCGAAGAAGAGGAAAAAATTTATGAAGAGATCAGTGGCAATCTTGATGAGGATGAATTACTTACAAAGCAAATAATTGATCTATCTAATGAAATTGAAGATACAATCGATGACACTCGCAAAATTATTGAACAATCCCACGAATTGAGTCGAGATATTTTGACTATTAATAGCAGAACCCAATCATACAACCAGATTCAACAGGTTATCAGCAAATTAAAAGAAACTATGAAGCAAACCAAAGACATGGTACCAGTGGACCAAGAAGCAGTTATTATTGACGCGTTATAGATACTATTCAACACAGAGAGTATAACTCTTTGATTCAACATCTAGTGAAATAATGACAAGGCTTAGAGATAAATTGATTCCTACTATGAACATTTCTGTATAGTTACTCTTTGATGAAATACTTGTATAACTTTAAAATACTCTTTTAAAAATTATATTAACTGATACTGTCTCCTCACAAGAAAATTGGTGAGAAATCAGGTAACTGATAACAAGCCAGATATTTCTATCATTAAAAAGCATAGCAAAGCATTAAAATATGATAAATTTTCTCATATTAAAAGATGAATTTTGACAAGTTAACACTTGATACAGTTTTCCTTAATAACAGGTTACAGTAAACCCTCGATATTTTGCAAAAGGGTTAAAGTACCTGATGATTATTTCAACATAGCCAGTCAAGATTTTCCGGTCAAACAATCGTTAATTGATGTAAAAGTGATTATAAAAGATCAAATTAATAATAAAAAATTAAAATGCTTAATTCAAAAAGTTTAGTTTAGTTAAGCTGTCTATCAGTTTTTGCAAAAGGATTGTGTGGTTGAATTAAGTTCAAGATTATTGAATAGACTCGATATTCTGCATGGTTTGGATTTTCCTTGGTTGGTGATTTTCTTCTTTGAAATTCTTCCAAGTTTTAGCTTGTTTTAGCTTGTAACAGCTTCGGTTCAGTTAGTTTTCGTTCAATTTTAGTAAGAGGTCTGGTTATCGATCACAGAAAAAAATTTCATAGGTTCATAACTTGTAGCAATGCATGTAGCTATGTAAAGTCATGTTTTTTGCTCATTTATTGACTTTAAATTACTTAAATTAGTGATTTTTTATTTCAAGATTCAGTATAATTCATGGGAAGATTTATTCAAAGTATGTAAAAACCGAATTCATAAGTGAGCTTGGCCATCAAAGATGATGTAGCAAATTTGATAATTGGCTAAACCGTACCACACAATGCATACATTAAATTTGATTTTTGTATACTTTGTAAGTAATTCGAATAAAATACGATTCGAGTTAAATTAGAACCCCTTTCTAATCCTCATCGCTGTCAGAATCTCGACCTCCACCTAAACCACCTAAACATGTGTAATGTTTTCTTGGTTTAAAAGATTTTTTTCTTGGGTCTGATTCGAGGCTTGTTTTGATTGCACCAGTCTCTGAAATCATCCACTCTAAATCTGAAAATGTAAAAATAATCAGGAAAAAGAAAAAGATCAATTTATAATTCTTAAAAATTCTGGATTAGTTGATATTACCGTCTTGCTTGAGATTAGTCCCACCAAATGAGTCTGAGCCGAGGATTTGTTTTTTCAGCTCGCCTTCGTAATATACAAAAATTGCTGGTAAATTGGATTCCGGGAAATTAGGAATACAAAGTTGCACCAGACTTTTGATGAATTTGGTGTGTACAAATTTCATTGCCAGATATCTAAGATGATTATTGATCAATGAGCACAAAGTGTCACTGTAAATAAATAAAGAAAGTCAGTTAATAAATTTCTGTGAAAACAGGTCTGAAAGGCTCAGCTATAAACTGAACTAATTTCACAATAATAAGCTGTTTGGTTGCGAAAAATTGGGTGGAAGACTAAATACTAGGATTTTCAATGTAAGCAATGTCGATGTTTACACTGATACATGCAATCGAACTGTACATAACTCTCGAGTTTAATAGTAGCCATTAGTTAAATTCAAAATACTTACCCTTCTCGATAAACATGGAGAACCACCCAGATACCTTCACCAGCTTTATTTACTTGATCAACATAATCTTGCTTAGTAATCTCAATGACTTCACCAAATCTTGGCTTCATTTCTTGTAATCTCAACTCAGCCAGGCGCTTTTGCCGGTACTCATGGAAAGCTCTTTCATCGTCTTCTCCTAAATGGTCAAGGAAATCTTCATCATCGTCACTATTTTCATTAGAATCACTTTTGGGTTTTTCAAAGTAAGCCACAATTTTATCCTGGTTATCATTAAATCCTCCCTCCGATGATTGTAAAGTCAACTCATCTTGATCATCAATAGTGGCTTCATCCTTCTTAATGATTCCTTTCCTTTGTAAAACATCAATCCATTCTGTACCAGAGGCCTATTCAAAGAAAACAGTTAACAATTTTAATTAAACATCTAAATAAGCAAATTAAATTAAATAAAATGACTTACCATTTTAAAAGTGAAAAGAAGCAGCTACACAGTACAAATAATAATAAACAACAAGCCAAAAACTAGATGTTACCTTTTTAGGCGATGATTCAACCAACACACACCAGTCTCACTCGTTAGTCAAAGCAACATGGCAAACATATGATTACAGTGATTACAGCAAATCACTGATTTCAACTCACCGATTGCTCTTTGATACAATCTCTATTTCAATTTAATACAATGTTGCTCAGTACTGCTAAAATTATCGGAATTGGTTTACTTACTGAAATAGTTTTATTTTTTTACTATAATTTCACTTTTTGAATGTATTTCTGTTAAATAGCTGCAGCCTGAACTTGTATCTAAAAATATCTGGAATGAAACAGCCTCTGAGTTTAAAGAATAACAATAATTTGATGGTTTCTCAATCAAATCCAATCTTATTGAAATTTGCTCGTTAAGATTGATTTTGCGTCAATCCTAACTAGCACTTCATGTAAAGCTGGTGAATTAAAATTACTAGTTTTCAAACCTTTCAATGTTTTTAAATGAACTTTTAATTGGTGAAAACAATTGTATTTCATGAATTAATCAACTGTTTTAAGGTTTAAACTTGAAATTGCAGCTTTAATATCAAGTAAAATTAGCAATAAACAGACTCATAAACTCATTTTAATTCAAAACTACAAATAAATCAAATTGAATATTTTCTACGAATCCATTGCAAAAGCAAATTACTCTCAATTAGAATGATTTAATTTAACTATTAAATCAAGTTAAGAAGTGAATTGGATGTAAATTGGCTTAATCATGGATGGACGTATAATCAGTCCAACAGTAATACATAGTTAAATAAAGCAGTAAAGTCGATTTAAATGATGACTAAATTGCTGTACATTCAGCCACTAACCTTAAATAACTGGCTTCAATTATGAGGCCTTCAATCGGACCAAATTTGGTTAACCACTTGACACGAAAAGAGCAACTTAAATATGATTAGATGATGACTATTAGTTGATTGTAGCATCACATTTACTAGATAATTGGCATCTTTAAGGTACAATTTCGGTCACAATAATTTTCACCCAAAATGTAACGAGAGATTAACAGTTTGGGCGCTTTTAATGAAACATTGAACCCAATAAGGTATAAATGGGAAATCATTTGAAACATTAGTTACATTTGAATTTTCATTGAAGATAAATATTGTGATCATTTTTGGATTTGAGTACTTGAATGAGATAAATAAACACATCACTGATGATTTAATTGAATTTGTAACCATGAAATTGTGATTATAATAGTTGAAGATCATATTGCTTGTAAACAAGTTATAGACTATGGATGCTGTTTAAAAGCTGTCAACATTCAATTGAATTATTGTGGTTATGATTAATAATGAAAACAATTTAAGTGAATACAAGATTCTTTTCTTAAATGACTTTGATTATTTGTAGTTAACATTGAAAGCTGTGTGATTAGTTGTAAGTAAAATTGGGAATGGTTGCTTGTTGATATTGAAGCTAATAAATCAAGTGAAGAGCAATTGATTGCATGTATTTTGAGTCCTAAAAATAAATTGTTGGGCGAAAATTGAGAATGAATATGATTTTGTTTATTCAAAAACATAATCAAAATTAAGAAAAATAGTGATACATGATATGTTGAGTGAAAGAGAGAAGATGAAGATGAATCAAATCAACTGTAGATGCGTTAACTTGATATTTATACGGTGCAACTCCAATGATGAATAATCGACTTCAAAAATAGCGCAGCTAACAGCTAAATTAGCAAAATTTTCAAATCTCAATTCGAACCGAAACATGGGAAAAAGCATGGATATTGATTGGTGCAAAATTAATCTTCGAATAGCTTGAAAAATCTAAAATTTACGCTCAACGAAAATGTGATCAATTTTCAGCCAACATTGAAATCGCCAAAAGCTATCAGTTCACTTAATGGTTTTACTGTAAGCTATCTTGATACATCCAAATGAATCCGAGTTTTAATTATTCCAGATAACTGATATACGATCGGAATAATCCATTACTAGATAAAATTTCAATGGCCATAGTTAATTGTGTTTCAGTTGAAAGATGAAGAGGCTAAGGCTTTTCTAATACAAGATTGAAAAAATGAAATTGTATCAATCGATGACTCTACTGTAATATTGAAATAAATTAACGAGCAAATGTTTAAAATATTAATGAATATTATTTTCAATAAGTTGCTAAATCATTAACATATGGTGAAGAAATTAAATTGTTGATTGAGAAAAGATGATGACGATAAAAATAGTTATTTTGGAAATGATTTTACTCATCAGCAAAATACTGTAGATGAGGAAGAGGCTGATTTGTTGCAGTCCGATGGGTGGTTGTTGATAATTTGCTTCTTGGGTCATCTGTGGTTGAGGTTGTGCTTTGATGGTCATGATTATGGTGGCTGTTGGTTGATTTGGTTCGTTTAGTTACTGTTGAAGTAACGTCTTTTTTCAACCTTATTATCGAGGAGGGAAGGTTGAGAGAGGATACATCATCAGAAAAAGGTTAAGAGGTTCGAGAGTAAAATAAATTCTGTTTTGATGATTGAAGATGAGGTTACAGAGGAGTGAGGGAAACTAAGGAGAATGATGATGAGCTACAATTTGCTAAAAATTATTGGTTTCTAAGACAGAAAAAATGCGAGCAAAAGAGAATTTTGTTTCTTGATTCTATTCATTGGAGTTAAACATTATGAGAATGAACATGTTGTTCACTTCGTGTCCGAATGTTTCCAAATAATAATCCTGCTGCTGCGAAAACTGGATCCAAAAGGCATCGAACAACCGCGTTCCAATACTGAAAGTAAAAGGAAAGAATGTAACATAATGTAATTAATTTGAATGATTAAATTGCTTTATTATGGGAAGAAACGAGATAATTAACATGATGATGGTTGGGAGATGATTGAGGGTTAATTACAGTAGATTACAGTTTCAATTTGAATAACTCAATTTTATTGTTGTGTTTTTGCAAATTCCTGAGAAACAGCTTAATCAAAACTCAGTTTCATTTTTTAATGATTGGCAAATTGAATGTAAATTTTTCCTCATTTGATTCAATCATTAATAATGCAACCTAATCAGCTAAGACATTTAATACCAAGCAAAACAGAGGGGACTTCAATTTAATCAATTTAGTACTATTCTTTACTTATCAATGAATTCATATTGATTGAGAAGAAATTGAAAAATAATTTTCATCAACTTCCCTTCTTCAAACTTTTCTTGTTGTTCATAAATTCATATCTGAATGACTCGAAAACAGGAGTTGAATTACTTCAGTGCCCAGTGCTTTTTCTCACAATTTAGTCCTAATTTCACTGTTTTCGGCTCGATGGTCAGGTTTAACAATGGCTCTGATGTTTACAACTCTGCAATTTCTATGGAATTCATTTTGAAATTTCTACTCAAAACACAATTGCTAACAATAAACTTTGTACAAAACTACTCATCAGTACAATACTGCTTCTTGAAATTTATACGCAAATTGCTTTATTTATGTACATCACAGCGATGGCACATCATTAAAAAGCTTGTTATTATAATTAAAATGAAGGAAATATATTTCAAATCAAGGTTAATCGAAAAATTCAGCTAAATCTAATGATAAGTAGTGACAATAAAACTTACTAGCAAGTTGCAAGTTTGAGCTAAGTCAAGCATTTAATGTCTTGAACAATTGAAAGATTCCCTGAATATGGCTTACTTTTATACAGTCATGAGGACAAGTAATTAACTGATTGTGGAACAATTTTATTCCTGTTATGTTAACCGTAAAATTCAAAATGATCGAAAAAAAATAATGTGTATGCAATGATCTGTAGTTTTGTTTAGTTAGCCTAGTGCAATTGTTGAGTCTATTTGCGAGATCATTTAAGGGTCTATTGGAAGGTGAAATAACAAAGAAAGCTGAATATATATAGTTAATTTAGATGACAAAATTTAACTAAAAGGTAATGAAAGAAGGGAACACTATTCTGTCACAGAAGATGCATATAATCAAGCGAAAATGAAAGCGTAGGGAACGAAAGAGATGAAAGTAAAAGTTTACTAGAGAAGGAGATAGAGCTAGTAATTAGTTTGACTAGATTGGGATGGTTCAACCGGAAATCCTGACCAAAAATATCTCATGTGGAACCAAATTTACTTGGCTTTATACGCCATTGATGGAGGGGAGGGCAAAAAACAGGAGAGAGAAGGTAAGTTGAAGCATTGGGAATGAAAATGACTAAACTAGATATTGTCTGAGTCAAAGGGAAGGCGATGATTGAGCTGGTAGGAATGAATATGATTATGGTTGATGGAGAGATGGCGATGAGAGTGATGAGGGTGATGATTAAGGGTGTGTGTGCATTTGTTTTCTTGTCTCTCTCATACGAATTGATGTTATATGAGAGGAAATCTGATGAAAGTTACATACCTTGTGTGCATAATGAATTGTTATCTCAAAAAGTTTGAAAAGTGGCATCAGAATCCAAACCATGGCGGCTGAAAAAATGGCAAAGATTAAAGCCCAAAAGATGGCTAAGAAGGGTGCGAGGACGGCTGTTATCAAACCATAGAACCAGCATCGTGAGTTGGTGAAGATGAGGTAAGTTACTCTCCAGATGAATTCAAATCCGTGAAGAGAATCAGCTTCAGCAATAACATCTTCAAAATAAATGTTCACATGGTCATTGATGTGCTTTTCATCCCGATCCAATACATTTAACCCAATTGTACAGTTTTGAGCGCAAGTGAGTGGAGTCTTTTTGGGTCCTTCTTTCTTCTCTTTGGGAGTCTTTTCTTTTTTAGCCTTCTTCTTGTCTGTTAAGATGATAAAATTGTGCAAAAATTAGTTAGAGATAAAAACAGATAAATTAAAATGAGAATATAAGATTTGGCGAAAGCGATTTAAAAGTTTCATGTAAACAGTCAAAAGCTGTTCAGCCATTTAAAAAACAATTGAAGCAGATTAAATTGAAAAAATGATCAAACTGATGGGCCAACAACAGCCTAGATGGTCTGTTTAAGGTCACGTAAAGAGAGGGAGAACCTAAGGGAAAAGCTAAGGGCAACAGAAATGAAAGATCACGAAAGGTTGCTTTCAAATTCTTGTCATTGTAATGTCTATTTAGACTTTCTCTTCTCATTTTCTATCTCATTTCTTCTAATTTTGAATCTCAACTTCTTTTCTGTCAATGCGAACCTAAGAAAGTGAAGACAAGTGAAAAGAAAGGCGGGTTGAAAAAGGGAGGAAAGAGCAAAAGGGGCGTTGGGTAAGGCCAATGAAGGCCGTTAAAATATGGCCGTGTTTATTATCGTTTCAAGATATCTCTTTTTTTAAAAAAAGAGGAATCTTTTGCTCTCAATGGAAGCCATTTTTAAATCAAATGTTAAGTTTGTTCGTTAACTAAGAGGTTAAAAAGCGAAGTCAGACAAAAAAAAGCGTTAACTAACAACATTTAAAAATCAACATACGGCTAAGGATTAATCAATGGGAACGTTTCTTTGGAAACGGCGATCATAATTTTAAAAACATGCAACATTTATATTACGTAAAATCAGTAATGGCAGTAATAAAAGTAATCTATAAGCTATTTCTTAGGTATTACTATCAAGACTAAATCATAATAAAAGAGGCAAAATCTAATGCAACAAAACTATTCCTCATACTGAACTAATGACTAAACCCTGCAAGCTGCATTAAGCTAAGAAAAAATAGATATAACTGCTAATGGTCATTTTGATGGGGTAAAATTTTAGAGAAAAATATTGATAGCAAAAGGAAAAATTACATGAACATGTAAGGGAAAATCATGAAGATTGATGAGGTTATGACGCACGGCGGTTGAAACTTGCAATGGTCAAGAAAATGAAAAAAATTCTCACCAATCTAAGAGTTAATATTTGAAAATAATCTTACCTTTTTTATCATCGTCTTTCTTGTCGTCGGAAGATTTTTCATCCTTGTCACCATCTACTTTAGATTCCATTTCGATTTTTTCTTCTTTCTCAGGATGATCAATTTTACCTTCCTCTTCTAATAAAGGGATGTGAGATTCATTTAAATTGGGCTTTGATCCGCTCTTGTTAGTATCCATTGTATTTTAAGATGAATTGAAATCAGGGAAAAGTTTCACAAAAAAATGAGTAAAAGTAAAAAGAATGCAGCAAGTCGATAGACTAAAACGAAATAAGGGTTAGGAGGTAAAAAAGCTGGTTTATTGGGTTTGAGGTAAGAAGCTTGACTAAGAAACTTTTCTAGAAAAACTTTTTTTCAAACTTTGTGGACTGAATACGAAGACGTTTGATGATGAAGATGAAGGCGAAGAAGATGAAAAATTGAAGAAGACAAAGAAGCAGAAAGAGAGAGAGAGAGAGAGATGATAGAAAGAAGAAACGATAAATTGAGAGACAAACCCAGTTGAAGCAAAGGCTGGGTCAGGGCTGGCTGGTACTCATGCGCAGGACAAATGTGATTTTTTCAAAAAATTTTCAGGTTAAAGATGTCACTTTTTTGATTATCGTTGACGCTATTTATAAATGATTATAATTTTCAATTATTATCCATCGAAATAAGTTTTCATCGATTCTTGTGTTTTCCTAAAACTGTCATCATTTATTGGTAATTTGGAGGCAACAGTTGATTTGGCGTTTAAATGTCAAAGTAATTTCTTTTTTCTTTTAAGTGATGAGCCTGCTTTAAACCTTTTCAGCCATGTTTGTTAGGTTGACAAATGTGTAATCTGCCTGCACTTTTGATTATTGCAAGGAATTGTTTATTGAAATGTAAATTGTAAATATTGAAACTTACAGTTTAATCTAATATCTGGTCATGGTTAATTGTGCCTCTGGTTTTACACTTTAACTCGATAGTTAAACATTCAACTATGTCAATCTAATTTCCTGATAACTGTTTCTCTTTGTATTTCCTATTTGATTGTTTAAACACTTGAATATTTTTCTTTTTCGCTCAGGCACAATTAAGTAAATAATAGTGATAATAATCAAACGCCAAAACTTTTATTAATGGGTAGCAATCTATTAATTTTAAAAAGGTACAAACTGCTTCAAGCTACCTTTAAATTTGGTAGTACAAGTTGAATGGTGAATGGCAAACAATACAAGAAGGGAACCCAAAAATGATCAAGAAAAATATCTTTTTATACTCAATGATTCAAAGTGTAAACCTGTTTCCATACAAAATTGATAGCGAAACAGAAGCCAAGAGAAGAGAAAACATTTTTATTCTTTGCTGTCTCTGTAATTATATTATAAATCAACAGAACACACTTGATTAATCAACGCCACACAAAGACACTTCTGTAATTACCGTATTACCTGGCTAATGATAATTTTCAATCCATCATTTGTTGGGTGAAAGTGAAAAACATTTTCAACGATTGTCTAAAATGATTAAAGCTAATGCTGTTGATTGTGTTACCTTTTTGTTTCATATATAAATATATTTGTTTGCCCAACAACATATTTGAAACAATTAATGACGGTCATGATGAATAGGTTTAATCATTATTATCAGTATCATGAAACAATAATATCTAAACCATATGCTGTTGATTATAATTTGATATTTTGTGTCTGTTTTATCACCAAGGGTTATCCAGATTGAGAGGCAATTCTTGATGGAAAGGCATGAAAACATGAGATAGGCAAAACACCCAAATTGTATTCACAGTTTACATAATTGCTATTAAGGAATCAGTTATTCAATGTAATTTGTGTGCAACTAAAAATAGATGAGTTCAAGGTTTAACTCAATCATTTTGATTAAACTTTTCATTGAAACACGATCAAAGCATCATGAACCGTCAGCCTTACATTTCATGGACTATGAAAGGTTAAAATCTTAATCAATCCAACCAGTCTAATCAATTTAGATTGCTGGTTACATCCATTGAGCTGGTAAAAACAAAAGTATTACATGTTTATGTTAATTGGCTTTACAGAGTCTTGTAACCCAAACTAATCTTTTGGGTTAGCAACAAGTTGCTGTTACCAATAAATTTAATTATTTTACATTCTTCATCAAATGAAGACAATCAAATTAATAATAACTAATTCTCACTTCAATGTCAATTGTTCAACTTAAATTGAGTCCAATTGATTTTAATTTGCACCAGCAAGTTAATTCCTAGTCAATGGGTTTTGTTTTTACTAAGCACATGTCAAACCCAAAACTGGTAGTTAATCAGCTTTCCAGCTATTTAACAATTTTAAGCTGGAATGGATTTAAAACAACTGGTCAACCAGAAATGGACAAAGTAAAGAGCCTTTTCTTAAATTGGATCAATAATCTATTCATGATTAATTAGATCCTTTAATTGGATCATGTAAAGCTACCGGTGTTTTAAATCCCAGCAAATCTGGTAAAGGGATTCGACTGTTAATCTGGTAAAGTGGATAAAGATAGACATTGGTATTGTCTTTGAATTTAGCAAAAGTGTTGAATAGTTTATTGTTTTTAATGTAATTTACAAGCGACTTTTTCTTTTCGTAGTTCGATAAAAGATATTTGATTCTGGTAAATCGTAACAAATACAAACACAACAAGATGGGAAACGAAACCAATCGGCAAATATTCCTCTGCATTCATTTTTTGGGTCAAAAGCAAGTAACCGGTGTAGACGGTATTGTTGTTCACATCGACAACCATCTCGGCAAAACATTTGACTATTTTCGTGGGCACATTTTTCCCAATGAACATATTGTTCAAAGGGGTAAACATTGAGTAGAGCCAATATTTCACCACGGGTGTTATTAGCCCAGTATGGAGCGATCACTTCTTCACGAACTGGACATGCATTCACACCTTTACTCTTTGGCTGTTCTGGATCAGGGGTTATAGAGGGTTGGGAAGGTTGACTGTTATTGCTTTCCTCACTTGAACCGTTATCCGTTAATGGATTTGGAGCCGCTGAACTTGTGCTTGTCGATGATGTTTCATGTCCATTGCTCATTGAAATGGTTGACGGTGATGTTTCAGGTGCCTTTTGCTCATTACTTGCAACCATATAAAACCTTTCAGCAATAGTCATACCTGGGTCCAGTGATTCAGTTGGTGGTGAATTATAATCTGGTGTTGTTGTCATTGCTGCCTCTAAATATTCACTATCACTTGGAGAGTTTTGTACATTTGTTGATGTCAAGATATCTGATGGAGTCTGAATGGTTGTTGACTCTTTATTATCACCATCTTCACTGTTTTCTGCGAGATTAAACGCTTGATTATAGTTGGTTTCATTGTTGACTGTTTTAACATCACTGTGAACATTGTTTTCACTACTGACTGTCCGGTTGTCAATTGATGATGTCTGTGTTTCATTTACACTTTTAACAACACTGGTGACCACATCATCTCTTTTACTTTCCACCTTTTTATCCTGTTCACCCAAAACTGTGTCTTCTTCATTATCCTCTTCACCTTGTTCCAAAAAAAATGATCTCGGACGAAACTGGGGTTGATATTTATTGAATGGAGTTTGATGGTTAAATATGTGATTGGATTCGTAAAATTTAGTCTCCTTGTTATTGATGAAAACATTGTCATATTTTTCCCTTAAATCTTGAATTTCATTAGTCAATATTTGATAATGACGCTGATCTCCATACATACGCCTGAGCAATCCTTGGTTTTCATAAATATATCGTCTGACTGCAGCCCATGGATAAATGGTTCCAGATAGTTCACAGAAATTTGATTTACTCATATCACATGGTATATCCATTAATAGACGAGCACTGACTTTAGGACCACAAGTTGATTGAGCCAAGATTGGAGTAATGTTAAACAATACGGTGATCACCTGGAACAGAAAGAAAGAAACACAAAAAGCAAACCATGAGTAACATCAAAAGGCAACCCATAACGAGATGAATGTAAACAAAAGCACAAAAATGGCACTTGTGGTGATTACAGGACTGGTAATAGTTGAAATAGATAATTTAATTGAAATCTAATCAACTTGTTTATCCATGTCAAGGTTACCGATCAAATGTCATGGTGAAGAATGAAAAAAAGAGATACATTTATAGATTGTAAACAAAGAGGTAAACGTTAACTGAACCAGAAACATCACTTTCACTTAAGGCCTTGTTAATACATTTATCAAGTCATATATTCTTACCTCAAAAATGAATGGAATCAACATTATTACAACTTTCCAATCAATGTTAATCAATTATGTTTATTGAAATATCTTTCCTCACTCTTTTTTTGCATCAATCAACTACGGACATCAACTAATTTTTGGACAGCTTCCTTTCGACCATCAAGTTCAATGTCTTTATGGATCTCTTTTTTTTCATCAAAACTTGGTTTTCAAGTTTACAATCTTATTCTCTTCATCATCATCTTCTCCTTCTTGCCTCTCACTTTATCATTATCCAATTCTTTCCTTACCCAATCAATGTTACTTCCGTATTTGCGCGTATTGACCATCAATGGCACTAAGATTCCCTCATTAAATACTGTCCCTTCATCATCTTGATCACCTTTCCCCTGAAAGTATCGCCCAACATGTAAACTCGATCCAATTTTCAATGAGATGACTCCAAGACGACCTCCTAACGTGAAAGTTTTCTTGATATTTACCTGTTTCTCGGTTCCAATCTTCAATCTATCATTAGCATCATCATCATTATTGCTTTCTCTTCAACCAATTCATCCTAATCGTTGCTTTAATCACCAAATAATTGTCTTATTGACCGATACTTTTGATAATAACAGTTGATCAACAGAGTGACATGCTTTTAATGACATCACTCTCATTCCCATTCAATCAAATCTGTTTTACCATTATTAACATCATTAGGAAATTTAAATATTTAACAAATTTTATAACTCTTTCAATGTCTTACCTGTAAACTTCTTTGAGGTAACCTTTAGGAGGAATAACTTGGCCACAGCTCAACATTGATTCAGATATAAATGCACCAATCGCACGACCTTTTTCGTGGTTTTCTATCGATTTTGCAACGTCGTTGGCATACAGCTTTCCGATAACTTCATCATCGTCATATTCATCTTTGTTGAATTTACCACGGTAATTGCATGGTAAAGGTGCCTGAAATGAAAAAATGACGAAACATTGATTTAAAAACAATAACAAATTATTGCAAGTTACGACTGGCAATTTGAATTAAACACTTACAATGTGAACCCAATTCTTCTTCTTGTGCCCCTTAATATTTTCAAATTTGTAAGGGCTAATTTCAACAACAGAGGTTAAGTGACCATGGTATGCACTAAGGATAAAAAAATGAAAGATGATTTGAAATAATCAAAAAACATTGAACTAAGAAATAAAATAAAAAACTTACCTATCTACAGCGATGACATCCTTGTGTTTTGTATGAGCACGAGCAAGTCGAAAGGCAAGATCATTGGCTTCAGAGCTATCAAATAAGACAAATTATTCAAGAAATCGTTAGAAATGTAGGAAAGAGGACGAAAGGATTACAAAGACAAATGAAATAAATACATACCCAGAGTTGACAAAGTAGCAGACTGACAAATTTTGAGGAAAATATTGAGTCAATCGCTTAGCATATATGACCATAGCATCATGAAGATAACGAGAATTGGTATAGATGAGTGACATTTGACGAGCAAAAGCTCGATTTATATGAGGATTACAGTGACCAACATGAGCAACATTGTTGATACAGTCGAGATACTTGGTTCCAATTTCATCATACATGTATTGACCATCACCTTTAACAATTTTGAGTGGGTCATCTTTGAAAAACAGGGTACATGATTTGCCAATGTGTTCACGAAGTCGTAAAGTTTCTTCTTTAGGAAGGGTTTCTAGAGGAATTATTAAAAATTAATTATCAATAATCATTATTTAACTGTATAATAATATTTGAAAGTATTAAGATATGAAACTAAAATATAAACTGAACAAAATAACAAAATTTTTAACCAGAGTAGCTTGCAAGCTCAAGTGAATAAAGATCGACATTTTTTGGATTGTCTTCGAATTATGCAAAAGTGTTAAATAGTTTATTGTTTTTAATGTAATTTACAAGCGACTTTTTCTTTTCGTGGTTCGATAAAAGATATTTGATTCTGGTAAATCGTAACAAATACAAACACAACAAGATGGGAAACGAAACCAATCGGCAAATATTACTCTGCATTCATTTTTGGGGTCAAAGGCAAGTAACCGATGTAAACGGTGTTGTTGTTCACATCGACAACAATCTCGTCAACAATCGACAGCAATCACCATGCATCTCTAAGAGAAATTCTGTCAACATGGTAAGTGTTTACACCATGTTTCGGAATGCAATGACGTTAGAATTATAATTTAACTTTTCATTTTGACCGTAAACAGGAGTAAAGTTAAATAATGTTGAGATGATTTGGTGCTGAAAGTAATTAGGAAATTTCTTCGCAACTTGAGACCAACGAGTCAACACTTGAAGTACGTGTTGAGCTTCTGCTTGAGGACGCTACCTCTTCAGTTTCAATTTGCTTCATGATCGATGTGAATACGGTGATCCAGTTTTGAGCATCTTCCATGTTAAATGTCATAGGTGGCTTGAAATTCAAAACATTTGAGTACTTTCCTTCCGTACTCATTATTATTCGCTCATCTCGGAAATGACGGACAACCCATTCGGCGAGGTGATTTGCTGGTCGTTTGCTTGTTCTTTCACAAACTAATTCGACGCCGATGAAGAGTCCACAGCCACGCACATTACCAATGACTTGATACTTGTCAGCCAACTTTTCTAGTGATTCAATGAGAAAAGAACCAACAATGGCTGCATTTTTGAGAATATTTTCCTTCTCAATCACATCAAGAACAGCGTTTGCGACAGCCATTGAACAAGGCTTACCTCCATACTACGATAGAATTAATAATTGTCAAAAAACGGCTCGCAACACATTGTAGCGAAAACAAGGTGACAAGGGTCAAATACTCACTGTATTGAAGTATTCAGCTCCGAGAGCTTCAAAGCTTACTACCACTTCTGGTGTTGTGACGACACAAGCAACAGGATGACCATTACCAATAGGTTTTCCAAGAGTTACAATATCTGGAATAACATCATTATTTGAATGTAAGAAAGTCCACAGTGAGCTTCCGATGCGCCCAAAGCCAGCCTGAACTTCATCGGCTATACAGACGCCACCAGCTTTCTGGACTAGTCTGCATTATTGGTTCCAAAACAGGAAAATAACGAATTAATACAATGTAATTTTTCATGTCAAATCAGCCAAAAAATGTCCTAATCAGGTAAATAACTTTTGATTAGGATTTGCTAATTTTCAAATTAAATAACAGTCTATTTCATTTCTTGGTGATACAAATTATGTGCCATACCGTAATACAGTTTAATTTAATATTTTTGACAATTTGTTTTATGAATTGTTACTTGTAACTTTAGCATACAAGTAAATAGCGAAACAGGTTTTCACAATAATCATCAATAACCTCAGCATCAAGTTTAATCTTGAACCATCTTTTTCTTGAAACCATTCAGTATTTTGTCAATAAGCATCAATGATTAAAAATTTCATCTTCATTTTGTTAATTTGCTACTTTTACCGCCTTACATTGGAAATTAGTTATTACTTGATATAAAAATGAAGTGAACGTTCATCAACACGATAACAAGAAAAGGTTCACAATCGGATCAATGGTTATTCAATTGCTTCTTTAAAGCAATCAACTACTGTAAATCACTTTACTTGAAGCAAGTCCAACGCAATTTACCACTGGTAGACGTTTGTAATTTATTGACATTAATCAATCTCTGATTATCAATCGTCTCTCGTTTACCGTTACAATTATTATATATTTTGTTTTAACTTACTGAATTGAACAGAAGTCAATGAATCTAATTTGAACACGAACCCGAGTGACCGGTATATACCGAGATTCAATGTTAATAGCCTTTAATTAGTAAAAGATGTTTACCTTGAAGCAATTTGATCAATTAAATAGTCTCAGTTACTCTATTTTAAAGAGACATCACTGGTTATAATTATTGATGCCAAACGAGACACAATTTCATTGGATTCATCATTTACCTGCAACTATTACTCTGACCCAGAGTAATGATTTTAAACTGCTAATAATTTAAATACAAGTACTAGATTGTACCGAAATAATTATGCAAATTTTATTTCAATTGATTCTAGAGCAACAAGTATCTAACCAGTTACATCAGTCTATGGTCAGATTGTAATGGCCTTTACAACTGTCTAATTATTTTCCCTTAATGCTTCTCTAACTGTAACCATAATTAAACTTGATAGTAATATTTTATTAATAGCCAGCATCATAATATCATTGATAACAAGTTTACATTTTTCGCTCATTTCAATTGTAAACTGAATTTCCATACAAGAAATGCCCAGATTTTGATTTTAAACACATTCGTACCATTCCAGACTTTTCTGGTAAAACTTGAGATACTTTTGTCCTCGACTTGACCATAAGATGAAATCTTTGTTTCTTTTCAAATCCGATTGTTTTGAAGACTGAAGTTCAATTACAAGATTTGTTTAGTCGGCAATTAGTTAGACTTAAGCCTTTTTCAACTTGAACCAACTTTGACACTTTGGGTTAGTGGTAACATTGGTCATCACCTTGATGGCAACTTTTTGGGTTATTTGTAAAAAACTAGAGTAAAAAATAGATGTTTAGCTTTGGGTTGCTCAAATGGTGAGCAAAATGGATGATGAGGCTGTTTGGGATTGAAAGGAAATGGTAACAAGATGATGAGAGAAACGTTTCTCATCATCAAATTTTCCTCTTCAGTTCTCATCGACTTGTAAAAACATATGAAAGTGATTCCATCATTTGGTTTACAAATAACGACATGTTGATGTCAAGTTAATACTGACCAGAGCCTTTAAAGCCTTCAACATGTTGTAATGAAGCTGATAAAGGGAAAGTAAACAAGCAACAGTTGTGAGCAAGATGATGATGACGGAGAGGGATGCATGGGATGATTTGAAGATGAGTTGGAAAGCTATAATTTTGTTTCTTTTTTTTATCTGATCAACTGAAGTTACCTTTCAATGGATTCATGATTAGTCTGTATTTTTTGGCTTCATTTTTGCCTATTATTGTAGACTTTTTAATTTTATTTTTTTTTTGAACAAAAAAACTCAATTCAAGATGGCAAATATGATGGTTAAGACAGTTTAATGAGATAAACTTAAATTTAAGGCGTAATTTCACTGAGAGTTTATTCAGTGAAAATTGTTCAAGCCTTTACAAGCAAGAAAAGGTTGCTTGCTTTTACTCACTACAATCAGTTAATCATAATCAGAATCAAAAGTGATTCATTTTTCAAGGTTACTTTTACATTCACAGTCTTCTTCATCTCCTCATCAACATCATCATCAGCATCAGTTTAATATTTTTACCCGATTCCTTTAAATAACTGGTAAAATTATTCACTTGGTTAGCCTTTTCATTTTTGTTTTGCCTAAGTCTATTCAATGCTCATTTTGATCAATCAGCAATCATTTTACTCTCGATTGTTTTAATGTTGATTAATCGGTAATCAAGATGAGTTAATAGCAAACTAAGAGATGCACTTTAATAGTCTGATACTTGTTTTGTGTAGGTTTACGTAAAGTGTATAATTATCAATGTAAACCTATGCTTTAACCGGTCATACATTTTAGTAACTTCATTATGAATTTAAGTTTTAATAAGATATTGCTTTTAATAAACAACTTAGCTCATTCAAATTTTGCCAGTTAATCATCTCGCAACAATTGTTTTGATCCGTACATTTGATTGTGACGAGTTGGTTGATTTTGTACAAATTTGTTAAACATTATGTTTGAATGGCTGTTTGGTTGAATGGTAAAGCCGGTCAAATTGATTGTCTTTCACCTGAAATGTGATTCTAATCAAGTATTTATACGCTTTTTGGGGATTTATTATTGATCAGTTGAATTAAATTGTTGTTGATTTGTTCAATAGTTAAGCTGTAAAGATTAACTGATTGTGTTGACGGGTTAAGAAGATGAGTATTGTAAGAGGATAAAAATAGTTGTATCGACTGTAAACAGTTAGAAAAATGGAGATAATTTTTGATGACTATGATGATTGTTGTGATGATTGTAATGGTCATAAACAATATTGTTACAGAATGAAAGGAATAAAGTAAGACTGGCATGAAAGGAACCATGAAAATGGATTATTATTATTTAATGATTGTATGAATATACAATTAAATTTGATGGATCATTGTAATTTACAAAATATCAAATGATACAGCAGAGAAGAGGCCTGAAAAAAAGAGAAACATTCAACTTCTATTTGAGAAGCATTAAATTGCATTAAAGATTTAGTTCATTTGATTGATCAAATGAGTTGATATCAATGAGAAAAAAACAATTACTAAATGCTATAAATGTAAAATATTAGCCATGTAATCATTGACAATTAACCTGAAAATAATGGCTAAAATAGAGGTGAAGTGAGTCAAGTTTCTGGTTAAGATCAATGTGATCCAAGCTAAGATTACTTGAACTTTGTCTTCCTCTTTTTTTAGAGTTGTTTTTCTTTCTCCAATGTAAAATTTTTAGCCAAATTTTTGTCTTCCCAAACTGTAAACATGGCCCAGAAATAACCTACGACCTTTGGAAAGTCAGGTCATTGAAAGAAGGAAGAGCCAGAAGAAGAAGAAGAAGATCAAGATGAAGAAGAGCTGGAAAGAGAGGAAAGTAAACCTTTTCAAAAGTCAAGACCATTTATCAAGCTAACAGCTAATTCCTGATTTGACATTAAACCAATTTAAATTATTGTAATAAACTAATACATCTAACGGCTTCACGCGATTCCAGGTCATTCCGTCTGATTATTTTGGAAACATTTAACCCCAGGATTAACTATGGTTTGTTAGGTTTGGTATCCTAGCTTTGTATCAATATGTTGAAACAGTGAAACATATTTAGCTTTGGGTTTACTTTGCTTTCTGTGTGTGTGTTAAAATGTACGTTATATTATACTTCTTGTTGACTCGACTTTTTGTTGATTTATATTTTAAAAATTCAAATGTACATTCAGTCTGGCCTTGACTATAGATTCACAGGAATTTTGATTATTATCATCATCATTCCATGTTTGCTGAATCAACAACGCCAAAAATCCTATGAACCTGGCTGAGTGAAAAGCTTGTCCACATTATCCCATCAAAAATCACTTAAATCTTTCCTCGATAAGATAGCTTCCAATGGAATTGGCAATTTGACTCAATGGTGTTATACCATAATCTGATGTCGAGATGATACCGGGATAAATGTGATAATCAGAAGTGTAATCCTTATTAAAGCTCCATTAATTGTACATTTATACTGGCTGTGGCAGTGACTAATGAATGCCCACACAAGTCCACGTTTAATGGCTTCAGAAAATTTCTCAATCCAAATGAAAGCAATGAAAGTTTCACATGTTCCGGCGTAATCCAGCTATTAAATCATCAGACTGGAATGTCGTGATTAAAAGTAAAGAGACTGATTTAAATGATAATTTGAGTCATTGTTGCTTATGCCAATCAATGGTTCCATTGCCAAGGTGGATTGATTTGAACGTAACATTGATTGTCCATCAATTATCAACCACAAGTGAAAGCAAGAAATGGGTTTGGTTCTGTAAAATGGAAAGTGAAAAAAGGTTCATTTCAATAAACATGTTAACATGGCGAGAAACTTATAGCTTAAAGAGATAAAGAGGCTCTTATTTAATAATTAGCTGGATTTAACTTTTACAGGCTCATAATAATTAAAATTTACATGTAATATTAATAATGAAACGCTTTAAATATTTGTGTGCTTCCAATGAACAAGACATTACTGTAAATGACTGGGCAGCAACAATAGCGTAAACAAAACAAGAGTAGGAAATTTTCCATGAAAATTGTCCAGTGAACAAAAAAACTATCCAATGATTAATCGCCGAGAAACCAGTTTTAAAATCTCCAACAACAACCCATTAAGTCTGGTGAACATCAAAATTCAGGCTGTTTGTTTTCTGGTTCAATCCATTTTATAATAGAGTGTTGACTAAATTTCTTGCTCTCTAAATTAACCAGCCATTATTATTTGGTCAACATCTATCTCTCTAAGGCAAAATTCACCAATAAAGGCATACAACTTACCTTTTTTCAATCATAATCATGTGTACTCACCTTGTTATCTTGCTTGTTCAATACAATTTGATTTCCACTTTTGTTTGATTCTCCATCGCTGCTTCATCTAAAAGGTACATTGAACCAGTAATTCCAAGCTAATCAAAAGCCTGGCTAGTCTTTAACATGGGTTGGTCTTCTAGGTTTTCATCAGCTTTTTTAGTTTCGCTTTACCCAAAGTAACCAGTTTTGTTTTTTTTCGTTGGCTCCTTTCACTTTTCATCTTACATGTAATAACATTAAACCTGTTAACAAAGGGCTAATCAAAAAAGTAAAGGCTTAACTTGGACGACAATAGAAGAGTTGAGCTTTCTAATTTAGCCTCAAGCAGTTATCAAGGTTCTTTTTTTGCTTACCTTATTATTAAGATTAAAAAACCATGCTGGTTAATTTATACTCCGTAAAGTGTAAATGAATTATTTTGTTACTTGGTAATAAAATTGCATCTTATCCTAACTTGCACCTTGCTTTTTTAAGTAAAAAAACAGCAATTTGTTTTTTTTGATTAAAATTTTACTCATCCCTATAAATATAAATGAAATAAAAACAATAGAAGATAAAGATTTAATTAAACGCTTAATCACATTGTTAACAAACAAGCTTTAAATTACTCACATTTAGCCGGTGATTTTAACTTCTAGATACACAGCATTGATTTGTATTAATATTGTTGAAAAAAGAGTTAATTAACGAAATAAACTTATTAAAATTAAAGTCACAATAAAAATCCAAAACAATTTTTGGAATGGTTGTAGTGCCATCTAGCGCTTTTGCTTCTAACAAAATCTAGTAATCCTGAATTTTTAGTTTTAATTTTTGTTATTTTCAATGATAACTGATAAAACTATTCATAAATTTGCTCATTTTTTTAATCAATATAAAATATATCAATATGTTTATATACAATATTAAGTTAATAACAAGATTTCAAACTGTGGTACATCATTAATCCATCGGATCTAGAAGAAACGATAAATTAGAAAAATCTTTGAGAAAACAGTTCATGAAAGCAAACCCTAGACTAATTTTACACCTGAAATCAGATAACTCAGGCCAATCTCTTTTTAATTGTTCATTCCCGGGTTTGTAATAAAATTTGACAGTTCGGTTTTTTCGTTCACAGTAATGTACACAAAAATAACTAATTGAAGTAAAACGACCAAATCGCTATATCACGAGATCCAAGTCTTGAAAATAGATTTTCGTTTGTCAGTCGATAGAGCTATTCAAGAAATATATCTACACAAAATTTCAGCTCTCTATCATGACCAGGTCACGAGAAAGTATAAAAAAAATTTGACTTTGAAGCGCAATCGGGGCCAAACGCGAAGTGCTACATAAGTTTTGGTTTCAATATCCTCTTCCATAAAATTAAGTTAATTTAATTCAACGAGGGATTCAATTTCGTGGCACATACCCTTTCTCTTGGATTTGTCTTACATTTATCAGTGGTATTACAATGAAATTTATTCAGAGGAGACATGTAAAGGAATATAACTGTAAGAGAAAATTTAAAAACAAAATCAAAAATTGCACATGAAATATCAATTCATACATCTCTAACATCATTTGAATCTTCCAATGATTTTCTTTTACTTTCGATACCAGTTTTCCTCCGTTCTGGTTCATGACTCTTGACTTTTCTCCATTCGCAATTATTCCTGAAGATTTCTCAGTTCTTCCAGTTCTTGTTTATGTTTAGTCTGATGCCACTTCAAGTGCAATGGATTCGTTTGATGAAGTTTTTCAACATTAAACCGGCTTGTTAATTTTCGCACATTTGCTATCCATGACCTGAATGCAAATCAACATTTCCAAAAAAAACATGGTTCCTCTAATTGTTAACGTTTCAATAATTTGTTAAATGACAATTTCAAGGACAATTTAATAGACAATTGACAAATATTATTGGTAAACAATTGGAGCTACAAACTTCAACAATGACTACAAGCTGTCAACTTATCAGGCTAGATGTTGGATTCACGTCAATACAGGTATTAATGGTCATTTAATGTTCCGCAAATTGTTGATGTTATTATTGAGTAATTTAAAAATTACCTTGTAACTGATAATGGTGAGTATAATAAGGTTTTTATTAGCGTTAATAACAAGACGAAACTAACAATATACACAAAAAAAACAGAGAAATGGTTGAAACTGTTTTTTATTTCAAGCGGAAATACTGTACCAGTAGCTGAAGTGTCAGTTAAAAGACACGAGCAATGAAAGAAGTTAATTTTCATGGTGATTCAACCAGATAACCTGACATATTCAACATTAATTGTAATTTAAATGACAATCTCATTATCCATTTATAAAGCAAAATAATGAGCCCAACAATTATCATCTGCTTTTGGTATCTTCCAAATTTTCACTACATAACGATCCCATTACGTAAACAACGATTTACATGGGTGACCTTAAATAGATTTCAATTCTTTAGCAGATGATTTTTTTTGTTTAGTGAGACTTAAATTAAATTTCATTCCACCCATTCAATGTCATGTTCAAATACAATTTGTTGACAGCAATCAGAGTCAATCTAATCAGCTCATTATTTCATAACATTTTTCGTTACATTCAGTGACTTGCAGTGATAGCGGCAACTCCAATCCTTTACCAGTGCTTATTGCGTCTACATTTGATGGGCACTCTGTGAATATCCAATCGACCCATTGGAACCGTTTACGTCAACATTGACCATCTTTATCCTGACAATGTCTCAATTGGAATCTAAAAGTACTTTGGTTTCTGTTGTTATTTTTCTGTTGACAACATCTTCAGCTATTTTCCTTGCTCAAGTAAGTAATGTTTCAATGACTATATCAAAGGCATATTGATATTTGATTGAATTTTGATCCTTTATTCCTGTTTATTTTCAGAAATATATTCAATTGTGTGTTAAATCGGATCGACCAAGCATTCAGGTGAATCATAATCGTCAAATAATTATCAAAGTAAACTATTAATGTTTTCCTTTATTCTTTCAGTCCATGTGTGTCCTTTGTGATTACAAGCAGTTTCGGACCATGGTAAGTCTATTCGTTTTGCTCCTATGACGTGTTTCTGCACAATCAAGCACCGGAATTGATTGTGAGGATTTTCACTTTTAAGTCACTTTTGACTATGCGGTGCTTGATTGTGTGGAAACATGGTAACTGGTTCCTCTACTTATATTTTTATTTATTTACAGTCATATGTTTGTACCGGTCAGGTAATTATTGTAACATTTACTTTATGGATTATAACAGTTATATTGATAAGTTTTTTCATGTAAATATTAGTATGCAATACCGATGAATTCAACTCAGGAGCAAGCTTTTTGTTTGATCAGCACTTGTCTAAGAGTAAGTCAATTTTGAGTCAATTATGTATTGACATAAACAATAATTATTTGCAGTTTGATAAAAATTGAATTTAGTTTTCAATTGGATTTTTAAAGCTGTGTTTATCTTATTTTTCAACAGCAAGTTCCCGGTCAACAAGGAGTCCCGGTTGGACGAAAAAGACGTGAACTTGAAGACGAGAGGAAACCAATTGCAACCTATGATATAATGATTGAAAGTGATGATTATTGATTTATATATAACTCTTAAATTGCTGGCAATTTCTCAGCCTGAGTAAACTCAATCCAAGGAAATGAACGATTGTTTTATCAAATATCGTTTTTTCGTTTATGTTTTTAACGTTATTTTATGTAACTCCTGAAATTAACTATAAATTCAATTGGAAAGTTTAAAATGAAAACATTTTCACAAACTGAATAGGAAAAATTATGCAACAAGTTCATGGAATTAAACTCGCAAACTTTTTTTTGTAATATCGTCATTTTATGAGATTACCATTTCTTTGCATTTTATTCAGCTATTTGTAATTTGGGAAGCGTATTCAAAAACTTTTAAAAGTGTAAAATTATTTTCAATAATCAATAGGAATCAAGAAATGTGGAAGGAAACGGAATTTTTTGCGAAAACAATGTTTAATGAAATCAAAACTTCGACTAATTATTTCCCATTGAGAGGACAACTTAAGCCAATCTGATTAAAATTCCATTGATATTCCTTTCGACGTAACATTTGATTGATCGTCCATATCTTTTACAATAATCTTAAACATAATCAGCAGCTCTTTGAGTGACTCCAGAACATTCACTAACATAAAGTAGCACTAAATTAGGTAAAATGTGAACCAATTGCTCGATATGTTCATCTTTGATGCTCTCAGTGTTCCGTAAAGCAAGGTGCTTGAGCTTCGGATATTTCATAAGCAGCCTATTTAAATCATTCCAGTTTATTCTTTCAACGTCACAAAAATCTTGCAAACATTCGTGTTTTAATGTTTCATCAACAGCAAAGCGATCCATTTGCATGATAGTGTGGGCACTTGTTAAATTTGGACATAAATGTATGAAATTGAAAACATAAAAAATCTTTGTCTCATCGGCGGAACACAGTCCGAGTTTTTCAAATACTGGAGCTTGTAACAAATTGAATTTGTCATTATTTTCAATAGACGTATTTAGTAATTCAAGATTTGGGAATTAATTTTCAAATCTTTCAACATCCATAAGAGAATCCACAGGTTCAGTGCACAATTTTTTTATTTTGAAACCATTTCGTGCAATGTTTCGATCAATAAGAAAGCAGGACAGCAATTCGAGTTCATCACAATATATTTCTATCGGTTCATCAAGTGAATTAATTATTGCTTTCAACGATTTATGCTTTCTGACAAATGGAACAATATTTTCATAATTTACTTTCACACCGAATCGATCAGAAAATTCAGCAATTATTAAATTTGGAAAAATTTGCTCAGACAGGTGCCATCAATCTCATTTTCTTCTCGATAATAAACAAGATCCGGTGAAAGATCATGATTATCATAATCACAATCATACTCCAGCATATATTTAACTTTTTTAGTTCGCACAGGAATCAAATGCTCCATCTAGCACATACTGTAATGAAATTTATATTTAATCAAAATTTAGTGTTCATTTGCTCAATCATTACTCAATTGCCTTCAGATGACTTCAACATGACTTGATATCTGTAAAAATATTCAAATGCTGCGCCTCAACAATTAGATGATTGTGAGTGATGTTATGATTACAGGATAACAAAAGATGTTGAAACTGTTGGTTAGGATGGTGAATTCAGCAAACTTAGGTTGAATCAAATAAAACAAAACACACGGTCAATATTCGGACCAAACAGACATGAAGTCAAAATATTCAATTTAAATGAGTTCAAAAATGATGAAGAAGCAAAAACAGATTCAACTGAAGGTAAATTAACACCAATGAAGACAATACAAAAAAGATACAAAAACTAGTTTAGCTGTCTAAAACTGTCTCTTCATTGTCAAAAGCAATAAAACTTAAAAGTTCACACATTGGTGTGAAGTCTTTTCAATGTAAAAACTGAGCTTTCCTTGTGAATGTTTGGTCTTTTCAATCGAAAATTACTAAATTGTTGTTTCATTAGTTATTAATAAATTCAACTGTTGAAGGTTAATCTTAATTTCACTTAATCTTTCTACCAACTCTGACTGGAACTGAATCAATCCCATCTATTTATCTAGAGTAAAATTCATTTACCAGATTAACCCACTGTAACTGTTTACAACAGATGGAATTTTATAATTCCAATGAACTCAATTAATGAAGGATTATTAAATGACATATTGGTAATCATTTGAATAATTTCCAACTAAATATCTCAACTTTGACTTTAATCAATGCCAATTTTTAGTTGAGTCTAGTTTTAAGCTCAGCTGTGAACCAGTTTTTTCAGGACAATTTTTAGGTTGAATATTGACCAGTCGTGTTAATCAATGGTTGATATTATTGTGTTATCCAGGAAATAAAGCGCAATATATTTGATCTAAATTGTGTAACCATAAAAATTTGAAACGATTGAGCTTGATTAAATGACTTTTCAAACCTTTGCGCCAATTGCTGTACAAGACAATTGAGAGGTAACGTCTAAATAGACAGAGTTGTTGAAAGACTCTCTCCAGAAGAAACAAAAAAGTGTTGATCTAGTAAATATGAAAATGTGTGCCAATTACAATCTATTTTTAGTTAAATTAAGTAAACTCACTTGTAAGAGAGATGATCCTTCACTAAAAGCTACATTTTAATCATCATCTTCATCATCATGTATATCTAAGCAAAATCCTAATTCCGTTGTAACCTCCTCTTTACAAGATTGAAAAGTGATCAAGAATTTTTTGTTTCTTTTGTTATTCCTTTTTACTTCCTTTATGTTAGCCATTTACCAACAGTCACATATTTCGAGTAACAATCCTTTTGCTATTCAATTGTGACAATTCAACAAAGGTTCAACAGTTAATATCACACAATTACCATCAAAAACTGACCATAAACCTTTCAACAATCCCAAAGACAATGTATACATCAACAGCCATCTCTTCAGCCAGTACATATCATGTTTCCAGTATCAGTTCATCTTCACCAATCAACAGAGTTCTCGTTCAAATTGATTTTGAAGTTTTCGGAGACTTTTCAGGTAAAATATTATTCAATTGTCACCCGTGAACCACCTCAAAACCATCATCTTTCAATTAGCACCTCAAACTTATCAACAAAAATTGATTTTCTCTTCTTCCTTTCACCTTCTCCTTAAATTGGGTTCACATGGATTATCGTTACTGGCTTTTCGTTTTAATCCAACATTTTGTCAATCAATCAAATGCATCAATAGGAGTATACTTCACCAAGGTATTTATATGATTAAATTTAATATTTTTTGCCTTTAAATAGTCTTATAGTATCATTTCTTCAATCCGAACGATTCCAGTGTTTACACATCAAGCTAAGATCTAAATAATGCTATCACCTGGTTAGCCTTTTTGCTTTCGCCTTTTGTTATTTTATAGTGAACGCTCGATTTATATTGTTGATTGTTGAATTAAACAGCTTCAATGCCCAAAACTGTAATATTAATTACCGAGCAAATGTTTTTGTCCTACTTGGATAAAGTCCATTGTAAATCTAAAAATGCTGCAAAACAAGTAAAATGGAGCAAGAAGACTTTATTGTTTTGAAAATGTCAGCAGTTGAATAAGATGATCTATCACCTTAATTAACCTTCCATGGTATTTTTTAGTCTTAATGAATCTTTGTTGCTGAAACTTTCATGAGACTGTTATTGTGTTTTTTCAAGGTGGCCTACTGAAATAAGATTACCAATGTAACAGTTATTACTCGAAGAAGCTTGAAGAACCAATTGGCAATCTGAAATCTTTTTATTTCAAGATCATCCTCATGTTTGATTGCTAGTTTGATTGTTTTGCTTGGCTTTTAAATTAATTGATCCCTCATTGACAGTGATGGTAGAAGTTGATCCAAGAATGAATTGGAATCAATTGAGTGATTTGTTTGTGTCAAAGTTGACTTTTCATGGATAAACTTGAAGGAATTGTGATAAGTTGCAAATATTGGCTTAATTTTAACGCTTGCAAATCAAATTAATCTAAAAAATTGCTTACTCGTTAATTATTTTCTTGATGTTCATCATGCTGCTCATGCTATGTTTGCATTCTGAGAAAATGATTACCACTTGTTTTTTTTCTTGTCATGACTCCAGGAAGTGTTTTTACTTGCTCTGTTGAAATAACCTTGTCCTCTAGATTGAGTTTCCCTGTAAATTTCAAGCATTCCATAGTCTTTATTTACACCTTTCAATGTTAGTCAACTAATGTTCACCTAATTTCACTCTGATTGACCATGCATCCCGAAAGAATGAAAAATCAGAGACAAAAACCGTTGAAATTATATTGAGAGCTGTTGAGCATTGAAATGATACTGCTTGTGATTATGATGTAAATCTTTAAAAATTTTCATTTAATCTATTTTTTTATTTCACAGTATGCCAAGGAAATGAGCGAAAAACTTGGCCTGAAAGGATGGGTCATGTTATCCCGACGAGGAACTGTAATTGGACAAATTCAGGGAGAAAAGGAGAAAATTGATGAAATGTAATTCCAAGTAACCTTATTTTGAAAAGCTTATTCAAGTTAAAATTAACTGATTGTTTTGTTTCTGTCTTAGGGCTCTTTGGTTAAGACTTCAAGGAAGTCCAGGATCACGGATTGAACATGCAAATTTCACGAACTGGCAAATAATTGATTCCATTACTTATCGAAATTTCAGTATTCGTTTCTAATGATTTGGATTGAACGAATGATTGGTGGTCATCTGTATCTTCCAATCTCTAAACAATTTAATCCCAATCTTTAAGTTTTGGGAATGTTAATAAAAAAATGATCGCGAGATTCATTTTCAATTTTTAACCCAAAAATTGATGCAGATTCAAAATTGAGATTAAAAGACAATAAGTATATTCATGTTACAGTCGCCTTGAGACTCTACACTCAATTTTGCCAAATGTCTCTATTTAGCCCTGTTGAGTAAGGGTTAATTTTCATTTCAATTTCTTTGATTGTTAACTAGCTTAATCTAATTTCCTTTTGTAAAATATCAGTCAGAAGACTCATGAAATCAGTTTAATGTGAAATGATATTTCAGACTAAACCTTATCAAAATTAAACACGATTCAAATCTGTATGGTGAATGTTTGTTATTGATTGTTTGCTTGATCAATGCGTCAAGTGAAAATCTTCAGAGTTGAGAGTTGAATGCTTCAACATGAAGCTTGGTAGTTTATATGGACATTAATCACAGGCTATTGGGATGATGTAAGGATCGGCGATTATTTAGCTCAACCCTCGGATCGAGAAAAGGAAATCACAAAATGAAGTTCTCAATACATTTACTGTGGATGTAAGGCCTTACATTAGGCCTGAATATGACATTAGATTTCAATGATTTAAGTTTTTCGAGAGAAATAAATAACTGAATAATGTCTGCATTATTAGAACCATAGGCTGTAGCGACCAGGACTGAACTCAAATTTCTTTCCACGTTTAAAGACTCGAATTCCTGGGAAATCGATGAAAAAAAACGTCAATCAGAAAACAAAATACAATCGAAAATTGAACTTAGAGCCTTCGATCAAAGTAATTTTTTATGGTTCCAGCTCCCATCCCCTAAAAGTTCATCAGGTCACAACCCTTCACTCAAAAGTCAAAATTTCGACACTTTTTACTCATCTAACAAAAAAACACTTTTCTACAGTTGACCAGATTCTTTCAAAAAACTCTTAACCCTTTACTCAAAAGACAATTTTACTTAAACTCCTAATCCAACAATAAACCTTAATAACCAGAAAAGTTTTTCCCCCAAACACAATGCTGCAGCATACGGATTTTACTTTTTTCCCCCACTCTGTTTAAGCGTGAATTTAGTTACCTGAGTTAGTCTCAGTAACCTGAATTTTGATTAAGCCCTGACTATTTTTCGGACAGGTAATTCAATTTGGGTTGCAGGCTGTGTAAAATTTTTCCTTAGAATCCTTCTAGTTTGGTTCCAATTTTTTAAACAAAGATTTGATGTTTTGACTTTTGTTTATTGTGTTTGTATTTTATTGATAAACGGATTGTCACTATTCTACACTGTCTTTCAGATTATTTTTTAAGTGAAATTTTGTTAAAATCGACTGTTTCGACGGGAAAAAGTGGTGAAATATTGAAACAACGAGACAATACCATACATTAGTCGAGATAATACATGATATTGGCCAAAATAATGGCGAAATATCGGAAAATAGACAAACAATTGGCGAATGGTAAATGTCCCTTTAATCTTAAAACCTTAAGGCTTTGAGCAAACATAAACTGATTAACAGAAGAGTTAGACGCTGAGATGGCAGCTTTTTCGGAGAGTGTGTACAACTTTTAACAAAACTAGATATTTCAGCTCTGTTCTGTTCAGTAAGATATCATCGTATGTCAGAGTTAGGTTTGTGAAGCCTATTTCAAGTTCCACTTTTACAAAACGCAGCTAAAAACTTAGACTCAATTTTCATCATTTCCATTTCTTTTGTTTCTTTTTGCTTTATTTTCAAATCAAATTCCAGCGATGGGCAAATGGACTAGAAATATTAGACAGGTGAGTTTCGATTAGTTTTCGTCTTTTGTATTAGTGATTCTAATTTATCTTTGCTTCACAGATGGAGTATAAAAAAATCAAGTGGCCAGTGGAAGTGATCGCCAGGACAAAAATTGATGGCCAGTGGAAATATAAATTAAGAGCAACATGGTACGATGCTCCAGAGGTGGTTACCGATTGTGAGGATTCCTTGGATTTACCATTTGAAGTGCGAGATGAAACAGTAAAAACTATTGAGGAGCTTCATGAAATGTCCTCGGATGCAAGAATAAGGAAAAGAGGTGGAGTAGTTTACAAATGTCCGCTTTGTGGGAAAACATTCGCACCGGGGAGGAAAGATTGTGCTGAATCGCATTTGAATGGACGTCATAAAGGCGAAAAGCGTAAAGCATCATGTCCGGTGCGAAAAAAGGATCCAAATGATGATTGTAATGGTCCAACCGGATTAGATGTAGTCCCAGTCAATAAGTGAATATTTTTGATAGACAAAGCCATTTTAGTTGGATTCATGTGTTAATTAATGTAACAAAATTTTCTTTATGGACAAATCATGGCGTCTTTTTCAATTCACCACACGATCGTTCCTCAATTTTCAGAATTCTGTGACATGACAATATCTTCCAATATACAACTCTCCTCTTTTTTCAATAACCGAATAAATAAAAGCCATCAAATTTAAGAAAATTAATTTTTACTCAATTAATTTTATAAATATAATCATTATGAATAAATGATCGGAATCAGAATTCAATTTTTCATCCAAAGAGTCTCAACTGGTTAAATCTGATTGAATCCTTTATAATTTAAGTGTTGCTCCCATCCGTTTAAGAGCCAATATGGCATTAACAGCTTTCTGTAAATCAAAATTGAGAAAAGGTTTAATTAGTATTTTTTTCATTAGTTATGAAGACTGAATTTAAATCAAAATTTAGCAAAAATCGTTTAATAGAGTTTTATTAATCTGCTACAAAATTTAGAGCAACATGAAATTCCTAGCTTTTAACTGATAAAAATTGATATCAGCTACAGAATAAGAAAATTGTTTGGATTTTCAGTGAATTTACGAGTGTTGCTTATCATGAGGGTTCAAAATATTTACTTAACAGATTTTCGAAAATTTGGGTTCACTGGAAAATCGGAATAGACTAATCGCAATATCACAGTAAATAACAACAAGACATCAAATGAATAATCAATCATTTCATTGGATTTTCATTCGAGAGCAAAAATAACAAACAATTTTGTTTATTTTTGTTCCTACAGATGATGGAAGATGCAATACAGAGGAGGAATCAATTCAATTGTTTTTGATGCAAATTTTTGTCGTCACCTTGCATGATACAATTAAGAGCGAATCAAAAGGCTTATCACAATGAAGACAAAAAATTCATGGTGAAGACAGAAAAATCGTCAAAAAGTCTCAATTTCATTTGGATAGAATCCAAAACCGATTAATTACCTTGTTACATTTCAATGTTTATTGTGACTTTTTTGGTGTTGTATTACAGCCAGTTGACATTGAAAAAATTCAAAGTCAAAATGAAAAATTCATGTCGTCCAGGATCTGCTAAGTTTTGTCAAATTGTATAAAGAACCAAACATTCAAAACATTCACGATTAAAATTCAACTAAAGCTGGATATTTCAATCAAAATGCAAGATAGCCTCAAAATCAGCAACTTTGATTGCGTCGATGAAGAGCTGCCTATTAACCATTGAATCTAACCTTAGAGATGTCATTTTTTCATCGTAATGGAATCACAAATATTGCAATTGGTTTCTAAATTGATTTGGATTGAAACTTTTTATTGAACTGTTGAATACGATATTCAATCAAACTCCTGTTTATATTTTTTGACAATTTGACGCCGATCAAAATCACCGTTTCTCTTCGCAAGCAAATCTGATTTTGACTTTAAATTTTCAGCCTTTCATCTTGATTATATTATTATCAGCATTATCATCGTTATAATAAACACTGAATGTGACTAAATATATCAGGATAAAGCATAGTAATTAATCAGCCTTGACTGTGAATTTAGTAAAGAGTGGAAAAGGAGAGTAAAAAAGAGTAGGAAAGAGTTAACTGAATAGAGTAACAAAGATTTCACTTATTACAAGAATCTGAGACATTCTTGAAGTTGATGAGGATGAGATTGTTGATGATCTTGGAGATAATGATAAATTGATGTTAGCAGGGTGGTCAAGGGCACCAGTTTTTGGCTTTTCCCTATCTTCATCTCTAAGTACACTTGGTCACAATTAGAGTTGGCAATGCTTAAAGCTTAATCAGCCTTTTGTTTGAGCTCAACACATTTGTATGTTTGTTTGCCTATTTTCATTGTTTGATTCTTATTTTTACATCAATTCACCAACAATATCAACCAGATATGATTATATTGACTGCACACTGAAAAGTAAATGTTGAATATAAAAAGTTCAATGTTAAAATTTCCTCAGAGCACAGCTAATAGAAGAGCGAAATTATGCATTCATCAGCAAATTGACTTTGATTAATTATTTAATTAACAGTCGATCTTCAGGGTTAATTGGGAAAGCTTGAAAAATTGGTGTTAATGGTAAGGTTGAAAGTAACAAATGAAAGGTTAACAACATCTATTGCTTGAAATTTCAAGTGATCAACTATTTCACACTGAAATATTCAGGGAAACATTCACTTTTAATTCAAGTTTAGACTCTAAAATTAGTGATTTAAAAAAATGAAAGACTATTTTTAATATTATTATGAATATAATTTAGGAGGGCGAAAAAGAGCGTAATTAATGGCAATGTACTAAACAAAAAATGTATTCAAAATAGTTAACGGTTGGCGTAATTTTCAACATAAAATGCTCATAATGTAACACTGAAAATGTCGTTGGCTTGATGTTTAAATGAGTACAATTTGATAATTGGTTGATGAAATAACTTCAAATATTCCCAAATGTTCAACAATGAATTGGCTCATTAGTTAACCGCTTTTCAAGTCCATCGGAGGAAAGATGATATCTCAGGAGTTTGACTCAATTATAACCAGATTGTTGCCTTGTCTAATTGGGTTGAAGGCAATTGGAAATACAATTTGGTGTGTAACGATGAAATAAATTGTTTCACATTGATTTCTGGTTTATTGGGTATGAGTTGTATCAAAATTAATTAACTAACAAATGAGTAGGTTGAAGTAAATTTGTGATTTACTTTGCACATCGTTGGCTCAAACAACCACCAGAAATCAACATGAACATTTGAGGCAACGCTGAAAAAATGAGTAAATAAAAAATAAAAGCAACGAAAAAAAAGACAATTAAAAATTTGGATTAAAGCCAATAACTAAATCTTTATTCGGATCAGTTGGTATTATTTGTATTTTCACTGTTGTTGTTGGTATACAATACAAAGGATAGGAATTAAGATCGTCATTTTGCCTGAGTCTGACTACAGTTAAAATATGGTTATTTATAATTTAAATGTAATTTTATAATTTACAATTTAACCTTTAAAATTGAACATAAAATTTCTGTTAATACAATCAATCGGATTAATAATTAACACACAACAATAAATGTACGGATAATGTTTGCTTGTTCAAGTTTTCAACAATCAACATGCATACAAACAAACGAGCAAATGACAATGAAAATTGAATTTAAATCATTATCATGGTGATAATAATGATAACAATATATTTAAATAATACAACAAAATTTAACAGAAAACAAAAATAAAATTATACATATGTGAAAGTAACAATTATATATGATTCTTTGGATTGCGTTTCTCTTCAATTGCATCGTAATGTAAAAATCTGTGTTGATTTCAATTGTCATGATCATGGGCTGTTTATCTCATTTCATCATCTTCTTTTTGATCACGGGATGTTTTGTTTCCCAAAAAAAGAAGATACAAAAAGCGATTTGGATGCTGTCTGGTTTAATTTGAATTTTCTCGTAAACTTCATCTTCTCCTTGCAAATGTATTTTACAGTTTTGTTTAAAAAATAGCTCCATTTTCAAAACAATTTAATATTAATCGAGAAGATTTGTTCATAGAAATGTGAGTGGCCAAGACTGAAACAAATATATATACAACAAGCATCAGTTTATCAGTTAATAAAAGGCTTCGATGTTAATGTTAACTTGTGTTCGAGTTAGTTGGAAATAAGCAATCAGGAAAACACGAAATCTTCTAGTAATATCTAAATAAAGCCTGAAAATACAAAAACATGTATCTAATGGTATGATAAAGCACGCACAAGAACACTATTTCTTGTAACTACTAATCGGCATACAATGAAGATTCAATGATTGGCATAATATACAAAATTTTATTGTCTTTTCAATAATTGTTTGTATTTCCTAATCATCCTAAACGAACCTCACTAACAGCTTAAACGGCTGAAACTGAGCAATCTGTTATAATTATGATTATGATCGCAAAATATCATGTTTCCCTAAAGTTTTGTTGGCTCTTCAGGGTTTGAGTGGAAAGGTTATCAGGTAATTTTTCAACTCACCTGCCATCTCCTGCGAATGACAAATTTTTTGAGCTTTGATTTATCGAGAACAGCCATTGAACGACGTTTGGTAGACTATAATAAAATAAGATTATAAGAAAAAAGGAATTAGATCAAAATAATTAAATAGCTTTGTAATATAATTTACCTTTATCCAAGGATGGGTCAAACAATCAGTGGTTGTCATACGTTTCCTGAAGATAATATTGACAAAAACAATACGATGGATTGATTAGTAAGAATTGAATGGTCAGAAAGAAATAATTACCTCATATCAGGTAAAAGAAGTTTACTAATAAAATCTTTGGCCTCCTCTGAAATAGCATCAAATGCTTCGTCATCGAAATCATATTTGGTGCTTGTTACGTTGGCCATAGTTTCAAGATCACTGTCCCCCATGAAAGGAGAAAGTCCTGATAAACTGTACGATTAATATGTAAAATAGAAATAAGATTGAAAATTTCTCATGAAAAATAAATCTAGACAAAGGTACTTTGTATCCTTGTTTTTGCACGTTGAGTTGAAATTATTTATTTACTAGTGAACTCACAGAATGTAACAAATTACTCCAACAGCCCATAAATCAGTTCCAAATCCAACTTCTTCATAATTAACGACTTCGGGTGCCACAAATTCAGGCGTTCCAAATAAGATTTGAAGTTTCTCTTTTGGATTATATTTTCGAGCCAAGCCAAAGTCAATCAATTTAATCCTGTTCCCGGTTCTACTTACACAGAGTATGTTTTCTGGCTTCAAAAGATGAAAAACAGGTAAAAATATGAAATAAGTCAATCATGAACAACTCAATGAAACCTCAATGGTACGTGAAATAGCAAAATCAGTAAACAAAGCAAGAATGACCGAGAATAAAACTGAATCGAAGCTTCGCTCAATGTTATCTTAATTTGTTGTATCTGTCTGGTAAAACACGTTATTTTTCATATTAATTGATCAAAATCGTAATGACTGATTTCAATATTACAATACTTGGTTAAGGTTACCTAAATGGATACAAACCTTCATGTCCAAATGGAGGATGTTTTTTGAATGAATATATTCCAAGCCCTCACAGATTTGCCGCATGAAAATGGAACAGGCTTTTTCAGTGAGAACAAAATCATCGCAGATAACTCGTTCAAAAAGTTCACCTCCTTCGATACTGTATTTTAAAAATTGTGGAAGAGAAAGAAGCAAAAAATAGAATGTTATTTTTCAAAATATCAATGACTATTTTGAGAAAATAATAAGACTCTTTATGAAGTAAAGCTAATGTTATAATGTAAATTTTCATTGGAAATTGAAATCTCCATGTAAAGATTCATGATCAATCTATTAATACTAGAGGTTCGTGCATTCTTAAATTTGTTTGATAATATTTTTGCTGAGTGATGGTTTGAAGTTAACGATAACTTAATGGGTCTCAACCTAAGAATGAGATCGAAATGGTAGTTATCCTTCACGGTTGAAGGTTGTTGGTTTGGCTTGGGTGAAAATTTGAGTGACAAATGTATTAATTTTTGCCATTGAATAAATCAATTTACAAAAGAAGCAAAAAATTGAAACAAACAAACAATTAACAAAAATACATGAACTTGGTCTTCAAATTATACCATGTTAAGCATAACTTGTATACATTGATGTAACATAAAAAGTAAAACTTTTCTGTTCATCCAATTTTCTATGGCAGTCAAAAATAACTTGAACCTCTGTGTTGAGCAATTAATTAAGCAAATTAATGGTAAATTTGAATACAAAATGAATAATTTAAACTTACAGTTCAAGGATTAAGCACATCTCAGAGGTACCATCATCAAAGGCATCGTACAATTGCAAGATCCTTGGGTGCTGTAATTGTCTCATTAAATCAACTTCTCTTTCAACAGCAAGTCGATCATCTTTACGATCGGTATTGATAAATTTAGCAGCAAATTGTCTTCCCGATTTCTTCTCAACACACTTATAAACAATACCGAATTTTCCCCTGAAAGATAATTGAAATTACGATAACAACAATTAAAAAAACAATGAGAATAACCATAGCATTGGTCAAAACCAATGAGAATTGAGTAAAAAAGCGCAACTTTCACAAGGCGCTCAAATTGAAATTCATAAAAGACATTCATTTTTTGTTAATTTTTGGATTAAATTCATTCATTAAAAAATTTAAATCTATTAAACTAATCATAATGCTTACCTTCCCAATTCCTCACCAAGTTTATAATCGCTTTTTGGGTCTTTCCGTTTAACGAATACATTTCTTGGTTCAAAAGCTAAATCATAACCTAAAGATTGACGTGAGGAAAAAATTAAAACAATTGCTATCACATTGTATTTGATTGAAGCAGATATTAACATAATTATTGTAAATTATGTGATAAAATATTATAACAAAAACCAAAATTGATTGAGCTTTCAATCGCAAAGTTGCCATGAAAATGCAATTTCATTGTTGATTGTAACCCAAGTTGCTATGATTTTAACACAATCGAGTATCTAATTTTATTTCTTAACATGATTTTTTCAAATCAAGATATACTGTTATTTAAATATATTGTTTATGTTAACCATGATTTAGTGAAAGAGTCAAATAGAGATCAAATATTTGATAATCATTATATGAAACCATTTGCTTTAACATTCATTTAGCTACATCTAATTTTGGATTTGAAGGATACAATAAAAACTAGCAATCAAGGCTTGATCAAACTGTATCTTACCTTCTTCATCTGGATCGGCTTCACTTACGTATATCATGTTGTCATGAAAAATGGTTGATGAAAATAATAAAATACAAAGTTAATTCAATTTTGACACGATTGATGCTCAAAACAAGTGGTGAAAAACATCCATTGGCTTGAAGTTGATAACTTTCTTGGCGAGTTTGGTGCTTTTATTGATGTTTATCATCTAACTGGCAATGTAAATTGTACTTGAAATATCAAAATGTTAAATTAAATGTTTCAATTAATCCAAATGGATAAACCAATTTCTGGTTTTCACTTGAGGTTGAGATGATCAACGATGAAAATGGTGACTTTTAATCATTTCACGACAATTTGTCTCAATGGTTGTTGAATTCAATTCTGAACATGGGAAGAGTTGAATTGTAAGTGAATAGATGATCCAAAATGGTTTTGGGTTGTAAGTTAATTTGTAGGTTGGTTTGGAAGTTGATTGTTTTATGGTTTAACAATTGGTGATAATGATTTATTGTGTTGTTGATGAGATGAGAAAATGAAATGATTAAATGAAGAAAGTAAAATAATGGTAAAGGAATAGCAATTTGCAGTTATTGGTGGCACAATATTCAATCATCAATACAAATGGGTGAAAGGAAGGGAAGAAAAGGAGAAAATTTGTAATATTGCTAATAAAGTTAATCAATTTGGGTTAATTATTTGGTCACATAAATCTTATTTTATCTCACTGAAGTACTGATCAAGATAAATTTCTGTGACTACAGTTAATAAATTATCCTTCAATGTTTTGGCAAACAAAAAGCTCGACTTGAAATGAGCCGAGGTAACCTTATTTTGAGAAGCACAAGAAAATATGAATTGTTAAAGCAAACAAAACAAACCATTACCATTCAATCAAAACAGCAGTTAATTAACATGGTTAATGTTATCCAATGGTATTTCAAAGGTTAGTCAATAGACAATCAGATCAATGATTGGACTGATTGTGGCAAAGAAACATTGGAGTCTTGTAGCTAAATCTTAACCCTGCCTCTAATTGCTATTTGGTATGTTTTACACAGAAAATTTGAATCAATTTGACTCAATTTCAATCAATCAGACAAATTAAGTCTTCACAGATGAGATTTTAATTTGGCACTTTCTGAGTTATCTTGAAATTACTCAAATTGCTTGAATATTTCGTAAAAAAATGTTCAACTTTTACATTTTTTCCTAAAAACATTAATATTTTCTGTAATAGTCAACTTTTACACATCTGTTATCAACAAGTGTTTGGTAGGCTTGACAATTGAAACTGTCAATGTTGATGATTGATTCAAATTGATTCAAAATTGGTCAGGTTCCATAGGATAAAATAATTACTTGGTATCAACTTAATTACTCACATGGTGTTCAATTATCAACTTTGTAGGAAGGTTGACTTGAAAGGATAGATATTGATGCCTATGGATAATTTCACTTGGTATAAGTTGTATGGTAATCGATATACAGAAGATTCAAGTTAAATTAAACACACCAAAATAAATAATTAATCCATATTATTGAAAGTGTTAATAGCGTCGATGAACCTAAACTTGTATCAAGAATGCAATGTTTACAAATGGTTAAAAGAAATACAAAAAAATCGCTGCAAAATGAACCAATGAAGATGTTTTTAGCATGCGTGTTTAAAAAGATTGCCCATGATTGCACATGATTATTCCAGTGATTCAATTGCGATGCCAGATTATTCAAGGAACAACTTTTGGTCTATCTTTTGTCACCATTAAGCTTAAGAAGTTCAGTGTAACTCTATTTCGGGATTATCATCCGGTTATAAATACTGTACTCTTCTCTATCACACCGGGAAAACAAACAAAACAACCAACACGGAGGATCAACAGCAACAAGTGGAAAGGCAAATTGCCAGCAACAATATCAACAATTGTGAATAATTATAACGTTTATAGTTGATTTTTTAGCATTGTTCAACTTGTAAATCTGTTGTGTAAACTGGCTTGTGAAGAGTAAAATCATTATTTAGCTCAATGCAAATAATATGATCGATTACCGTAAACCAAGTTTCGTTATGCTTTTTAAATTGTTGCTTTGCTTAGCTATTTAACATTTGCATACCATGTCAATCAGTTTGAAAATAAAATTCCAAGTGTAAGCTGATTGTTTAATTTGAGGGTAAAAATTGACTCAAAAATCATCCGATTCAAACATTATGTTTGATAGTATAAAATGATCTGTATGCAAGTAAAGTCGGGAATAAGATTGAAATTATTATTTCCCGAGCCAAAGTTGATTTTTCTGATTGTACTAATTATGCACTCCATATAATAACATTTAGTGCCTATTAAATTATTTTAAATTATCCGTAATCATTAATTTACTGAATATACTTTTCAATTTTATCAAAGACCTTCCTCATATTTTTTCTGGTTGAACTCTTTTAGACTTTCAAGGCTGTAACCAGATAATGTGAGCAGAAACGTAATTTATGAAGCTTCCCTAGTATATGGTCTCAACAACAACAAAAACAAAGTTGTGTATTTTGTGTTATGTTATTTTTTTATTCTAATCGCTTATTATTTGTAATTAATTTTTTGCTATTGTAAATTTTGATTTTATTTAACTTGTTCACCATGACAGAGGATAAGGAGCTTTTGCGAGAAATATGGTTTGCAAAGATACCTGTTTGCTTCCATCTTGCTTCTGAAGAAATTGTTAATTTTCAAAAACCTGATCCATATTATGTTCGTTTGTTGTTCTTTTAATCAATTTTATTCTTTATCTGGTCTACCAATTCAATTTACCTTTCATCTGTTCTGTTTCACTTCTTTTATTACAGTTAATGTGTCCAAGAATAACATACTTTCCCCTGGTACTGGATAAGGTTGTCAAATACTTTTCTAGGTTTGTTGACTCTTCAAAACAACAAGGTATAGACATTTGGATTGAATATGAAGGAAATCCAGTTAAATGGTAAATGCTTTATTTTTATAATTATTTCATCAATTCCTTATGCCTTTGTGTTCCTTAGTAACATTTTAACTTTAGGCCAATTGCAATATATAGATAAGAAACATGTACCGGAACACTGGGTTGATTTTTACCTTTCTCAAAATTATTTCCATTGCTAACAAGGTTTTCTTTATCTCTAATTAGGCACTATCCAATTGGACTATCTTGGGATCTCATTTGTGATGAAGCTAGTCTGCCTTGGAATCTAATTATTCACTTTGATGTATGTATTTGGTATATGGCTATTTGGATGCCGAAATAGTAACATTTTTCCTTTTCATTGTACCCACAGAATTTTCCAGATGACGAATTAGTGAGATGTAATAGTCGAGCGTTGGTACAATCAATGTTTATGTCTACAATCAAAGAGGCTGATGCATTAAAGCACAGAAGTCAAATAATTAGTGCGATGCAAAAGAAGGAGCATAATCAGTTATGGCATGGTTTACAGGAGGAAAAATTTGAGCAATTTTGGGCAGTTAATGTGAAACTGATGGAACATACTAATAATGAGCCTTTTCGCTGTATACCATTTCGCTTCTATCAACTTAATCAACCTTATATTCAAAGACTTTTTAAACCATTATCAGAGAATGGCACACCTAACACACTAGGGGATCTAGTGCGACAAGTATTTCCTAGCTCAATTGAGGATGACAATGAAAAACTTACTGTATTAACTCATGGAATTCAACCTCCTTTTGAAACCCCTATTCACTGGATGTCTGAGCATCTGAGTTATCCAGACAATTTTCTTCATCTGTGTGTTTTCCCAAGGAAATCTTGTTCCGGCACTAATCAAAAATCATCATAATTTGCATTATCAATAGTTAATTGATTTGTGCCATTCTTTCAATGACTCTCTTTGCATAATTTCTTCTTACCTCATTTTGAGCAAGACAAAATCGATCCATCAAGACACATGATCTCACCAATTAAGACATTTTTTCACACAAGAACTTACAGAGTAATTACAGGTATCTTAAATATGATTTTGGACAGTTTTTTACGCTCTAAATGTTACAATTTTGTTTTACCATGAAAACATTTAAATAACAAATAATTTTTGTAAAGTATTAAACAAGTTTCACAAGAAAAGGCTAGAAAAGAGTTTCATAAATATTTGCATTGGTCGATTGAATTGGTCGTTGGATCTCTCACTCAACAAGAATACGTGGCGTATCTGGGAACATGAAACATTTCTAAGATTGACCCAAGCTCTCGAATCTTTTACGAAATTTTTAGTACTATGGATAAATACGAGTACAAATGCATAATGTATAACCTCAATATAATCAACATTGGTATCACTTGAACATGGTCATCAAAATTAATCTATGGTAAAATCCATTGTTGGTGGTAAATTTGAATTCTTTAAATCAAATTGTATCATAACATTAAATCGAAGCTGGGAATCTTTACACTTAATATATTTTGCTGAAAGAACGAGAAGTCACTTCATGGAAACATTGGCATAGAAGAGGATCGTCTCTTCCAATATTTTAACTTATCATAACCTTCGCTCAAGTTGTTAATAATCAGATGAAAACAGCGATTTTAACGGATATATAAAACTGATTAAATAATCTTCGGAAACTAAATTATCAAAAATTCTGTCAATTCAGCTTGTGCGATGCGGTAAACCATTTCAGTTTTCAGTTATTTTTTCATTCTATAAAGTCATACAATTAACAAGTTTTTGTTCAACTATCTTTACATTATAATTTAACTCAAAATCTGAATTTGAATAAGTTCTCGGTGTTTGATGATAACAATCGAGGGATAGGTTAGCTATAAGTTTTGTTTAAAATGGATTGATTTATATGTATCAAAGAGAAGAACGTAATCTTTGTCACATTTAAATTTGAAATCTTGTACGCTGTGAAGTACAAAAGTTCAGAGAAAATGATAGGGAAAAGATACATGAGATATATTGAAGAATCAATATTGTTTACACATTAAATATTTAGTGTTAACATAAACTTTTTTGAAGAAAATTTTTAATCTAACATGATATATGACAACGATTAAAATGATGTGGACAGATCATTAAAATTTAAGACTATATAGAATCACATTTTTCAGGATTAAATGGTCTGTTGAGAAACGCCTCGGCGTTTCATGTTATCAATTAGAAATATCGAGTTTTATTAAAGTAGAATCAAATATTTTGAATATCAAATGAACATATTTGTCATGATAATCATTGCACGGGGAAAATTTTTGATTATACTTTCTGGCAGTGAATTATTAAAATGTATTGGCGATTCTTATGGTTTTTTTGGTAAGAGAATCATCAGCAGTTGTAACCTAATCCTTTTCTTTCTTATTGGCAGCTTGTCGATAAGTTTTCTTGGTCGTTTTAGCTTTCTTCTTTGGTTGAAATTCAGTGATAATAACCGTTACATTGTTCACTGTAACAGCTTGAGCCAAAAAGTTGGTTCGATCAATGTTTTTCAACTTCATTTTTGATTCCATTTTGGTAGATTTCACTGAATTCTCACGAGATTTAGTAGTTTTGGTTGAGTTGTTAGGCGAATGGTTTGTTGGTGAGCCATGTTGATGATGATTAGTGGGCGAAGATTGTTGATTATGATTGCTATGATTCGATGAAACATGAGAATGATGATTGTGATTATGTTGGTTAACACTTGGGCCAGCTTCATCTACTCCCTCGTCAGATTTATTACTAGATGATTTATAAGCTCCTTTACCACCCTTAATCCGTGTTTCTCTGGGTTCTTTGCCTTCACCTTTGGACTCTTTACCTTTGGCCTCGATCGTATGATCATCTTGAACTTCTTTTGGTTCCTTGAGTAAACTTTTGTTAGATTCTTTAGATTTTGACTCTCTGGTTTCTCTGCCATCAACCTGAAAATGGATGGGAAAAAACGGATAATAAAAAACGATTACTTATTGAGCTCAATATTTCAGCGGGAAAAATTTACCTTATCAGCATCTTTTGAACTATTGAAAGAATCACTTGAATCTTTCAAATCACAAAATGATTTATTTGATTTTAGAAGCTTTTGGTGGATTTGTATCTGCTGTTTTTTCACTTGTTGAGCAACCAAGTCGTGGTTATATCTTGGTTTCCTTGTACTGGTTCCTTTACAGACATCACACATTAAACATTTAAAAGCTTCCTGTGAATTACGATAAGTACAAACTGAACATTCCCAAGTATTGTCATCCTCAATCAGCATATCACCATCACTGTTACCACTTGAAGGAATGTTACATGCTTTTTTGCTTGGTTTATTTGATTTCTTTCCACGAAGATGGGCTCGTTCATGTTTATCCATAATAAACCGTAGATGAACCAAATGACTGCTCTTAACCTCACACTTTCCTCCTTGTTCCTCTTTTCTTTTTCTTTTCTTTCAGCTTATCGGGAAATAAGCTTAACATACAGTCGATCCTTTGGGCTTCAATAGATCAAAAAACAACCTAGAATGAGAGGAAACAAAGAAAAATTACAGCTCACAGTCATATCAATTATCCTGGTGGGATATTATCGAGCTTACTCTGTTTAGTCTATGAAAACTAAGCATCTCGACAGCTAAAACAATTCGTAATCAATTTCATCTTCACTTATATCATTTAAGGTAGTTGAAATCACCAGAAGATTGTTAATTAACTCAATAATAAAATACAACAGTGGAACTATCGCCTATTTCTTCGTTTTACTATGAAATACAAAAAATTAGGGTCATAAAACCTGCGTGAGTAGTGAAAGTGAGGCAAAAAAGAGAAGTTTGAAGATGAAACAGAAAACAGAGAATAAGAGAAACCGAAATATAAAAGCATAACTTACCAAATAAAATTGAGAATCACACAAAATTACAGCCATTTCGAGAGAAGTTTAAGTTAAACATAACGAAAGTCCAGTTGGAACCAGGCTGACAAACATAGAAGATCAATGAACTTTTGTTATGTGATCTATTCCTAAATATCTCATATAACAGAGATTTTTTCTTGTTGTATTTGCGAATGCGTGTAACCGCATAAGTAACTTACTGAAAGCCAACTCGTAATGAACCATAACTTGAAAATCAAATTCACTCCAATCCAGTGAATTTAATACACTAATGAAGTTTATGTTTAACGCAAAAAGCTAAATTGAAACTTATCCTCTTGAACATAAACCCTTTTTAAAATCGATAGACATCGATATATTAGTTAAAAGATATTTTCGATATCTGATGACATTTTATTGAAAAAGTTTGAAATTCTCGCTTCAACAAAATGTTACAATATATTGTTGGTCTATGAGATTTGTGTAATTTAGTGATCAATTAAACTAGAAGCTATAGTGAATCATAATCGTTACATTAATCCGTTCTGGTTGTTCAATGAAGCAAAATGTGCTAACAAATGGAAAGTTACATTTTATCTTCTTACCTTTTCTTCTGCCATTGTTAATCTTTTTTATGATGATATTCAGCTCACCATTCAACCAGAATTTTCCATTAGCTTCTGATAATAATCACATTGTTTACAAGTTGAAAACTAAAGTAAATAATTAATTAAAACATACGATCATATTAAAAAGTTAAAAGGTGTAAAGTTAGATTCTATTGGCTAGTCAGTATCGGATATGGCAATAGCTGATATGGAATTACCAGTATCTGATATTTTTATTAATATTTTTTTTGTCAACAAACCAAGTTTATTTCTGGCTTTGATTTTTTCTTTATTTAATAAATTAAGGAACATTCAATGGAATTTAGATCAAGATTAAATAGATAATTTTTCAATTTTATGTTGTTTCTTGTACTTTAAAAAATATCTTTTTACAGTTCGTTATTTATTGATAACCCACCGGAGAGGATTGCTTTTCGAGTTTTGTTTTCATTGTGTAGTCAAAAATCTTGACTCAAAGTTGTTTTTTAAACCTTTGCCTTTTAATAATTTTAAGCTCATTAGATAATTTTTTATAAAAGAAATGTCTTCTGGAGAGGATAAACAAAGTATGATCACTTCTCCTGTGGGTCAACAATATTCACTGAACAATAATTCTCTCAATAGCAACAACAAATGGGTTCGATTAAATGTTGGTGGATCTATTTTCATGACCACTCGATCTACTCTCTGCCGTGATCCTAAATCATTTTTATACAGGTTGTGTGATGAAGACCCGTCACTTGGAAGTGATAAGGATGAATCAGGAGCTTATCTCATTGATCGCGATCCTACTTATTTTGGTCCAATTTTAAATTTTCTCCGTCATGGGAAATTAATCATTAATAAGGATTTATCTGAAGAAGGTGTTTTAGAGGAAGCAGAATTTTACAATATAACTGATTTAATCAAAATATGCAAACAACGGATATCTGAGTCAAAGCAAAAAAGTGACCTGGAGAAACATGTCTACAGAGTTATCCAATGTGGAACTGAAGAGCTTACTCAAATGGTTTCAACCATGTCTGATGGTTGGAAATTTGAACAACTTATCCCAATACCTAATGGTTTCAGTTCTGGGGTCGAGTTTTTATGTGTTGTTTCAAGAGCATTTACGAATTCGATCAAAATGTTTGACGAGAACTCTGATCGAGCCAAAATGATTCAACAAAAAGCATCGAGAATGTAAATTTTGTACCTCAATCATCAAATTATTGGTTGAGCTAATTATTATCATCTATTTGTATATACATCTATATATATCTACCGGGTGTGGCATAAGTCAGGTACAGCATATTTTCGTGAATAACTTTTGCACCGATAGAGATATTTCAAAACGGTTTTTCTCATTGTAATCAGCGCTTTTTCGGTTGTCATTTGACTATATGCTGGAAGTGCCAACCTTTACTAGCGATCGTTCTGACACGAAAAACGCAAAATATTGTCTCGCAATGAGAAATTCGAGAATTGAAGTTTTTCTTCCTACGCCTTTATGGCTTAGTTGCAAGGGTGTTTCGACCCTTCGTGGCACTTGGTTAGTTCCGTTCAGCGGCTTTGATGTCTTCTTTGTAAAGATAATATAGTTTTATAAAAAATTTGCGATCTTGCCGCTAAGAAACGGCATTTTTCAAAATTCGAATTTTTAACGAGAAACTTTCACAGAACTCAACCGACGGCTTGAGAAAAACACCTAAAAAATTTGGCGGCGATAACTATTACAGTTGCTGAGAAAAAGCGGAAAATATGCTGTACGTGACTTATGCCACACCCGGTATATATGTATATGTATAAATTATTACTCAATTTTATATTGAAGTTGATTATCCTGGTTAAAAACTCATGTTTGTAATCAATCGCGATCAATTAGTCGTGATCAGTGCAAGTTTACTATGTGGTGGGTTGATATAAGCCTGATAACATGAAAAGAAATTTTTAGCGAAATAAAAATTAAATCAATGACAGAGGCTACACTGACAATGAATAAAATTTTAAGAAAGATTCACAAAAATTTAATTTCACTGCTTATTCATTACTTTCACTCTATCATGACTTTTTACTACAGAATTTTACACTCGTTGTGCATTGAAAATAAAATTTTAGTAATATTAATTGGATATTGTATTGAAAATATCTAACCGAATAAATGTACGAATAGACGAATCAAAATATTAGTAGTCCAAAATGATAAACAACAATGGAGTGGCAATAAACCTTAGTTTTACTAAAGTAATATAAACTGTACTTGTGTTGTGATTGTCTTTGTCACAACTATCATTTTACAGTACATCAAAGTGCTACAAATATATTGAATATATTTACTTTTTACTCTCTACTTTTTCTAGTTCTTTCAAATCTCTTTGTGCTTCCTCTCTTCTCTGTGCTTTGATGTCATCGTCTTGAATACGCAAACTTGGTTGTTCATTTAAGGGAATAACCCATTTGCTTTCTCTGTGAGGTCTGCGGACACCATGACGCCATGGATATCTGCTAGGATATCGTAAAGCGGCTGCAAATGGCCAAATAGGATAATCGAGATCTTCATTGTTATTTAGAGGTCTAATAGCAGATACGTTTCGGAGATGTCTCCATCTTCCAAGTTTGTTACGTTTCTTCCAAATGTTGTTCCATGCCCAACTTGGTACAGCAAATCGCTCATTAGAACCAGGAACTCGAGGATGTATATTAGGGGGCAATTTGGGAGGATGAATAATAGTTTTATAATCAAATGGATCTATTTCTTTCAATCTTTCCAATATTGCTTCCTTATTCATCTCTTTTGGATCTCGATAAGCATCCAAATATATGTTAAAAGCAGCAGAAGATGGATATTTAGCTTGATCTGCGAGTTTTTCTTTAGGTTGGATATATTCATAAGTCGGTTCTCTCATGTTCAAAATATTGTAGAAAATGTCCCGACAAGATTCATCCCATGAAGATTGGAACCACGACAAACCAACAGGAGTTAATCCCTTGTCCAGTAAACTATTAAGATTGATAACCCGTTTTTTCAGTTCAACATCGTTAATCTCGGGTAGCTCTTTTGGTTCTTTTGACTGTAATAACATAAAAACATAACGATGATAACCAAAACCATTGAATGCATAAGGAGGTATGAAAGAGATAACTTCTTTATGTACAGTTGATCCATCAGATTGGTTGTGAATGTTAGAAACCATCCAATGGCAAACAGGATCGGATTTACCAAATTGAGAATCTAAATTTAATAATGCTAAAGTGTAAAAATTATTACTATCACCGAGCAGATTAATCCCATTTGGTAAGACTTTTTGGAAATCCTCAAATGATAATGTTTTTCCATTTAAAAGACTAGTATCAATGACAACATCTGGTTTAACTTTTGTATAAAAAGGTTTGATGTGATTTCCTCTATAGACTGGCGAAACTGTTAATTCTTCAGATTTACTATCTGTGTCAACAGCGAATTCAATGGTCATCGGTACAACTGGGTGAAAATATTTAACATCCAATAAATTAGGAGGATCCACTTTTCTGGAACCAGGACTGAATTTAACAAGTTCGTCTTCCGTCCAATCTCTTTCCATTTGGGGCCAGTAATCAACTTTTTTGTGAGGTAAAGTTTTATCAGCTATTCGTTCCAAATTGTTACTAACAAAGAAAAAGAAATACATTTAGTAAATTTAAAACAATTCTAAAAATATAGAAACATACCTGAATAAATGTTCATAAATAGCATAATGGTGGGCCAAATCAGTTATAGCACTTATACCTGATTTGCTGCGAAGATAAGCGTAGTTTAGAGCATCATAAGAGTATGACAATTTGACTTGTTTTGTTTCCAGCATCTTCAAAAGTTCATCTTCAGTCAGATTAGCTTCAGAATCAATAATCGGGTTAGATCTCTGAGCTGCAGCAGCAGTAGCCTCACGCCTTTGCCGTCGAGAAACTGGGGCTAATGCTGGTATATCTAAACCAACGTTTACCATGTTAATACCTTTTTCATATTGATTTTTTTCTCTCAAAATCGATTCCAATGATGGGTAAAACACTTGATGAGACTTGTAGTAATTTGGAGGAAAGGGTAAACCAGGATTTTTGTACCAATAACGTAATCCTCTGGCTTGAAGAGAGAAAAAACAATTATCTTTCAAAAGATTTAAAAGTCTGGTAGTTTTGGAACCAGATTCTAATAATCTTGGTAACATTTTTAATTATAAACAATAAACAATGCAAAAGTAAACAAAATTCAAAATGAATTCTAACAATCACATTGTACTCATTTTTTCAGTCATGTTTTTCTTGTGAATAACAGCTGGGCTATTTTCACAGCTTTCAGTTCAAGAGTAAAACTGATAAGATTTGAGATTTGAGATTTTTAATTTCAATCTCACAAAATCTGCTTAAACAAATCTAATTGTGTTTTAGTAATTGCTATTAGTTAAAGATCAAATTTTCTTCCGTTACATTTTAACCCATTTTTTACTATTGAGACTCATTGGAACAACGACTTTTTGAATTCTTTTTTGTTGCTTAACCAGATTTGTTATTGAAATAAACCTATCAATATATGCCAACCGGTGGTGTAAATATATCCTCCTGATTTAATATGAATTCTGAAAATTCGATGTACCAAGAACGATCTTCCATTGCAGCTCATTTGGTTGTGCCTATCCTGATCAAACCGATACTTCAAAAGTTGGAGCGAGAAAGTGTTGATTGTGCTCATGCCATAAGAAGTGCCTTGATCAGGGTAAACATTTGTGGTCAATCTAATTGGTCATATGATTTAATTAAATCTGCATCTTTTCTTTGTTTTCTCATTCAGGCTGAGAATTCATCTCCTGGAATTCTGCTTGAATTAGTGAATGCTATGGTCAAGAAAGCTGATATCTCGGTAAATATTATTGAGTCCCTGTTAAGGCTTCAAGGGACCATTCCTGAATTTGATGGTTTGTAATCATCTATTTTTGTTTTTGTTTGATTGTTGATAAAACTAAGATAATTATAATGACAATACTTTCCATCATTCAATCTTACAGATTATTTTATTCGCCGTCGTGAAGAACCTTTCCAAGAATTGAATAAAAAATCAGTCATCTTAAGGAAAATTTTGTCTCGCATACCCGATGAAATTAATGACAGGCCAATCTTCCTTGCCACTATAAAGTAAATTCATTTTTTAATGTTGAAAAACAAATGTAATTTAATATCTATTTTTCCTATCTCAATCATTATAGAGAAATTGCCAGTGCTATCAAGAAAATTATGGACTGTATCAATGGAATTTCTAGCTATACTTATGAAATTTCTGACAAACAAGTATTAGACATTCGTAAACGTGAATTCATCAAATATTCCAAAAGATTTAGTACTACACTTAAAGAATTTTTCAAAGAAGGAGAGTAAGTATCATGTACAAAAACTTAAGAATGTTTTCAATTCTTTTAATCCTTATGTAATCCTTTTTTTACAGGTGCACAAGCGTCTACATCAGTGCAGCTCACCTCATTCATCAAACCAATCTTCTTCATATTACGGTCAAAGATAAATGCGATCATCTCCATTAATAATCTATGCAAAACTGTCCAAAACTTTATTAGTTATTGTTAAAGTAAATACGTTATTTAAAATTTTAATACGAATATTTATATTCTATGCTAAAAAAATTAAATGATTAGATCACTTTTTGATAAATCATATTTTTGTCGCAAATAATAGCTGAACTATTCTCATGGATTCTGAATGCAGAAATAAACCATTACATATTCAATCAGTTCAATTCTTTTCTCACAAACCTAATTATTCAGTGTATGTTTCAAGTTTCTGTTGATTATAATTTCGTCCACTTATCATCACAAGAAGCAGTAAAATACAATATTACTGTATTTCGCGTATAACCCACGAAAATGATTGATCGAAATATAATAAAATCTTGATTTTACTGGCGAATGAAAATCAAAAATTTGTTCAAGTTTGAAAAGCGATATTGTTCACTTCTTAGGAATAAAACTCATTGCAGCATTTCATTTTTAAACTTCCCTCTTATTGTAACAAAAAATAACCGGTTATAATACCAGAACTGGTTACTGTTTTTCCCCCAACCAGCTAACCGGTTATCAGTAACGACTGGTTACTGATAAAGTACTGGCCTTTTACTGTCTTAAGTTTTTTCTTTTTGTTCCTATATCTTCGTAATCCTTTCAGTTTCTCATGCTTCAATTTCGTCTATAATTTTCATCCCTCTCTCTTCCTCTTTCTCCGGTTCCCTCGTTTTGTGGTTTCTTTGATTCAGCAATTGATCAAAATGTAAGTTTATACTGTTTATCGTTGATGATATTGAAATATCTGTCATTGATATTTGGAGAACTGTCAACACTGATTACTTGGTTGCATTGTTTTCCCTCTGAAATATTTTGTTTTGTCCTATGCATTCCCATGTTGCCATTTCAGGTGTTATGCTGATTTTATTGTTGATGGTTTTATTTTTGTTTATGTGAAATTTAATGGGTTTAATTTTTTTATCATTTTCTCTATTCTCTTTTTCATTTTTCTTAGGAGATTATGTAGCGGTTGCAGTAAACCAATTATTGACAAATACATGTGGCAAATTAAAAACGATGATCGATTTTTTCATTGGAACTGTTTGAAATGTCAATGTTGCCAAACTATTTTAAAAGATCTATGTCATGTTAAGGATGGATCTATTCTTTGCAAAGAGGATTACAATAGGTTATTATACTTCATTTTCTCCCTCTCTTGATTTTGTTATTGCTTCTTGTAGTTTGTTGTCAAAAAGCAACGTGTTTTAATGTTTCATGTCCTGTCAAGCAATCGTAATTCATTCAAATATTTTCAACTGTAATCTTTTTTCTATTCTTTAGACTCTGTGCACCTCGACAGTGCCATGGTTGTCGTAGTCCCATAGACAGTAATAAAGATTGGGTAATCAAGATACCGGCAGCTTCGAATAAACAATATCACAACACACCAACAAGTGGATCCTCATATGTTTTATACCACCTTAGATGCATCAGATGTTGTTATTGTTCTAAAGATCTCAACCCTGGGGATCGTTATATACTTAACAAGGCTAATCAAACGTTGGTCTGTACTTCATCAGCCTGTTTAAACCATCATAACTCAACAGTTTATTCTTCAGCCGTTTCATCTCCCTATGCATCATCCATGCCCCCTTCACCACTTCAACCTGCTCCTCCGCAACATCCTAAAATGTCTGTGCCAAGTGGAAGAGGAAGACGAGGTCGTGGTGGAGGAATGTACAAGAAGCAGTGATTTAGAAATGACGAAAAGAGAAACGTTTTTACTATTTTAAACTTAAAAGAGCGGAATCAAGACTTGACCCTTTGACATTACAATGCATGTTCAAGAGATTTATCATGTAAATAGCAACAGAGAATCAAATCTATCAATGGATTTACAACATTTTAATGCACTTAATTTTACAAAGAATCCCCGTTGAATTCTTTGAGTTTACTTATTACCATCAATTCAAAACTATTATTCAACATTTTTACACTTATTGTATTGAGAATTCATTTTTTCAGCTCAACATCGTTAATCTCGGGTAGCTCTTTTTGCTCTTTTGATTGTAATAAAAAAACATGACAATGCAATGCATGCATTATAAGTTAAAAAAACTAATTTCTTCATGTACAGTTGATCAGCAAGACTGATTGTCAATTTTAGAAACCATCCAATTATAGTCAGAATCAGATAACAAGACAACAAAGTCAAACTTTAGTTTAAACTGAATTTACAACAAATCATTAAAATTAATGATTAATCTCACTTTTTGGAAATCTTCTAAACAGTTATGTCTTAGTTTGTATCAATTACTCTTATTTATGCATCATCGGACATCGAGGATTGGAACATGTTTTTTGCATCGTGGAATACATCAGCAACGATTTTAATAGGTCGGATTCAATGTTCAATCAATATTGAGAATATTTTAGTATTGAATGAAATCATATCAATTTATTAAAAGTTTAATTTCCTCTGAGAATCGACAGAAATGCCTTTGATCAGTTTTAAAAATGAGATTTAATCATGGAAGAAAAATATATTTCTTTTATTATATTATCGATGTGAAATGGAAATGATGAATGATCAATTTATTCGGATTTTAATCGTTTAATGGTCGCAAATAGCAGTGAAAATATTATCATGCATTAACAGATTCAGGTGAGTGTTTTGCTTTCTTCTTTTTCTTGTCCTTCTTTTTCTTTTTCCTTTCTTTATCGTCTTCGTGTTTCCTTTTATTTTTATGCTTCTTTTCATGCCCTCCAGTAGCAGAAGTTTCCGCTATTTCAATTTGAGACTCGTGGTTCGAGGTTTCCTCCGATTTATTTTTACTTTTCTTTGATTTGTGTTTCTTTTTTATAATTGGCTGATGCATAAGTCTAAATTGTTCAGGTAGCTATAACAAAAAGAAGAATAAGTTAATAACCAGAATGAATCAGTGAGGCAAGTGCAAAATATGAGAAATACGCTTACAGGACCAGGATGAAGCCTAAACCCAGATAGTTGATTTTGAGCAAGAGGTATAATTTCTTTTCCTCCGATTGGTGGTTTTTCCATAAGACTCCTTAAACTATGAATGCGGAAAACGAAGATTAAATTAATATCAAAATGAGGCCAAAATTTCCAACCAAACATTGATAATATTACCTATCATTTGGAGTAGCAGGAACATCAATATTTCCGGGTAAATTTGGTAAAAATGCACTTAATTGGTCCTTGATTTTACGTCCACAACAGAATTTATTGTAAGAGTGTTCAAGATTATAATGTTTAATTAGATTTGTAGCACCAGTTAATTCACTTTCACCTGAATTTAAAGATAGAAATAAATTCATATAATAACTATATTTTTAACGGATTTTAAAGCTTTAAGAAAGCGTACTTACCTCCTGGCTCTTTCATCAAATAGAATGGCCCACTGTGCACAATTGTAGGTGTTTTTCCTAGTGAAATGGTTGTTTTTAAGGTACCCGTTGTGTCCTGTCTGCTATTAGTAACCAGCGGTGATCGACTACCTCTCGGACTTGATTTAGGAGAGTATTGTTCACCATTGGTCCTCCGAACAACCTCAGTAATCATTTTAAGTTGCGTAAATGATAAATATCTGTTGAAAATCAATCAACTCAGATAATAAAATTTACATAGGTCTTAAATAACTTATTTTCTAATTTACAATTCAGATATAAACAAACAAAAACAAAATGATTTAGCTAGGTTAGTCACTTCTTAAAGAATCATATGATGATCAGTAATCACTTTAAAAAATTTAGGGACCGATCACTAAGTTCTTATCGTTCTTCCTTCAGCTTTTTAAAAAACTTGACAGTTGACATTTGATAATTCATCGAGCAAAGTTAATCAAGAAATATACAAAGGATGTATTAATGAATGTTTAAGCTATAATTAACTCTGATTTTTTAATAATTTTCCAGTAAAAAATTCTTTCAAGTTATCATAACTGAATACAATAATACCTGGACTTTTGCAAAAAAAGATTGACAGAGAAATAACGTTAAAAGAATAATGTTAATGATGATCGCAGATTTTTGGTGGGGAAAATCAGAAGCACTTTTATTTTAATATGTGCTTTGATGAATTTTTTCTAACAAGAAGAATTAACTAAAATTACTTTTGTTCAAACAATTTGAATCTTTTTATTCGGCAACCAGATTTGCTGTGAATAGCAACTGGGCTATTTTCACAGCTTCTGGGTTTCCGAAAAGGACAAGTCTTGCGTATTGAATTTTTTTCAGTTCAAAATTTTCTCAACAAACCTAATTCTTTTAGTTTGTTTTTAATTTTAAAATTCATTTATCATCATTTGTTCAGTATTCATTTTAAGAAATAGTGATTTTGTGTTTTAAATCACGAAAATGACAATTGATCATTATAGCAGCCAGTCTACTAAGGACTATTTATTGGATCGCTTTTTAAGTTATGGATTAGGAATTGGTGCTATTTTTCAATTTGTTTGTATTCTTGCTGTCATATTTTTAAGTTCTGGTGATTCGAAAGGTAAATCCAATTTAGAATATAGTTCAGAGGATGATATGAATAATGGATCACATCATCATAATGGCTCCAATCATCATTGCCAAGCAGGATCGAAGCACAACCATGGGCATGGACGAAGGAATCGCCATGAGAAGAAAAAGAGGAAATAGTTGACTAATCAAATTGTAATTTCTATTTTCCACGGTATTTCTGTAAATAAGGACTATTTAAGTCCTCCATGTGTAGTGCTTGGCCCTTTAAATGGATTTCGCCCCAATATGGCAGAATGGCGAATTTTTCTGCTTTTTCACTAACATTTAATGAACTTGAATGCTGAGGGTTTGTGACAATTACAATGTTCTGATAGTACATATTTACATGTATTAAACACCAATCTGATTCATTATGATGACAGAAATCTGCAATCTAGTCAATCCACAGTTCACCAGTTTCATCATGCACTAACTAATATGCTTAGTTAAGCCCTGTTACAACATTGAGGCATTCAAGAACTCAGATTATGATGTGAAACTCTTAATGTAATCTCTTTAAATTTACTCAAGTTATCTCGAATTACTTTTTTTGTAAATATAAACGATCACCTTAACATCTTGTAAGTTGATGTGAATTTTTTATACTCAATAAATGAATAACTTAAATTTACCCTGATTTTTGTTTTGAAATGAATATTTACCATAGTTTCCATAGATTCATGAACTATAAATTTAATTGTATTAAACACTTGATGAATATTAGTTAATATTACGGAGAGATTAAGGTTAATCAGATTACTATAATCTATTGGAGAAACATCCGTCAATCGCCTCAACTCAGCTGTTAAATTTCTTTGGAAGTTTAGACGTTTTCTTTATTTTCACAGCTAAAAACAGTATCGTTGTATGATTTTTATTTATAAATTTCGTTTTTATTTGAATTTTCGCGATCACTGGTGCCGTTCAAATCAATAATAAATCACTAAATCGTAAGTAATGTTTTCTTTCTAACCTTTAAGCATTTTATTTTTTCTTCAAGAGTAAAAATGTCTGATGAAATAATAGTCTTACAAATAGGCAGCATGTCTTGTCAGATGATTCCCAAAATATTATTATCAATCTTTTAATCGTAATCAAATTAACTTATGTTCGTTATTACAATTCATAACCTATAACTTTTAATTTCCCCAATTCAATATTCATCTCTTTTTCTAGGGTTTTCTTGGTTCCACGTGTCCATTCTGGTAAAATGAAGAAGATAGCCATTTTAGGTGGTGGAGTCTCTGGATTATCCTGTGCCCATTACCTTACAAAACTGGGAAAGAAATTGGGTCGATCTGATCGTATTATTCTTATAGAAGCATCAAGTGCTGTCGGTGGATGGTTAAAATCACATCAATTTGATGATGGGGTTGTTCACGAATTAGGGCCCAAAAGCATTCGCGCTTCAGGATTACCAGCTCATAACACACTTCTCATGGTTAGTTTCTGTTGAAAATAATAACAAATTAAATTGGTGCTGTGACAAAACTAAAATGTGTACTAGCTAATAAATCTATCATCTCTAATTAGGCTGAAGAATTAAACCTTGCACCGGAAATAATCAATGTGAAACACAGCGATGCTGCAGCGCGAAAGCGTTTGATTTGTATAGATGACCAACTACACACTTTACCTAATAGCTTAAAAAGTTTAATTTTCCGAACGCCGCCATTTTCGAAGCCTCTGATCACAGCGCTTTATCAAGATTTTACAACTAAAAGACTACCAATCGGAGACGATGAAGATATAAGTGTTCATGATTTCATGTCATTAAGATTTGGTGAAGAAGTGGCAAAATATTTGGCAGGCCCGATGTGTCGAGGTATAGCTGCTGGTGATAGTAAAAAATTAAGCATTAAATCAATGTTTCCACCAATTTATCAAGCCGAACGAGAAAAAGGATCTGTGATTAAAGGAATGTTCAGTCCAAAAGCAATTCCTGCCTCAATAAGTGATGAGATTGCGAAAAGCTCGCTTTTATCGAAAGTGAAATCAGAAAAATGGAGTATCTGGTCATTGAAGAATGGACTTCAGCAGTTGCCACAAAGACTTTATTCAAATTTAATTAAAGAGTCAAACATCGACATCCAGTTAGGTCATAAAGTTGATCATATTATGTTTAAAGATGATGGAAGTGCCGTCTTACATGTTTCCAATTCTACTTCAATCAAACCAATTTCAGTTGATTACATTTTCTCGGCCCTTCCAGCAGCCAACCTCGCAAAATGTATTTCAGCCAAAGCTTATCCAATTATCCACAAAACTCTAGGATCGGTCAAGTCCGTCAGTGTAGCAGTTGTTAATCTTGAATATTCAGGAACAGTTATCCCCAGAGACATGGGATTTGGATTTTTAACTCCTTCATATACTAATTCAGTCATATTAGGCATTGTTTTTGATTCATGTTGCTTTAAAGATCATGATGCTGCTAGAGATATAACACGATTAACGGTATGTACTTTAAAAATTTTTTAGCTTTTGTCTCTTCCATATTTCTATAATCAAAGAAATTCTTTTGTTAAAATTTACAGGTAATGATGGGTGGCGAATGGTTTGAAGACCACTTTGGAGATCCTGTCAATGTTGACCAACAACTGATCTTGAATGTAGCTAAAGATGCAGTCAAAAGACATTTAAAAGTTGATGCAGAACCAATTAGAACCTTAGCTAATATTCACAAGGTACGTTTTATTGTTGAAAAGTTGAACAGTTTTAAAATTTATTTTCCATTCTCTCCATTTCCAGGAATGTATACCGCAGTACTATTTAGGACATGGATCTAAATTGGAAACGATAAAAAAAGAAATTGAGTCGACGAGATTAAATCTAGAATTATTAGGAAATTCATTCGCTGGTTTAGGTGTGAATGACAGTATTTTTGATGCTAGGAAAAAAGTTGAAAATTTCATTGATAAATAGAACTCATTATTTTTACAAAATAAAGCTTGTGTTATGCATATTGTGTTGTATTTTATTAAAATTACAAATAAAAAATTACAAGAAAGCGATTATCAATTCGATGAAAAGAATTTATGTAAATTTTAATCAAAGGAAATCATGACATAAGACTGAAACTCAACATAACACAGCAAATTCAAATTTAGAATCGTTTTTGCGCTGTTTTTTGCTATGACTGTTTTTCTGTTTCTTTTAACCTCTCACTCTCTTTCTTTTCCCCTTCCTTTTCTCTCCATCTCTCTTTTACTTTAGCCTTTGTATTTACCAAGGGTTAGGAAAAAGATGATTCCGATTTGACTGATCTTTCGAACTAATTATTTTTTTCAATTATTCAATATAATGTCCTTTACTATAACAAATCTCAAGACAATGTCGTGGACAAGATCTCAAAGCACTATCAATAAATGATTGAGGCATTTAAAGCCAGGCCAATCTAATCCGTTTTTCAACGCACGTGAAACTGAGAGCTTCTTTAACCAATTTTCGGCAAATTTGATCTTTCTTCAATCTCTTTACTGCAGATACTAAATTAGCACTTGTATGTAAATTTGATTTTATTATTTCCTTAATTATCATACTTCGCAAGTAAGAAAGCAAAGATGTGAGTAATTTTTGCTCTCAAATGATCAGAAGCTTTTTTACCTGTCATCTTCACACTTTAAATATTAACAATGAATTTATTGCATTTTTCTCGTCAGTTTGATACCGAACAGACGTAAGATCAACTAGACAGTCTGGTGCTGTGGGTGGGCGCAAATAGTTAAATCATTGCTTGTAAACCCTTAGTACAGTCCCAAATGTCTTTTCCTTTTCATTCTTGGTTTCCTTCGTTTATTTTCTTAATACTTTTGCAAGCAAAACGAAGCTAACAAGCAACAATTTCGAGCTTCAAAATTTGTAAAACTAATCTTATGTATTAATTTTTTTTAACGCAGGTTATCGCATTTTATCAAAATCATCAAAGCTGGCTGTGATATGGATTTGCTTACAATGAACATTTCACAACCCCTTTGACGACTCGGAGGAATGCTCAAGTAAACAAAATTAACCCATTTAACATGAAATACAAACCAATATTTCATCATAATTTCGAAAAAAAAGGAAAAGTTGCAAGTTGAAAAAGAGTCCCGCCATGATGTTCCCATTATATTCAAGGTGTCTTTTTTCTCTTTTTTGTTTCCCACAATAATCATCACAGTAAAGTACAGTATCTTTAAGTTAACATTAGAGCACAAAACAAATGGACATAAACCAATTTCCAGTCATTGAAAGTTGATTGATTATAAAAAAATAACAAAGTTATAAAATATAGCAAATAAGAGGCAAAAATAACGTTTGAATGTGTGTTTGTGTTGTTTGAATGATATTATATATATAGAGAGAGAGAAAGAGAGGGAGGGAGAGTAAAAGAAAGAGAAAAAGATAGAGATAGAGAAATGTAAAAAAGAGAAGAAAGAGAAATACAGTGATAGTGTGATAGATAGAGAGGGAAGAAAAGACCAGAATTACAGAAAAAAGGAAAGAAAAGGTTTTTGGATGAAATAATTAGGAAAGGATGTCCTGGATGGATCCAAGATATAAATTTAGTCTCTCTTACCTTTACATCATAAGATGACCGTTGACATGAATTTTGAAATCATTGATATACACACTATAATACAATACAATTTACCTTTAAATTAACCAAAATAACCAGCACAATCAACAGCATGATGAGTCATGTTTGAATTAGCGCCAAAGACAAAGTAGTGAGATGTTAGTTAAATTAATTACAATTTGTTACATCTCACTACCCATGTCTTTCACACCAAAAAATCAAACGATAATATATAATACGAGTTGAAATCTAGAATTGATATTAAATAAACTATCACAATATCAAAAATAAGACTAGATATAATTTCTAATAACAATTGAATAATATAAAAAAATTAGTGAAAAAGTACACCAGGAAAAAAGAGAAAGATTAACAGTAAAACTGAAAGAGAAATGGCATAAGATTGAAAAAAGACAGAAAATGTAGAAAGAAGCGGATTTATCATCCAATGTTGGATGATAAATCTATCTTCAAGCTGGTTATCTGAGCAATATTACCCAAAACCAAAATGGAGGAGAAGTGCGCAGTGGCTTTCAACTCGTAGTTAAAAGTTTATCCATCCTTAGTTTTTGCTGCCTTTAGCTTATGCCGCCCTTTTTGTATTCCTCATCATTTTGAATTACTCCATCTTTGAAGAGACTCAGAGCCTCTTTCTCTTTTGTCTTTTTCTCATCGATAAATTTTCTTTCTTTTCATCATCATCATCATCATCATCAGCATCTTTTTCATCATTTTCATCATGGAGCAAACTCTACTCTAAGCTTGAAATAAGCAAAAAGAAATGGGAAGAGAAACGAGAAAGTTTCTCTCTGCGCAAAGTTGAGTCTCTCCTCCATTTTGGTTTTGGTAATATTGCTCAGAGTTACAGTCTGCTGTTTCTGTCTTTTCTCCTGTCTTTTCCTGTCTTCAATCTTTATCTTTTGAACATTTCTCTTTCATTCAGTTTTACTGTTAATCTTTCTCTTTTTTCCTGGTGTACTTTTTCACTAATTTTTTTATATTATTCAATCGTTATTAGAAACTATATCTAGTCTTATTATTTATATTGTGATAGTTTATTTATATCAATTGCAGATTTCAACTTGTATTATAAACATTATCGTTTGATTTTTTGGTGTGAAAGACATGGGTAGTGAGATGTAACAAATTGTAATTAATTTAACTAACATCTCACTACTTTGTCTTTGGCGCTAATTCAAACATGACTCATCATGCTGTTGATTGTGCTGGTTATTTTGGTTAATTTAAAGGTAAATTGTATTGAATAATAGTGTTTATATCAATGATTTTAAAATTCATGTCAACGGTCATCTTATGATGTAAAGGTAAGAGAGACTAAATTTATATCTTGGATCCATCCAGGACATCCTTTCCTAATTATTTTCATCCAAAAACCTTTTCTTTCCTTTTTTTCTGTAATTCTGGTCTTTTCTTCCCTCTCTATCTATCACACTATCACTGTATTTCTCTTTCTTCTCTTTTTTACATTTCTCCATCTCTATCTTTTTCTCTTTCTTTTACTCTCCCTCCCTCTCTTTCTCTCTCTCTCTATATATAATATCATTCAAACAACACAAACACACATTCAAACGTTATTTTTGCCTCTTATTTGCTATATTTTATAACTTTGTTATTTTTTTATAATCAATCAACTTTCAATGACTGGAAATTGGTTTATGTCCATTTGTTTTGTGCTCTCATGTTAACTTAAAGATACTGTAATTTACTGTGATGATTATTGTGGGAAACAAAAAAGAGAAAAAAGACACCTTGAATATAATGGGAACATCATGATGGCGGGACTCTTTTTCAACTTACAACTTTTCCTTTTTTTCAAATTATGATGAAATATTGGTTTGTATTTCATGTTAAATCGGTTAATTTTGTTTACTTGAGCATTCCTCCGAGTCGTCAAAGGGGTTGTGAAATGTTCATTGTAAGCAAATCCATATCACAGCCAGCTTTGATGATTTTGATAAAATGCGATAACCTGCGTTAAAAAAATTAATACATAAGAATGGTTTTCTAAATGTCCAAACCCAAAAATTGATGCACGAGGTTTTACTATGAGGCTTGTAAGAAGCGATATTTGAAGCTGCGTATAGTCGAGAGCTTTACTTTTTGTAGCAAAAGTAAGAAGGGAAAGAAGGGAAGGAAAAGAGAAGATGAAAGATAGAAGAGAAAGAGAAAAAAAAGAAAGGAAAAAAGAAAGAGAGGGAAAGGTTAAAAGAAACAGAAAAAGTCAGTTATAGCAAAAAAACTAGCGAAATAACGTAATTATAAATCTGCTGTGTTATGATATGTTGAGTTTCACGACTACGAAAATTATTATCACTTATTCCCTGAATCATATAATTTTTTCTTTGACAGTCCAAACACACAAATAAGCTTCCCATCTATACTGCACCGTATAATTTTGCTGTACTGTGTTAATCCTCTTGACATTTATTTGCGCAATTTTTTTTCACCTTTTGACAGATTCCGATCTTGTAACACATTTCTCATGATTTTCAGCGTAAAATATAATGGCTATGTTAAGTTGGTTGTCTTTCACTTAATTTCAAGCATAAAATATGACCAATTGCCGCAGACTTACCTTATGTAATTGGCTTTTCGTCTAATTGACTCTGGTTACCACAACAGTTTTTACAAGAATCTGGGATTATTTTGGGTTCAATGTTCTCCGGTCTGGTCAAAGCACTCTCCGCATTGCATTGCTCACTTATTAGCATAACTTTTACTGGACTTTTGGGACTTTAGAAACAATTTAAATGAAACAAAATGAAGGCGAAAAGCTGGACATTTACTGAAGATTAACAAAAGGATGGATCCACCAAGTCTGCCTCGAGATTTAGGGATGTCCTTCCAAAGGCGATGTTTGCAAACACATTAAAAGAAGAGATTAACTCGAAAGTGGAACCATTTTATTTTTACCAGCTAATACTGATGTTAACGGGATGAGCTGGAAAAAGAAGGAGGATTCATTTCAAGAAAGGGTCAAAAAGGAAAGAGAAAAGATGCAAGAAAAGATGAGGAAAGATGAGGATAGATGATAAATAAATGTTGAAGATATCGTTAATAATGGTGATATTTTTTGCTGTGTATTTGTGACTCTATTGTGAATTAACAAAGGATTGCAAAGCTGAATTGAGGAGCAAATGAGTTTATATTGGACAAATTTTTGGGATACCTTAACTGGTAAATTGAATAAAAAGAGTTCAAGTTGAAAGATGAAGATAAAGATGATGATGATGAAGTAGAATATGATTAAAGGCGAAAAAAATGGCAAGACTTGAAATAATGGATTGAAGGTAAAGAATTTCAATTCAAGTCTTATCTAATATAGTGTTTGGGATTGACTATTGGGTGACAAAACGCAATAATAATAAGCATATGCTCATGTTCACTTTATGATTATCTAATGCAATGAATATATCTGGCAAATGAAAAAAGTGCCACTCTCATTTCAGCTCAATTTTTCCATTCAAAAAGTCAAACAACAAGAAAAGTAAAAAAAACTAAAAAATGTTAGTGACAATCATATTGTAATGTGTTCAAGTCAACAGGCAAACTTCATTTCATGATTAAAATGGTTCATTGTAACCAAATTCAACTTACATTTCCCTGTTAACCACATTTTTGCAAACCATTGGACAACAATTCAAGCTAATAATCAACTAACAGTCAAGTTTTATCCCCAATTGTTAATTACTTGGAAAGGGAAGAAAGATAAACATTTTGTATCAAATTGTGTGATCAATGATAATTAGTTGTTAATTCAATTGTAACTTGTTATATTGGAATGTGATCTTAATATAATTTACAATTACAAGACGATAGTTTGATTTGTTTGTTTGCCTTACAATTAAAGAGTGAAGAATCGTCAAAAATGCTATTCTGTTTTAATTGTTAATCAACAATCGCGTTTCTACTAGCAATGAAATTAAATTATTCCAATAGAAGATATTATTGCTGTCATTTCTTCTCAATCAACTGTAAAATTATGTGAAAAGATCATCAACAAATTGTAATCGTTATAGCGATTGGATTCAAGAAAGTAAAATGTTCAACAGTTATTCAAATTAACAAGTCAAGTTGTGTTTAAATTTTAGATACTTTAACCTAACTTGAAAAAGACGTTTGTCTTAAAGAGCATCAACATCAACCTGTTGAAACAAATTGGATGAAGTTTAAAAGTGTGAAAAATGAGAAGCTGATCAAGCCATGGATGATGATAACAGCTCAATTCAACCCAAATTAACTGTGAGTTTAAAGAAGGCGACCAAAAAATTGTTTAGTGTCTCAAAGCTTTCCTCAAACACAGTCAGGTCACAGTGTTTTCACCGTGATGATGATCAAGAGATTGACTGTGATACAAGGCACAGTGGAAAACTTGCTTCCCTCAGAATCGACCCGGTCGAGAATAAACGAGAAGAGTGGGACAAAAAGATTGATTTCCTATTCTCGATCATTGGCTTCGCAGTTGATCTAGCAAATGTTTGGCGTTTTCCCTATTTATGCTATAAAAATGGCGGTGGTGAGTAACAAACTAAACAAACCAGCTTTTCACATTAACCCAACAACCCAAAACCAACACCTAGACTAACTTAATGAACAGTAAAACACGTAATCTGGCAAATTTGATATTAGCTTTTAATAGATCCTAATCCATAATAACCTTTATCAATCCTTAATGGTTTCATTCAGTGTTCATCCCATAAGTTGAATCTAGAAAGAGATGAGAATCAATGAAATTATTTTCTTTTCAGGAGTATTTTTGATTCCATATACCTTGATGCTACTTTTTGGAGCTTTACCACTTTTTTTCTTGGAGTTATCATTGGGACAATTTGCTAAATCAGGTCCAATAAATGTATGGGATAAAATGTATCCAGCTGCAAAGGGTGTCGGCTATTGTGCCGTCCTTATCTCGTGGTATGTTTCATTTTATTATAATGTAATCATTGGTTGGACTATATATTACATTATAGTAACATTGACTTCAGGTTTGTCTCAAACGCCATTACCTTAAGGGTTGTGAACAGCTCTTTATTAATCGTAATTTTTTCTTATTTTGCCTTTACTCGAAAAATTTGGACAACCATTTGAAAAACAGGAGATTTGCTTCCTTGGCAGCATTGTGATAACGAGTGGAATACGAAGGGTTGTTTCGCTGTGAATAATTTAATAAATTGTAAAAATTGCACCAACATAACGTCACAAAATTTATCAACTTCAGCACAAGAATTCTTTGAGTAAGATTTTTCATTCAATTGACAAACTTATTGTAAACCGATTCAAGACGAACCAAACAATTGACTTTTGTTTTCCATCTTACATTGAGGTGCACTCTTGATAGGCCTGAATCATTTTCCTAGAATAATTAACTTAATATTGATTTTTTTAATAATGGTTATGGGAAGATATTTTACCTTAATAATAAACAGATAAATTGGTTTACTGAGATACCATCCATCATCATTTGGTGTTAACAGAGAGTTAAAATATATTGCTTGGGTCGCAAGAAAAATAATTTGTAATTACCTTTCAGTCAAAAGATCAGCATTTATCAAGATAATCAAGCATATGATTGAAATAACATTGAATATTAATCCATCACAGAATAAATGAAGTAAACATGAGTTTATTAAAAAAAAGTCCAACAAAACAAATTGCTCTCTAATCAAATTAATTTGCTAATAACACTTTAAGAGATCATTCACTTTCATACGCTTCCATTTTGATAGGTTTTATTTTCACTAGCCTTTCAAAATATTGAAGATACCGATGATTCAAAAACGGAAAATACTCAATATGAAGAGTAAATCCGAACAGTTACACTCGTTGTGTACTTCGGTTACGGTATGATCGACCTTACACAAAATAGCCAGAGTTTACTTAAGAAAATTGAATAACAGGTTACAGAACAAAATTTTAAATTAAGAATAATTTTTGGAAATTGGTTTCGATTTGAGCTGGGATTTGTGGAGCATTCAATGAAACACTTTGCTTCTTCCTTTGAAATTATTTTGGTTTATTTAGTGTTTACTGTTTTTGAAGTTCAGATTTTGTTGTTAAATGTTTCCAAATCTTATTCTTCGTTCCATTTGGCTATTCTCTTGGTGTTCAGATAAAATTATTCAGTCTTTTTGTTTCTGAGTTGTTTTTACTTGGATTTAGTTACATTTACTTCTTTCTCCAGTTTTTATGTTTCAGTTTAGTCTGGAAACATCTCCACAAAATAACTAAACTTACCTTAGATGTTTAAGATGCAGTTAAACTATTTGATGAAATAATTACAAGTTGAACAAAGTATTGAAATGTAAATTAAAACATTAAGAAATGAGAATCAACTTAATTTAACGAAAAATCAGTCAATTGTTTGGGCTTGAAGATGAAACTAATAGATGGCGTAATTTGTTTCTACGCCATCTATTGTAGGCAATTAATGAATAACGAAAACTATTTTATTTTTGTTTTGTTTTTTTAGGCACAAATTATTACAAATTGATGCATCTAGTGGTTTTAGTGACCTCGGTGCTTTAAGACCTGAACTGGTCGGTTGTGTTTTTCTCACTTTTATTTTACTCTATTTTTCCCTGTTTAAAGGAGTTAAATCTTCCGGCAAAGTAAGTAAATTTCTTGTCAATATCTAGAGTTCAATTGATCTATTTTGATTTTAATCGTTTCTTTTCAGGTCGTATGGGTCACTGCCACAGCACCCTATGTCATACTTACAATCTTGTTAATAAGAGGAGTATTCCTACCTGGAGCAGGTTTGTAAGCTTATTGAAATATCTTATCCGTTGGAGTTGTATTGTTTCTGTGCATCTAATATTGAAATATGCTTTTTTGATAATTTACTATCAGGGATGGGAATCTCCTACTATTTAAGTCCAAGACTTGAAAAACTTCAACATCCTGGAGTTTGGACTGATGCTGCTGTTCAAGTCTTTTACTCAATTGGTGTTGGTTTTGGAGTTCATCTTACCTATGCATCATTCAATAAGTTTAACAACAATTGTTACCGGTGAGAAAAATTTTACTGTTGCTCAAACATTCAACAATCCTTTGATTGTATCTTAGCCTATCTTAATCTGTCTAAACTTGACTTTTCAGAGATGCTCTTCTAACGGCCTGTATAAATTCCTGCACATCATTTTACTCTGGTTTCGTCATTTTTATTTACCTTGGTTATATGGCTCAAGGTTTACAAGCTGATATTTCAACTGTTGCTAAAGAGGGTTATGGTTTGGTCTTTCAAGTTTATCCTGAAGCAATTTCAACCTTACCTTTGGCTAAATTCTGGTCCATCCTTTTTTTTGTAATGCTAGTTACTCTTGGTCTTGATTCAGCGGTAAGCTACCGTTTTGGCTCTCGTATAATCCAACCTTTTACTGTCTTGTCATTGTAAAAGCGTCCATTCAATTGTTTCTACAAAGACAATTATTGACAATTAGTAATTTGTATTTAAAGCCTTGTCTATTCCTTTGTGGTAGCTTTAAGTTAGGCTTAAACTAAGCGATTTATGTAATTCTCAACTAATCTGGAACTTATCTCTTTCCTCTCTTTCTCTCTAATCTACAGATGGGGGGCTTAGAAGCTGTAATTACTGGGATTATCGATGAATGGAAGATTAAAAGCATAAGCCGAGAAGTATTAACAGCGCTTGTTTTAACCAGCTCATTCTTGGTTTCTCTAATCAATTGTACTCAAGTGAGATAACAAATTGAAGCTTTTAATTTTAAATAATAATGAATAACATTTTGATTCTTATTTGATAATCAAATTTCAAAGGGAGCAGGATACACAATGGTATGGTTTGACAGTTATGCAGCAGCAGTCTCCTTATTATGTTCAGCCTTATTTGAAGCTTTGGCGCTAGTTTATGGATATGGTGAGTGGTTGACCTTTTTTTGCACCATTTAATGATCTTCAATAATTTTCATTTCAGGTATTGATCGTTTCATGCTCGATATTGAGTCAATGCTTGGCTTTAGACCATCAGCTTTTTGGCTAATTTGCTGGAAATACATTTCGCCATTATTTCTTGTTGTAAGTGATTACACTGTTAACGATTAATTATTCCAGTTCAACTCTAATTCATTTTGATATTTTTGTTTCATAGACTATCATTATACTTTCGGTTACAAAACCTGAGCCCATTACATTCTTGAACTATACGTTTCCTTACGAGGCTAATGTTCTTGGATGGATATTTGGACTCTCCTCTGTATTTCCGATTCCACTTTTTGGCCTTTTTTATCTTCTTAAAAATTGTTTATTCAAACGCAATGAGATAGGTAAGTTAAGTTTAATCTAATTACATTATCAATGGAAATTTTTCTAATCAACATTTTTCCATTGCAGGAAGCAGAGAGGTTAGCGATCGAGAAGTGATTGCTTGTGTCTAGATTAGGTGAATAGCGAGAAAAATTCAGAATAAAATACATTAGTTATTTATATGGCTGATTATGGTTTCCAGAATGTGGTAAAAGTACGTAACAAAGGTTAACATAAAACATAAACACACCGTTAATCGCTAGCAGCATCATGATCTTTAAAGCAACATGAATCAAAAACAATGCCTAATATGACTGAATTAGTATATGAAGGAGTTAAAAATCCAAATCCCATGTCTCTGGGGATAACTGTTCCTGAATATTCAAGATTAACAACTGCTACACTGACGGACTTGACCGATCCTAGAGTTTTGTGGATAATTGGATAAGCTTTGGCTGAAATACATTTTGCCAAATTGGCTGCTGGAAGGGCCGAGAAAATGTAATCAACTGAAATTGGTTTGATTGAAGTAGAATTGGAAACATGTAAGACGGCACTTCCATCATCTTTAAACATAATATGATCAACTTTATGACCTAACTGAATGTCGATGTTTGACTCTTTAATTAAATTTGAATAAAGTCTTTAAGGTAAAAGAAAAATATTAAAGACAATTCTTTAAACTGACCATTTATACACCATTATTTGGAAACCATAATTTTGTGATAATTTACAAAATGTAACTCTGATTTGCCTTTTCAATTTGAAACTGACTTCTTTTTCAGCTCCATTTTGCTTTGTGAAACAAAATCAACCTTTAACGTTTTGATTATTGTCAATATAAGTAAAATTGGCCCATTAAAAAGACAAGCATGTTTTTATCGATTTGTGTTTCCTTCAAGTTCCAATATTGTGAGACATTTTTGCCAAAGTAAGATAAGTTTTAAAGCTATACTCAACAATTTGACTGACTAATAGCATGTTCAACTAAATAGCCTAACTTCAAATTAACATTCATGCCATTTTTGCAACAAGCCATAAAGCTCAGCAGTCTATTTTTTTGGCAATTTTTAGTCCTTTTTTTCGTGTTTATGTATGTAATTACCGGTTTTGCTCAGTTGGTTAAGCTTTCAAGCTGACCAGAAAATATTTAACTTTTGAAAAGCAAAAGATCAGCAAAGTTAACCAACGGACTTTAGTTGATACATAAATGTCTGTAGATCATTATGAACTTGACTAAATTGTGTAGCGGACTATTTTGTGCTGTAAATTGCAATTGAATACTTTTTACATAAATCTGTGTTGGCAAAACGTCCAGCAAAGTAACCCTGCGATCTAATGAACTTATGGCTTGTAATGTATTCATCTTTACCATATCTAATTGTATTACTTGTGCTATAAAACTGCTTAATTCAATCCAGTTAATTGGAAATTTGAAGTCGACTTTCACTTTAACTGAAACTCATTTTTACCAGTTGGCTAGCTCTGAAGTGACATTATTAGGTTGCTTGAAGATTGAACGATATTTAACCAAATTATACGTGGCTCAAGGTATAAGATTTGCCAATAAAAATGAAATCAATGAACAGAATTACATTAATGAACATTAATTTGAAAGCTGAATTTTGATGTATTGGCCTTTGAGATTAGCTTGACTTAAAACATCAAAACATTAAATTAGCTAATAACTGATCGATTGCTATCAAGACTTTTTATTGTGTTGATATCAAACTCAATGACTTTTAATATATTTCAAAGGTTTATATCAATAGTCGTATGAAAAATTGAAAGTAAATTGTTGGGTAATTTTCACACAAATGATATCTTTATGATGATTGTTAATACATTAAATTGCGGAACCAATTGAACAACTTGAAATTTCAGGCTTTATAATGCAGATGCAGTGACAATAGGATAGGTGCAAGTTTAAGAGTCCAAGAGTTGAGGAAATATGAGGAAAGATGAGGATAGATGATAAATAAATGTTGAAGATATCGTTAATAATGGTGATATTTTTTGCTGTGTATTTGTGACTCTATTGTGAATTAACAAAGGATTGCAAAGCTGAATTGAGGAGCAAATGAGTTTATATTGGACAAATTTTTGGGATACCTTAACTGGTAAATTGAATAAAAAGAGTTCAAGTTGAAAGATGAAGATAAAGATGATGATAATAATAATAATGATATTGATGATGACAATGATGAAGTAGAATATCATTAAAGAAAAAAAAGACAAGACTTGAAATAATAGATTGAAGGTAAAGAATTTCAATTCAACTCTGATCGCTTGCATTAAGGCAAAGTCTTCAGCTATTTAGCACACAAAAAAATCAATAGTTAGCCACAAAACACATTGTTGTTTAGTCTAAAATAGACTTTAGTTTCACCTAATTTTCTGATTGAACTACTTATTAGATAAAAACTAGGAAAAGGGGAGTTTGAAAATATATCAATTACATAAATGACAAAATTAATAACATTAAAAATTATTTTTTAAAGGTACAGGTATAATAACAAAGCTTACAAAGGATTAGATGCAAAGGAACTAGAATATTTAATTTTAGCGCTTAGTGTTGGGCTTCTTGTAACCAAGCAACCAGTTTTTATTAAGTTTCGCTTCGGTTTTTTCATCTGATTACTTCTGTATTTGTTTGTAATTGTGTTTACTTTTGTTTATCTTACCTTTGCTTCGGCCTTTTGTTACCTGTGCTTTTGGAAGGAATTTAATTTTTCTATGTGTTCGGGTTAAATCATGGATGACAATAAACTTGCTGCTATTGTTGAGGAATATCTACCTCTTCTTGGAAGTACTAAGGAGAAACTTGTAATCGGTGAAATATTAACATCTCTGCTTAAACTAATTACATCCCATCCGTATGCTGGAAATTGGGAATTGTTTCTCAAATTAATCAATGCTAGTAAACATCTTCTACTTACTCATAGTAGTAATTTGATTAAGCGTCATGCTTTGGTTTTATTGGCTCATCTCGCACCAGTTGCCAGTGATTCTGATATGAATGAGAGTGGTTTGACGAGTGAAATGCAAAGCGAATTCTCTGTGATTGTTAAAATTTTACGTGAATTTAGTCATTATTTTGATCCAAGGGTTAGATCGGCTGCCCTTAACTCTATTTACAGCCTACACCAAAGAGGGGCCAAGCTTGACATAAGTTTGTATTGTGAATTTTGTGAAGGTTTAACTGATGATTATGAAGATTGTAGAATGGCATCCATAAAGTTGATGGAAGTATTGAGCCATAATTATGCCGATTGGTAAGTTTTTATTGTTCTCTTATCTTGAATTCTGATTTCGATATTAATTCATTTATTTCACTCTACAGTCTTGTCTGTGTTGGAAAAGGAGATGAACAAATTCGTCTAGTTGATGATGCTTTTGCAAAGATTTGCTCAATGATGAATGATTTGTCCATCAGAGTCCGGGTTCAAGCTGCCTCTATTCTTGGTAATTTTACCGATGTCGCGCCAGACTTTTTAGAACAAACTTTGGATAAGAAACTTATGTCTAATTTAAGGGTAATTCAAGTGCAATTATTGCATTTTCTTTTCTATTTAAAACTTTAAAACAGTCTAACAACTCATATTATACTTTTAACTCTTCAAACAGAAAAAAAGGTCAGCGCATGAACGGAGTCGTGAAAACTTTAAGTCTGGTGAATGGTCAAGTGGTAAGAAATGGGCTGATGATGCTCCCCTCGAAGAGTTGGATCCCGAGGCTATAAATCTGATGGATATCGGTGCTTGTGGTGCTTTTATCCACGGATTAGAAGACGAATTCCTTGGTGAGTTAAAACCTCTTGTGAGCATCATAAATCATTTGCTAATACCCATCTTTTTGTTGTCCTCTCAGAGGTTCGCATGGCTTCTCTTGAGTCTCTCTGTAAATTGGCTATATCGTTTCCTGCATTTGCTCAACAGTCGTTAGATTTTCTAGTTGATATGTTTAACGACGAGATTGAAGATATCCGTTTAAAAGCAATTCAATGCTTAAGCCGGATTGGACAGCAGAATATTACCCTCCGTGATGACCAAATAGACATAATTTTAGGCGTTTTAGAAGACATGTCAATCGATATAAGAGAAGCACTACACGATATGCTTGGTAACTGCAAACTTTCGTCTAAACAATCTCTTAAAGCCTGTATTGAGAAGTTATTATACAACTTAAGACGTTATCCTGAAGACAAGCACTCTCTGTGGAAATGTTTCCAAAAACTTGGCACTAATCATCCTAATTTAGTTGATCTCATTGTCCATGAACTCCTCATGATTCATCCTTTTCTAGACCTTCCAGAACCATCTTTGGAAGATGATGCTTATATTTCAGTACTGATATTGGTCTTTAATGCAGCAGCACTTTGTCCATCTATAACGAAGGTTTTTCTACCTCATACTTTCAAACATTATTCCTATCTACAATACTCTTATCCTCAAGAAGTACCACATATTCCTGATATTGATAGTGGTCTTGAAAGGAAAAGAGAACAGTCACAGCATTGTGAAGGAGTTTCAGAATCTGCTATGAGTTTTCTTTCATCGATATTTGAACGAATTAGAAATATAATGTCGTCACCATCTGTTTCACTAGAAACTCAAGCTGCTGTGATAGAACTTTCGATTGGGTGAGTGTAGATTGTCACAACACAGAGGTTAAAACTTGAATTTACAATTTTTATTTTGATCTCATTTCAGTGATTTGGAGAAATTTGGTGAAATTGAATCTTCTATGTCTCATGCTTCGGATTTCTTAAAACAATATTTAAAATGTCAAATGTCCCTGCGAAAGGTATAACTTATACTCATTAGTTTCTTCTAAAATTTTTACCAAATTAATTATTAATTATCTAATTTTCTTCTATCAGATATTATCAAATAATAATTGGATCAATACATTTCTTCTTTCACCTCTACAATCTAATTCATTTCGATCATCTCTTCAGCAAATTTTGCAAACAACATTTTGTCTAATTCATCAATTCCATGGTCTTCATCCCTTTCATCTTTCACTAATTTTACAAACTCGAGTCAAAGCTTTAGCTCTTCAATTAATTGCTGTCATTCATGGTAGTAACCAATCTGCATTAACGTTGTGTGATGCCTTCTTGGAAGAAGTGAAAACACTGCAAACTCACCTTAAATTAAATGGTATGGATCCTGATCCTCTAACTAAAGAAATGATTCAAGAAGTTAATAAATTGAGTTCACCTAAACCTGGATCCGTTGCCAGAGCTCTCCAGCCATTATTCCTATCTTCGCCTAAGCTTATAAGTCAAGCCGTTGACCTGGTAAGAATATACCTATTCTAATTTTAATTTGATAATAGACAAAGTCAATGAGTTGTATTAATTAATAGCAATATTTATAATTTCATTTCAGACGCAGCTAGTCTCTAGTAACACAATAGAATACTTGGAGCATCTGAGGAAATCTAGTGCCTGTATTAATGAACCAAATGGAAGATCGGACAATCCGTTGAAATTCACAGCTGGACTTATTCTGACTGTTCGATTGGATGCGATGATTTACAATATAAAAGATATTAAAACAATTCGTTTAATGGTAAGCTTAATTTCTAACACTAATCTTGATATTCGGCTAATATATTAACTTTGATTATCCATTTCAGATTCATTCACCTGACCAAACAAATAATTTCATTTTACCTAAATTAAGCGATTTTCGACTAATGGACAATAACTCTCGTGAAAGTGATAGTCGCAATTATCGTTTATTAACAAACATCTATTTATCCCATACTGTATGGACAGAGCCATGCCATGTTAGCATTAGTATTGTTTCAGATTTCCGAGAAACAGCATCTTCATTTGGAATTTCTCAAACCTGGGCATCAAAAACCGGATCAGGAATACGAGCAAGACCCGAAGAAAGTTTAATTATTGAACTCTGTAAGCCGATCAAACTGTTGATTGCACCAAAGCAACATAAAAAAGGTTTCTAATTATCTAAAAGGTGCAATATCTAAAATCTTACTTATCAAATCAAGTAAAAATCTGTTGGGCTTTAATTTCACCATTAATAAAGTCAACTTAAGTTTATTATAAAAAAATTGTAAAATAACCAGTCAATATTAAAAAATAATTTATACATCCTTTCAAACAACTGATAAAAATTATTGGGTCTGCCGAGTAAAATATCAGCTTAGTAAATTAAATGTCAGTAAATTATTTGCCAGCTTGTTAAAGCTAATGATATAAGCTTTTATTAGGTAAACCCGAAAGTCTTTGACACATTTAATTATTGAAAATCACTATTGAATCTATACGCCATAAAATTTGGCGAGGAGTAAACTCATGCAACTGCTACTGTGACATAAAGTAACTAAAGGGTGTAATGCAAAATATACTAGGTTTTGTGTAATTGAATTATTTTTTGAAATTTCCAAGTTTCAAATTGAATCACCATTACATTGAATTTAATTGTTTCGTATGATTTCTGACATAATTATCCTTTTTGACAGTTTTCTATGAGATTTTACAATGGGATTTCTTATGAAAATCCCGAAAAAATAGAAAACTGTGAAAATACCATTTCTATGAAGATGTAATATTAACTGAAATTTTAACACTACGTCCCTATCCGAATTCATCTAATTTTCATGCGGTTTGGGTATTTTGCGTTCCTCTATTCTCGAATTCCTTTGTTTTTTTCGTGAATATTTTTCGAACGGTTACTTCAACAAATGAATTTAATCAGTGTAAATTGATGTAAATCGTCGATCAAAAAGCAATGTGCGGAAAGATCAATCAAATCAATCGATTGGCAGATCATCACATGAAATAATGATGTCGATCTTTTGTATTGTCAATTACATTGATGAAAAGATGTTTCTGTTTTTCAGTTTAAGGTTTAATCAATGTAGTTCATATTGCAGAAGTCCTTTAATTCTAGTTGATAACCATTGATTATTAAACTATTAAATGTTGACATTTAGTTAATAAGCCAAGTCTAAACCTTATGGGCAGAAGCTTTCAAAACGTCATCATTTTTGTTCGAAACAATTGAATGATCTACAATTAAATTGGATTCAATGCGAATTGAATATAAATACGATGAAAGAATAACTTATGAACCAATTACTAGTAAAAGTGGCCAAGTTATAATCAAAAGTATAGTCAGTATGAAGATAATATTTTTAATAGTTAATTTTGCAATTTATGTGACCTGTGTCCAATCATTTTGTGGTAAGTAATGATCTAATGTGACCAACATGTTTAACTGGATCAAGATGTATTATCGATTAATCGATTGATTAGTTAAAAAGGCTAACTTTTGACTCACTTTGTTTTTGATAATTTTATAGATTGTGGTCTTGAAGGTATAAGATCAAGAATTTACAAAGGAAAGGTTACTCAGACACACAAGTTTCCTTGGATTGCTCATATAAGGTAAGTTATTTATAAACAATTATTAGTGATTTTAAGTTAAATTTTGATTGCTCGTTTTTTATTATAGATTTCACACATCACTTGAAAGTAAAATCAATATATCATGCGCTGGGACTTTGGTTGACAATTATCATATTGTTACTGCAGCTCATTGCTTATTTGGTCCAAATGCAAACTTTTATCAACCTGAGAATGTCCAAGTTTATCTAGGAATCTTGGACAAATATCGAGATGTCAAGAAATATTTGGCTGTTGAGCGATACATTTATGATGGTCGTTATGTACCTTCTTCACCAATGGACTATGATATTGCTATTTTACGCTTAAAGACACCCGTTCAATTTTCTGACACCGTTTATCCAATTTGTATTCCATCTTCGGACGATCAAATTTATCGAAGATTAACTGTTGCTGGTTGGGGTTATTTTGATTTATCTAGAACTCTAAGTGCAGTTTTAAGAGAAGTTGATGTTGATTTTATTCCAAGTAAGTATCAATTTATTTCCGAATCATTCGCTAGGGTTGACATTGTCTTACTAACGACTTCCATTTCTATCGACTAGTAGTTGTTTTGCATTAATTGATTAGATAAACCAGGTTTACTTAAGAGAATCCCTTTCAATATGTTAACTATCTGGCTTCAAGATTCACCAAAGGCATATTACAAAGTCTAATTTTATTTTTTGTTTTTTTTTGCCACAGAATCAACTTGTAATCAAATGAAATATGCCTACTATGCTAAATATGCCATCAGGAAGAGCAATTTACCATCATATTACGGATATAATGTGCCCCCTGTCCATGAGAACCACATTTGTGCTCTTGATACATCAACCGATGGTGGTACATGTCGAGGTGATTCGGGTGGACCACTAATGTTCAAAAATCCACAAAATGGTCGATGGTATCTGATTGGTGTTGTTTCTGGTGGTTGGATTCAGTGTGGAGAAGAATCGGGTGTTCCTGATCTATACACATCTATTTCATCCTATCGATCAATGATCTTACAAACAGCTTATGGTGTTTGTGTAAGACCCTATTAATTGTTGAGAAATGAAAACAATTCAAATGCTTGTTTATCCAATCAAAGTGTGACATAATTTTCAAAATGCATTAAAATATAAATCTTATGAAAAAATATTTTCAACATACAAACACAAACATGTAGGTACTGTCATCTCACCTGTGGGGATAAAGTTACGGACAAATTACTACTCTTAGTAATCTGAGATTTTCACAGAACTGAGTTGAGCAAAGGATTAGAATTTCAACAGAATTTTAGCTAGTAATTGAAGAATTTAGTACAAAGTTTTGCGCTCATAAATATTCATTTAACAGATAATGGCAGTAGATTAATCAATTACTACTAAAACTTTTCATTTTTTTATATTTCAATCGATATTCTGTATCTCCGGTTTTGAGCCTAGCTATTCCTACCATTCAAATCAAACAAAGTTATCATTACCGTATTGACGCGCATAGTGGCCCGTGGTTTTAAAAAAAGTACGCCATCATATAAGCGCCTTTTGAGCCACTGCAAATTCGCGAAAATCATTGCTCATTATTCAAAAGCGCTATAATGTCACAAAGTTGTGCCTTTAACAATAGCACGCTCATTTTATAACACGAGGCCACTATGCGTGTCAATGCGGTACTTAATGAGTTGTAATTTCATTTCAGACACAGCTAGTCTCTAGTAACACAATAGAATACTTGGAGCATCTGAGGAAATCTAGTGCCTGTATTAATGAACCAAATGGAAGATCGGACAATCCGTTGAAATTCACAGCTAGACTTATTCTGACTGTTCGATTAACTGAAATTTTAATGCTGGCTCTCTATTTGAAACATGGTTAAAAAAGGCCGAAACGCGATTCATCTAATTTTCATGCGATTTTGGTATCTGTTAAAAATCTGTTGAGCTTTAATTTTACCATCAATGAAGTTAACTTAATTTTATGATAAATCAAAATTGTAAAATAATTTATACATCCTTTCAAACAACTGATAAAATTTTTGGGTTTGCTGAGTAAAATATCAGCTCAGTAAATTAAATGTCAGTAAATTATTTGCCAGCTTGTTAAAGCTAATGATATAAGCTTTTAATTGATGTGATATCATAACAATCGGCAACTCGACTAATGTATTCCATTAATCAAAAACAGTTGAACGTCGATTAATAAAACCAAAGGTTTAAAGGTTTAATCAATATACATTACAAAACTGCTTGTAATTCAAGTTGATGACCATTGATTATTAACCTATTGGATGTTGACACTTAATTAATAATTAAGTCAACATTTTGGTTCAACATTCTTGTCAAATATATTCAATGTTTAGCAACCAAAATCATTGGGACTTAATCAATAAACAAACAAATATGATGAAGCAAAAGATGTTCAACATTTTGTATGAACCGTTATTCCTCGTGTTAATCATGTTTATGATTAATCATATCAACCTTGATTTATTTCAACCGATTGTTTTGTTTACACCCTTTCTTTTTTTAACAATTTATTGATTACTCTGCTTGTTTCATTGTGAAGCTTCAAAATCAAGATCACAATAATTTCAATATCTTTCACTTTTTCATAAATTTTTTGACAGATTTGCTTATTAGTATTGTTATTATAATTTTTCAACTCTTTTCTTCATCTAATACAATTTTTCTTCCAATTGTTTACCAAATTAATTCTGATTTTAGTTTCTGTTTACTACTGTATGTGTGATGAACAATAAATTAATAAGTAAAGACTAACCTTATGGGAGGAGAAAGCTTTCAAAACGTCATAATTTTGTTCGAAACAATTGAATGATCTACAATTAATATACTAAATTGCGAACTGACTATTGATACGATTGATACAATAACTTATGAACCAATTACTAGTAAAAGTGGCCAAGTTAAAAGTGGCCAAGTTATAATCAAAAGTATAGTCAGTATGAAGATTATATTTTTAATAGTTAATTTTACAATTTAATCATTTTGTGGTAAGTAATGATTTAATGTGACTATTCAACATCTTTAACTGGATCAAAGACTAAAAAAGATGTAATATCGATTAATCGATTGATTAGTTAAAAAGGCTAACTTCTGACTCACTTTGTTTTTGCTAATTTTATAGATTGTGGTCTTGAAGGTATAAGATCAAGAATTTACAATGGAAAGGTTACTCAGACACACAAGTTTCCTTGGATTGCTCATATAAGGTAAGTTATTTATAAACAATTATTAGTGATTTTAATTTAAAGTTAAATTTTGATCTGTCTTTGTACCGATAATAGATTCACACGACCAAAAAGCACATCTTATTCACAATGCGGTGGGACTTTGGTTGACAACCAACACATTGTTACTGCAGCTCATTGCTTATTTGATTCAAATGGAAACCTCAATCAACCTGCGAACGTCCAAGTTTATCTAGGAATTTTGGACAAGAATCGAGATTACAAGACAGCTTTGGGTGTTGAGGAATACATTTATGATGTTCGTTATGCATCTTCTTCACCAATGGACTATGATATTGCCATTTTACGCTTAAAAGAACCAGTTGAATTTTCTGAAACCGTTTATCCAATTTGCATTCCATCTTCGGACGATCAAATTTATCGAAGATTAACTGTTGCTGGTTGGGGTAATGTTGATTCATCTGGAACTGGAAGTGCAGTTTTAAGAGAAGTTGATGTTGATTTTATTCAAAGTAAGTATCAATTCATTTCCGAATCATTCGCCAGGATTAAGAATATCCTTTCTAATATCTTAACTATCTAGCTTGAAGTTTCAACCAAAGGAAAAGTCTAATTTCATTTTTTGCTTTTGTCACAGAATCAACTTGTAATGAAATGAAATATAACTATGTGATCAAGAAGAACAATTTACCATCATATTTCCGATTTAATGTGCAGCCTGTCCATGAGAATCACATTTGTGCTCTTAATACACTAACCGGTGGTGATGCTTGTTCAGGTGATTCGGGTGGACCATTAATGTTCAAAGATCCACAAAATGGTCGATGGTATCTGATTGGTGTTGTTTCTGGTGCTTGGGATCTTTGTGGAGTTGATTTGGGTGTTCCTGGTCTATACACATCTATTTCACCCTATCGATCAACTATTGTACAATCAGCTAATGGAGTTTGTGTAAGACCCTATTAGTTGTTAAGAAATGAAAACAATTACCTTCAAATGATTGTTTATCCAATCAAATTGTGATCATCATTTTTAAAATGCATTAAAATATCTATCCGTTTGTTAAAAGTATTTTCAACATACAAACACAAACATGTATTAGTATTTATTTATTATTTACTTAATATGTTTTTAATCTTTCGATCAAACAGTTGTTTCTCTTGCTCACTAATCTTAATTGTTTCATTTTTTTGTTGAATGTAAATTAAAATCATAAAAATATAGACGCTACTTGTTTCTAAATCAAATATCAAAATTTATGATTGATACTGAAGGCGGAAAGTTATCAAAACTACACAATGGTTTAGCTGAATAGAATTTACGTCAACATGATTTGCTTTATCATGAAAATTGCCAACCTTAACATTGACCACAACTAATTAAATCGACGAGTTCTCAATCACTATTACAGCAAACATATAATTTAAACTTGTCTACTCAACATCTTTTGAATGAAATCGTCAAAAATTGTTTACATATTTCAATAAGTTAATGCTATTCTGTGTTGATTCAATCAATTTTAATTCTCATATTTTCATTCCTATCCATCCACCAATATTAAAATATCTAACAATGCTTCTTTAAAATTCCCCATGTTTTCAATTCACCGTTGGTCCACATTGTTACCAGGCACAATCACCTGTTTCAACAATTTGCGTCTTATTTTCAACAGCAATACAATCTAACAAGCAAAATAAGAGCATGCATGTGATAAGATTATGAGAATTGATCTCTTCATATATTTTGTTTCGCTTAGAGTGATCTTCAAAAATTATATTTTTTCGTCTGATGATATAATTATAATTACTGACTTTAACAATTGTAAGTCAATTTTTATCAAAAAACAAACTTTTTTGTAACCATAGAATCTACTAGATGGAGATTAAGTACATTGTATCGATACCTTCAACGATGGTATCGAGTACTGGAAAGTTGTATCACAGTCTTACAGTTTTATTACATGAATAGTTACCGTACAAAAAGCTTACTTTCTCTTTCTTGTTTATTTTGTTTTCATTCAATCTCTCTAATCTTATTATCGACTAATTAATTGATATAATTCATTATGGCTACATCTAATACTGCTGTTTTGAACGAACTCAAGCTTAAGTCCAAAAACAGTCGACGGTCAAGAGGCAGATATGGACGAGGTTTGCCTAAAAAAGGTAAAAGTCTAGTATTTTCTTTCATTTTCTTTCTTTCCCTTGTTTTTCTTTCTTTCCCTTTCTTTTTATCTGTCTCTCTTTTCTTTCTTTTTGTGGATCCTGTCTGTCTAATTTTCTCAATTCAGTTTCACTGTCTGTATTTTTGCACAATGTATTATTCGATCTGTTTGTTCAAGGTCACTGATTGTTTCTTTTCAAGGTCACTGAATATTTCTTTTACCATACTCTTAATTTCTTTCACTCTTGCTCTGTCGCCATATGTGATTAGCAAATGAATCCTTCCATATCCATTCTGCTTGCTAATCTTTAAATTATTTTCTAATTAAGGTGGTGCAGGTGGAAAGGGTACCTGGGGAAGGCTTGGATCGGAGCTTGTTGGTGTTGAACGAGGATTAGACGATCCTCATGATCCCAATTATGACTCTGAGTCTGAGGAGAACTGTAAATTGGATGTCATCACTCCACCATTGGAGGAAAATGAAATTGAGAAATATGTTGCACCCATAATTCACGAATACTTCGAACATGGAGACACTGAAGAAGTTGCAATATCTCTTGAAGAAATAAATTTGGGTGAACATTTCCACCAAGTCCTTGTCATCATTGTTTCCGTTGCAATGGAAAGAAAGGCATCTCATAGGGAAATGGCTTCAGTTCTCATATCTGACCTCTATGGACGCTTCCTCCTTGAAGAAGATTACGAACGTGGATTTGAAGTTCTCCTCCAAAGTCTCCCAGACCTGATTCTTGATACACCCCAGGCAGCAACGGTTAGTATCTTATCTTTCCGTTATAGACTTTATACTTCACCAAATCTCACTGATACGAAGATCCTCTATCATTGACCGACAACTCTTGTTTGTTTTACCTTAGGCTATATCGAATGCTAGGCGTAATTTTTCATATGCATGAATTTTTATATGTTTTACTCAAGGCTATAAGTTTACTGTTATGAACTAAATTAACTTTTTCTTTCACTTTTATTCGTTTATTACCTTCAATGTTTATAACTTTTTGAGCTCAAAATTTTCCATCTCATTTAGTAATGAGTAATATTTTGTTTACCTTGATTATTGGTTCTTTAAATCTAACTCTTTTCTTATATATTTAGGTTCTTGGTAACTTTATTGCCAGAGCAGTTGCAGATGACTGTATTCCTCCAAAATTTGTTCAAAGCCATGTCCAAATGAGCGATGAAAATGCTCGACAAGCTATGGAACATGCCAGTGCTCTGCTTAATATGAAACATGGTCTGGTCAAACTGGATAGTGTGTGGGGAGTCAGCGGAGGTATGAGGCCAGTTAAATATCTTATCCGTAAGATTCAACTTCTTCTCAGAGAATACATTTCATCACAAGATATTGATGAAGCCACCCGCTGTCTTCAGGAACTTGAAGTTCCACATTTTTATCATGAATTTGTTTATGAAGCCATCACAATGGCTATCGAGGATATGAGTGACCATGTCATCGAATTAATTCTTAAGCTACTCAAATCTCTCACTGATGCAGTTGTTGTAACCGTTGACCAGCTCAAAAATGTAAGTAGTTCTCTAATCAAACGTGATAAGCCTGTTTTTTGCATTTTTCAAATTGGGAAACTGTTGTATTCCTTGTAATGTTTCTGTGGTCTGGAATTTTAAGTGTTAAAAAATTTATTTTTACATTTTTATAATGCACATTACAAAACAAGCGAATCTAATTTCCAATTTCATACATTCAAAAGTTTAAGTTTGATGACGCACTATTAACCATATTATTCATTACTACTTTCTTAGGGATTCAATCGAGTGTATGAAGAAATGCCTGACATATGCATCGATGTACCACTTGCTTATCAGATTTTGGAGAAATTTATTAACAAAGCCACTGCATTGGGATTCTTACCAACTGACACCGTTAAGAATATGCCTACAAGGTAAGAACAATTATTCATCATAATATTTCGTAATTATTTTTCAACTATTTAATCATAATTTTGCTTGCTAATTTACCACAGGGGCCGAAAACGATTTGTTTCCGAAGGAGATGGAGGCAAACTTAAAGTATAAAATATAAGACGCCATCAAATCAAAAAGACGAAATATTTCCCCATAACGAAAATTTATCTCCAGCTTTTTTTCTTTACGATATCTTCCACTGGTTGTTTTGGGGACCCTTATGATCCATGCGGTCTCATTTTCTCAGCGCTTTATAGTTTTCTTTGGGAATTAGTTGAAACTAAAACATGACCATATTTTCCAACAAAAATACTTTAAAAAAATATATCAAACTCAGAGACTCAGTAAGAGAACCAGCTCTTGCAAAGTATGCTTTATTATGACAAATGGAATCAGGATCAAAGAAAAGCTGTCACCGTCATTTTGAATTTCAAAATTTTTTGGCACCCACTTGACTTGTACACTTTGAACCCTCAACTTTTTTCATCTGTTCAACTTATTAATTTCATCACAAGTGACTAGGAATGTCTATTGCAGTTATTTGGAACTTTTGGATACTCTTGTCCCATTCTTTTTTGTGAATCGCTCGCTCTTTTGGCTACACGATGATTAGCTCTTTGGAAATCGTTTCTTTTTTGGTATCTGATTGATAAATCTCTCACCCTTTCCCCCCTTTTCGTATCTTTTTTTCGTAATCTCTGTTAATTTAGCAGATCTGTGGTTTAATGGTGGGATTGAGAAAATAGACTGTATTCAAACTTCAGCGATCACTTCATTTTAAAAGAGAAAAAATCCTTCTGGGTTTCTAAGTCAGATTCAGGGCATGAAATAAACCATTTCTGTTAACATTTATCATTTTACGAGGGAAATTGCTCATCAAATTTAAACCCCTTTCCTCATTGGTGATAATGTTTTTCAAGGTAGAAATTCAAACGATCAAGAAAAAAATTAAGCATAACTTTGAGTGTAAACTTCCAAACAAGTAAACAAAATCCTATATTTGAAACCATATTTTTGATCTTTTGATGTTTCATCAAACTTAAAATTAAAAACTGACAATTTAAATTGCAAAACATTATACCCTTTAGGCCTGTTTAATCATAAACCAACTCAACATTTTCCATCCATTTCCCACTTTCCCTAGACCTGATATTAAGGTAGTTAGTTGAAACAGAGATGTAATCCTGTTGACTTAAAAATTTTTAGCTCTCAAAAAAATATCATCTCAAAAGCAAAAAACTTGAACCAAATGCTATTTCTATTTCTTTTTTCTCATTTCTCTGATAAAAAAATATTTGGTTTAGCTTAACACTTGAAGCATTTCAACTTTCTTGAAAGTCCTGATTATCAACTCATCATTTCAGGTTGCCTGATGTTACACCTGATTGATTAACTCAATCTTGCCCTTTCTATCTTTATTTTTCTCTTTATATCATCTTTATTCTCTGGGATAACTACTATTGGCGACAAACAAAAAACAAAAATTGTCTGTACAAACAAAAAAACTGCATATAATTAAAAAACACAAAAACAAATATCATTTTACTGCAAATAACTAACAGCTTTGATGTCTCACCCATTACTCTACGAATAGGTGTCAATGTTATTGTGATATCATAATAAAATGTATACACAAATGGAAGCAAAGGGAAAACAATTTACCGCACATTCAACCAACTCGACAATTCACATAATGAAATATTGTCAACCATGAAATATTAATTTTCATTGAATAAAAATAAATATTTCAAAATTTCAAACCATCATTTTATTCGTATTTTTCCCAATATTTTGGATGAATTTAAATTACTATGTCTTAATATATTTCTTTAGCTTTTCATTTGCAAACCACAACATTAAATGTTCAACTCATTGGTTTGGATAAATAAAGACAAGGCAATGAATTGACAATCTTCTCAAGTTTATTCTTTTGAATTGAAAAATGGAATGATCAGTATTTCCTAGTTTTCTTCATCACTTGATAGTTTAAAAATACAGAATTCAAGTCTAACTTTATGACTTTGACGAAGATGCAGCTTCTTTAACGTCTTTATCAATTCTCAGTGATTCCAGTAATTTGGAGATGTATTCATTGCCACCGAGTTTAGTACATTCCTCCTTAGCTTGCTCATGGTATTTTGTAAGAACCTCTTTGGTATATTTAAATGATCCAAGTTCCTCTAGTACACTAACGGCTAATTTTTTAATCTCGATATCATTTGTACGCTTCCTGATGATGTCTGTAAGGCGAAAAATGGGTTAGATTGGTGATAAAAAATTTGGTTACAGTGAAACATACTCATTATTGTAGATTTATCTGGGTAACTTTTAATTGCATGGACAACTGGAAATGAAAATTTTCCTTCTGATAGATCTTCACAAAAGCTTTTGTTTTCTTTATATTCATCTGACTTCAAATTGTTGTAATCATCACGGATTTGAAAAATTACTCCTAAAAGAAATACCATTTGAGATAAATCTTGCTTGTTTTTACTGAATAACTGCAGTAAATTGACACCAAGCCCAAAAAGTCCACCTGTTTTCATGCTTATCATTTCAGTGTATTCCTTTTCAGTGGGACAAACAAAACTGTCTCTCCAGTAGATTTCCAGACCTATTGATAAATGATAGATTTGGATGAGAGTTGAGTATTATGAGGAAGAGAGTCAGTCACGTACTCTCAATCATATTTTTAACACACCTTGTCCTCTATGTAACTCTAACATTTGTTGAGTGTATATTTTAACAGCTTCTGTTACTTTATCTTCTGGTAATTCAGTGATAATCTTGTGAAGTGCTAGAAAATAAATATAATTGGCACAGTTGATTGTGGTAGCAAGTCCAAAAACATTGTGAGCAACTGGAATCCCTCGTCTTAAAGTAGAGTTATCCTCAATATCATCCACCAATAGACTTGAATTGTGTAACATTTCAACAATTGATTCAATCTTAGCACATGTATCTTCAGGTACATTGAGCCAAAAATTAAAAGCCTTAAATAAAAATGCAACATTAATTAGATTGATCCAATAATGAAAGTTTTAACACCAATAATATACCTTCATCAGCTTGGTCCGGATCTGTTTACCAGTTCTTTGAGTAATGTACTCATAGGGTTCTAGAATCAGCTGTAATAAAATAAAATAGATATAGACATAGTCTCATGTTTTTATAAGTTATTTACCTTCTTTTCCGAATACCAATTAGGTGATGGTTCGACATTAACATGTAAGGCCATGGTATTGACAGAGCAACTGTGGATTGTTCAAATTGATAACAAACTGAACCAAACAGAATGACAGACTGTTCGCAAGATGAACCGGTAAAAGTTTGATAACCCTGTAAGGAAAGATATAACTGTTGATGAAATCACGTGAAAATTGTAATGAACTGGTGTATATTATGTTGCACTTAATTATTTAACTAATCAAATTTGAAGTCACTGATGTAGTTGGACCTGGCTGGAGATGGAAATGAAGGCAATCTTATTTCACACCGTAAATATATATATTCATAAAAACGGGTTAAGCAATAGGGTTTTACAATTGGCTGGTTAACATTGAAATGTAGACTATTTCAAGTTAAAATTTAAAAAACAAAATTAATTGCAGTAACATCACTAGAAAGCAAGATTACATAATCAAAAACAGAATTAAGGGAACAAAATGATTTACCTAAAACAATAGGCGAATAAGATCAGCTGATGATGCACTCAGGCAATTGTTTAAAATTTTTATACCTTTTTTGTGAAAAATTACACAATTAGCTTACAATTGTTAGTAAAACTACCATTTATCTGGATTCATTTATATTAGATTGAAAATTACATACATAAATTGATCAAGTCAATGTAATTAAAAATCGACAGTCAGACTAATCCAAAGCCGAGTTAGCAAAGATTAACTTACTGTTTGATCAAAGAAATTGTTTTTCTTATAAAAGATAAAAAATATTCTGAATATTGATCTTACCGTAATGTGATAAATTAACAGTGTCAGTTAATAATTAACCAGTCAATGTACTTGATCAGGATAAACAACTTGAAAATTGATTGCTATAATAAATGTCTGGTTTGTATCAAAACAGATATATCAGGTTAAAGTATTGAAAGATCTAAGCCAACCCAGACTTTACCGATTTCTGAAACGAACCCTTTGATATTCCTAGTAATTTATAAATTATTAAAATGTATCATAAATGGTAAGTGTCAGTAGGTGTGGTTAATTTTAAATGTCGAGTATTAATTTGATTATGAATAAAGTTACATAGAAATTTCTAGGTACATAATAATGTGTATAATGAGACAACATTCGAGTCTTTCATGGTTCAATTAGCTGATTGAGCTATTAATTTGATGCTGAGATTAGATTGTTACATTGTAAGATTGTAAGATGTATCGATAAATTAGCGATTAATTGGAAATTTTGTCATCAATAACAAGTTTGCCGATAAAAATAGCATTTAGCTATCTCAAAATTAAACTTGGTCTGGGATTCTGGGGATTCTCAATCAACAAGACAAGGCGAAATGAAACAGTTGCAATCAACTTTACATAAGCTTGAGGTTACAAAGTAAATATTGTGGGTTCAAATACAAATATTGATAATTTAAGATTAATAATAAGTGATAAATAAGTTGTTTATATTTCTGTGCATGGAATGAAATTTACAGCTATTAAGATCTCAACAAACTTTTATAATTTTAACTAAATCTAGAAAGCAGAAGTCAATTTTATTCTTAAATGATTTTCTTTTACCTATTTAGATAATTATATTGCTGCAAAAAACTAACCTTACGCGACGCATTAGCAGGAGTTTCCAGACGATTGTCCATTACTTACTCAGTTGTCATCTGATTCTGTAATGAAATTTCTTAGTGAATGCCTGAACAAAATCTTCGAGTAATGAACCTAAACTTACCTGGAGTCTGCTTTAACAAGCTTACACATTAGATATTGATTGAGCTTTTAAAGCTGTTCCGGCACACAAAGTTAAATTGATCTATCACGAAATATACATAACAATATGTATGGTTAGAGTCATTGTGAGGCCCAAACAATGAAAATGATTTGTAATTTAACAAATAAATACTGAGACACTCTAGTGCTAAATAATTGTTAACAGTTCAATTTCAAAACTATTATCATAATCTTGAATCAATTTGATCGAGAAGAGTGCATTTTGATCATATTTTCCATTCAGCCTACTCTGTAGATACAACAATGAGAAGCACAGAGATCGCGTTTGTTTTTCACATTTCAAAATTTTGTGGGCATTATTTTTCTTTAATCTCATAAATGATTTCAAAATTGGCGTGCTTAACTAATAAAGTGAAAATTTCCGAAAAGACTTTTTCGAAGTTTTTTTAAACGTTTTGTGAAAACTCAATGTAAATGCGACATCAGTGATGAATGAAATGAATGATTTGAAGATGTGTGAAGATAGGAGTGGAAATAATCAAGTGTTCAAATTAATAATCGAATTACTCTTTATTTAACCAATGAGATTTGTTGATTTTCATATAAACTAAGCAGAAAGTATTAACAAAAATATACATGTTATTTTCTTTGATTAATAAAATTCTGAAGATTCTGAATTCATTTGGAGCAATGAAATCAATTTATTGAATATGTTGAATTTAAATGATTTGCTGAGAAGTTATATTATTTAATTGACCCATGAATAGATTGACTTTTGTTAGATTATCACGAATGAAGAAAAGAAATGGACGATCCGCTATAAAATTGACCACTTTACGCTGCCCCGAGAAAGAGACGCATGTCGTCATGGGTCCTAAATAAGTTGCCGCAGTTGCTACGGTACCAGTCTCAGTGACTTCAATCAAAGCTTTTTGTATTGATTTTGATATGTATAATGGTAAAGATCCTTCAGTAATTCTGGGAAATTCAGCATTCATTTCGAATGGTCGAGTCATTCCCATTCTTGGTAAAATTTTGTGTAATTCATGATTATCTTCCAGTTTGAATTTCGGTATAGTTAAAGTATCCAAACATGTTCTTGACATGGAGTCCATCAAACTGGAAAGCTCAGTTGAGTCCAAATTATCAATCACCTTTTTTAAATTGTTGTCCTCAGTTGGAAGGATCAATATTATGCTGATATTTCCAACATATGGAATCTCGACAATCTGTTTGTGGAAAAGGCACGGAAATGTTGAGAAAAAGTTAATATCTTATTCATAATTTTATTTATGAGGCCTATTGCTTACCTTTAATTGTTTATCATGTCGGTCAACATAGTTGAAGCATCCATCTGACAGGGTCATCATCTTGGTCTTGACTGTCGTTCCATCCGAATTGTGGAATATATCATCTTTTGTAAGCTTTTGAGAGAAAGGCTTCAACCATTTTCCTTCGAAATAGATTGTGTTCACTAGCAACAGAACATCAAGTGGACTTGGAGGCTTATCGAGAATAGAAGTGATCTTATTTTTTGTATTTTTAGAAACCCACAAATTCACTTTTTCCACTATTTTTCGGCCATCAGTAAAATCCTCATTAAATGCGTCAGCGAAATAATTGGTCTTCAGCATTTGAACATAAGCTTTCTGAAACTTGTAATCTTTATTGGCCATGAGTAAATTACCAAACTTTAGAATGGATTCTTGTTTCGATCGATCAGTTGCAGGTATCTGATAGCTTTCAATAACCTGTGAAGAAAAAAAGCCAAAAATTAATGAAAAAAGTCATTCGAGTGAGATTTTATATTAAAATGCAAACAAAAAATGAGTTATTCATTACCTGTTTGATTAATTGAGAAATATCTTCCGATTGGCCATTTATTTTATCCAAGTTGAGAACCTTTTTGATCTGTTGCTCTGTTTCACCAGCGGCTCCATCCAATGCCATACAATAGGCAGTAATAACACTTAAAGGCGATAAAAGTACATTTGTTGAATCACATTGAGAACTAATTTGTTTTAAGAAATTCAATCCGAAATCAATACTAGACTGACTTAATTAAACAAATGATCAAGTTTGCAATTAAAGATGAGATTAATGAGAGAATGAAGGGTGTAAGAGAATAAGCTATTATATAAAACAAAATATTCTATTAAATATTCCAAATTATAAATTTTGACTTAAATTCAACTTCGTATTTTGATTTTTAAAGTGCTGACATCTATCAACTAAAATTAATTTAACTGTTTAACTGTTAGTCCACTCTAATGACTCTCCCTGAAGTGAAGGGTAAAAAGGCTAAAGAAGACCAAAATAAACTGTACTGTCAAACCTCCAATATTGTGACGCTCTTAAAATGTCACAGATTCATGGTAATAAAATAAACAATTTAGATTTTCAATTAAATAAATTCTACGATGACTTCAATAATGTTTCCATTTGTGTGATTTAAAAGTTTCCCTGATCGTTAGTTTTTCGAGAAAATAGATTTCGAGTTGAAACTCACAATTACTGTTAGATCGCTTTTTGTACGATTATGGAAGCTGATTCTTTCATGAAACTCATTTTACTGATGCATCTTTTGATGACAAATGTATTATTTGTAATATTCATTTTGAGAAATTCAATGTACCCGTAAGATTCAGATTGTCGATTGAATACTTTTATCAGTTTAACAACAGTTCTCTTGATTTTGCCCATTGGCCTTAAAACTTTGAACATCAATATTCGGGAATGTTATCACCCACAATCATTATTCTTTGACAAATTCATCAATTTAATTGATAAATCAAACTGTCCATCGGATGAATTATTTGATAGTACCAATGAATTTCATGTCGCTACAAATGCAACAAGTCTAAACTCATGGAATGAAATTCACAGCTATTAAGATCTAAACAAATATTTATAATTTTAACTGAATCTAGAAAGCAGAAGTCAATTTTATTCTTAAATGATTTTTTAACCTATTTAGATAATTATATTGCCGTAAAAACCTAACCTTTCGCGACGCAGGAGTTTCCAGACGATTGTCCATTACTTACTCAGTTGTCATCTGATTCTGTGAATGCAAAGAACAAAATCTTTGGATGATGAACCTAGACTTACCTGAAGTCTTCTTTACGCATCAGATATTGGTTGAGCTTTTAAAGCTGTTCCGGCACTTGATGTAATCAATTGAGATGAAAATGAGATGAAAACAACAAGTTAGCAAGTTGAAAGTTAAATTGAGTTATCACGAAATATACATAGCATTCTGTATGATTAGAGTCATTTTCAGGTCCAATCGAAACAATGAAAATATTTTTAAATTTAAAAAATAAAAATACCGATAAACTCTAATGCTAAATAATTGTTAACAGTTCAATATCCAAAACCATTATCATAATCTTGAATCAATTTAATCGAGAAGAGTGTGTTTCGATCATATTTTCCATCCAGAATGACTCGGAAAGATCGACGACTTCTTCGGAGCTCTTTGAAACTTTTGTGGCAACTCAATGTACATCAATGATGAATGATTTGAAGATGTGTAAAGATAGGAGTGAAAATAATCAAGTGTTCAAATTAATAAATTACTCTTTATTTAACCAATGAGCTTTGTTGATTTTCATATTAATTATATAAACTTCAGGCAGAAAGTATAAACAAAAATATACATGTAATTTAATTGATCATTAAATATTCTGAAGATTCTATATTCATTTGGAGCAATCAAATCAATTTATTAATTATTTTGAATTTAAATGATTTGCTGAGAAGTTATATTATTCAATTGACCCATGAATAGATTGACTTTTGTTAGATTATCACGAATGAAGAAAAGAAATGGACGATCCGCTATAAAATTTAAGACTTTTTGCTGCTGAAAGGGAGGTGCACATGTGGCTACGAATCCGATTACAGTTGCCGCAGTTGCTACGGTACCAGCCTCAGTGACTTCAATCAAAGCTTTTTGTATTGATTTTGATATGTATAATGGTAAAGACCCTTCAGTAATTCTTGGAAATTCAGCATTCATTTGGAATGGTCGAGTCATTCCCATTCTTGGTAAAATTTTGTGTAGTTGATGATTATCTTCCAGTTTGAATTTCGGTATAGTTAAAGTACCCAAACGTGTTCTTGACATGGAGTCTATCAAACTGAAAAGCTCCGTTGAGTCCAAATTATCAATCATCTTTTTTAAATTGTTGTCACCAGTTGGAAGGATCAATACCATGCTAATATTTCCAAAATATGGAATCTCGACAATCTGTCAATGAAAAACGATAAATGAAACGTTAGATAAAAATTAAATTATGTTTGAATAATGTTTTTACCTTTAATTTTTTTTCTAGACATTCTGCAAAATTAAAGGTATCATCTGAAAGAGTCATCATCTTAATCTTAGTTGTTGATCCATCTGAATTGGTGAATATCTTCTCTTCCGTAGAATCTTCATAAAAAGGTTTTAACCAATTAGCTTGGAAATAAATTGTATTCACTAGCAAACACACAGCGTCAGGTTGTGGTGGTTTGTCGAGAATCGTTGAAATTTTATTTCTTGTAGCTTCAGAAACCCAAGAGTTGACTTTTTCTAGAATATTTTGGCCATCAGTAAAATCCTCATTGAATGCATTGGCAGAATAGTTAGTTTGTAAGTTTTGAACAAAAGTCTTTTGAAGCCTGAAATCCTTATTAGCCATAAGTAAATTGCCAAACTCTAATAGGCATTTTTTCTCTTCAGAAGTAGAGTTCTTATTCTTCAGATATTTTTCCATGTGCTTCCAAAAAAAGAAAAATAGCGATTATTGGATGTCAGTGACGGTTATTGATGACACCCCAAAAAATTGATATGTAAATATTCATAATTACCTGTTTGATTATTTTTGAAACATCTCCTTGTTGGCTATCAACTTTATCCAGATTCAAAACTGTTCTGATTTGTTTTGCAGTTTCACCAGCGGCTCCTTCGAGTGCCATTCCATAGGCCATGATAACACTTAATGGTGACAAAAGTAAATTGGTTGAATCAGAACCAACTTTTTTCAAGAAGTTCAAACCAAGATCAATACTGGGCTTGCTTAATTGTGACATTTTCAATTACAGAGAATATTTAAATCACTTAAATTACGGATCATAAGAAAAATATTTAAATTAACATGTAAAGCACATACTAATGTAAGTATAAAAGAAACTAATGTTTTGATTAAAAATTCAGTTCATTAAAAACTCGGTTGATAAGGGTTTTTACAGCAAAATGATCAAAATATCGGATCTTAGATCAAGAATTCAATCCTTCAATATTTTATTATAATTAATATGCATAGATGGTGCTACAACTCGGTTAAATGTGAAATTAAAATGAAACTTTCAATAAAATGTGCCTGAGGACTCTCAATGAAAATTAAATATTTTAAGCGTATACGCCATGCAAGCATCAATTTAATTTTCAATATGTCTCGAAATGAATCAAGGTGATTCTTTTCAAAACCATCACTCTGCCAATATAATTTATGATTGCGATTCAAACTCATTAGAAAGTATTTTCATCGACAATTTGCTGAGATTGTGATGGATCAAAGACCCAGAGCATTCTTGGTTTTATAAATCTAAATTTTTATGGATCAACATTAATTCCCTAATTTTCTATCAAGAGTCGAAAAAATGTATTAACAAAGAAATTGATTTAACCGAATCACTAACATTTAAAAAATTGTCTTGTTGCAATCACTAATAGAAGAAACAATTATTTTTCAGAAAACTGGTTAAACTTTGTAAATTTTATGTTGAGTTTATTCTTATGAAATTGTTTACAATTTACAATAAGTTTCGCACTTGTGCGGTATCAAAGTACAGTTAATTTCAAAGAAACTGTTGGTGGGTCATGTTATTCAATTGACCCATGAAAAGATTGACTCCACTTTTGTTATCACGAATAAAGAACATAAAAGGTCGATCAGCTATAAATGTGATTCTTTCGCGTGAAACACCTCCTGTACAAGCTAGCATAAAGAGTCTTTCAACTACAGTTGCCGCTGACGCTATGGTACCTTCTTCGCACACTTCAATCACAGCCTTTTGTATTGATTTTGATATGTATTATAATGGTGAAGAAGTATCTTCAGTAATTTTTGGAAATTCAGCATTGATTTCGAATGGTCGAGTCATTCCCATTCTTGGTAAAATGTTGTGTAGTTGATGAATATCTTCCAGTTTGAATTTCGGTATAATTAAAGTATCCAAATGCGTATCTCTCATGGACTCCATCAAACTGGAAAGCTCAGTTGAGTCCAAATTATCAATCAAATTTTTTATATTGTTGTCACCAGTTGGAAGAATCAATATTATGCTAATATTTCCAACATATGGAAGCTCGACAATCTATTTGTGGGAAAGGCATGGAAATGTTTAAAAACTGTTAATATCTTATTCATAATTTTATTTATAAGGCTCATGCACATTTCTTACCTTTAATTGTTTATCATGTCGGTCAACATAGTTGAAGCTTTCTCCTAAAAGGGCCATCGTCTTGGTCTTGACTGTCGTTCCATCTGAATTGTGGAATATATCATCTTTTGTACAATCTTTAGAGAAAGGCCGCAACCATTTTCCTTCGAAATAGATTGTGTTCACTAGGTACAGAACATCAAGAGGACTTGGAGGCTCATTGATAATAGAAGTGATCTTATTTTTTGTGTTATTAGACATGTCGGTCAACATAGTTGAAGCATCCATCTGACAGGGTCATCATCTTGGTCTTGACTGTCTTTCCATCCGAATTGTGGAATATATCATCTTTTGTAAGCTTTTGAGAGAAAGGCTTCAACCATTTTCCTTCGAAATAGATTGTGTTCACTAGCAACAGAACATCAAGTGGACTTGGAGGCTTATCGAGAATAGAAGTGATCTTATTTTTTGTATTTTTAGAAACCCACGAATTGACTTTTTCCACTATTTGTTGGCCATCAGTAAAATCCTCATTAAATGCGTCAGCGAAATAATTAATCTTCAGACTTTGAACATAAGCTTCCTGAAACTTGTAATCTTTATTGGCCATGAGTAAATTACCAAACTCTAGAATGAATTCTTGTTTCGATCGATCAGTTGCAGGTAGCCGATAGCTTTCAATAACCTGTGAAGAAAAAAGCCAAAAATTAATGAAAAAAGTCATTGGAGTGGGATTTTATATTAAAATGCAAACAAAAAATCAGTTATTCATTACCTGTTTGATTAATCCAGAAATATCTTCAGATTGGTCATTTATTTTATCCAAGTTGAGAACCTCTTTGATCTGTTGCTCTGTTTCACCAGCGGCTCCATCCAATGCCATACAATAGGCAATGATAACACTTAAAGGCGATAAAATTACATTTGTTGAATCACATTGAGAACTAATTTGTTTCAAGAAATTCAAACCAAAATCAATACTAGGTTTACTTAGTTGGGACATGGTTAAAACAAATGATCAAGTTTACAATTAAAGATGAGATTTATTTGAGAGAATGAAGGGTTTAAGAGAATAAGCTATTATATAAAACAAAATATTCTATCAAATATTCCAAATTCTAAATTTTGACTAAAGTTCAACTTCGTATTTTCATTTTAAAGTGCTGACATCTATCAACTAAAATTAATTTTACAGTTTAACTGTTAGTCCACTCTAATTAGAGACCAGTTGGTTACTGGTAACCGGTTACTTGGTTAGCGGGGGGAAAAAGTAACCAAGTATGGTTACTATAACCAGTTACTATAACCGGTTACTTGCTGGTTACATTGAGAGGGAAATTTGAAAAGAAAGTAAAGAAAGTAAACAATAGATTTCTAAATACATTCATAGATGGCGCTGATAAAAGATGGAAAATCAAACTTTTCATTTTTGAATTTGGCGGTAAGAAATTTGTAACCAGCAAGTAACCGGTTATTTGTAACTGGGGGTGAAAGAACCACAGTTACTGGTTATACTAACCAAACTAGCCTGTAACCGACGTATCTCTAACTCTAATGACTCGCCTGAAGTGAAGGGTAAAAAGGCTAAAGAAGATCAGAATATGGGAAATAAACTGTACTGTCAAACCTCCAATATTGTGACGCTCTTAAAATGTCACAGATTCATGGTAACAAAATAAACAATTTAGATTTCCAATTAGTAAATTCTGCGATGACTTCGAATAATGGTTCCATTTGTGTGATTTAAAAGTTTCCCTGATCGTTAGTTTTTCGAGAAAATAGATTTTAAGTTGAAACTTACAATTACTGTTAGATATACATCAAACATTAATCTCTTGATTTTGCAAATCGCAAAAAACATTAGCGAAGACAGCGATTCAAACAGAATTGCTAACATTTAAAATATTGTTGGGCTACAATTGGCAAATGAAAAAATGATTTTTCAGAGACCTGGTCAAACTTTTTAAATTTTATGTTGAGTTTATTCTTATAAAATAGTTTACAACAATTCACAATGAGTTTCGTACTTGTACAATATCAAAATAAAGCAAATTTCAAAGAAACTGTTCACGGGTAATGTTACTCAATTGACCCATGAATAGATTGACTCCACTTTTGTTATCACGAATAAAGAACATAAAAGGTCGATCAGCTATAAATGTGATTCTTTTGGGTGAAACACCTCCTGTACTGCGTCTAAGTGCAGTTGAGACTGACGCTATAGTACCTTCTTCAAATACTTCAATCACAGCTTTTTGTATTGATTGTGATATGTATGATGGTAAAGATCCTTCAGTAATTTTTGGAAATTCAGCATTCATTTGGAACGGTCTAGTCATTCCCATGCTTGGCAAAATTTTATGTAATTCATGATCATCTTCCAGTTTGAATTTCGGTATAGTTAAGTTATTCAAACGCGTCTTTTTCATAGAATCCATCAAACTGGAAAGCTCAGTTGAGTGCAAATTATCAATCAAATTTTTTAAATTGTTGTCTTCAGTTGGAAGGATCAATATCATGCTAATATTTCCAACATATGGAAGCTCGACAATCTATTTGTGGAAAAGGCATGGAAATGTTTACAACTGTTAATATCTTATTCATAATTTTATTTATAAGGCTCAAGCACATTTCTTACCTTTAATTGCTTATCAAGTCGGTCAACATAGTTAAGTCTTTCATCTATAAGGGTCATCATCTTGGTTTTGACTGTCGTTCCATCTGAATTGTTAAATATTTTATTTCTTGTACGCTTTTTAGAGAAAGACTTCAACCATTCCCCTTCGAAATAGATTGTGTTCACTAGAAACAGACCATCAAGTGAATCTGGAGCCTCATTTAGAATAGAAGTGATCTTTTTTTCTGTATTATTAGAAACCCAGGAATTCACTTTTTCCACTATTTTTCGGCCATCGGTAAAATCCTCATTAAATGCGTCAGCAAAATAATTTGTCTTCAGACTTTGAACATAAGCTTCCTGAAACTTTTCATCTTTATTGGCCATAAGTAAATTACCAAAGTTTAGAATGAATTTTTGTCTCGATCCAGCAGTTGCAGGTATCCGATAGCTTTCAATAACCTGTGAAGAAAAAAAGCCAAAAATTAATGAAAAAAGTCACTCGAGTGAGATTTTATATTAAAATCCAAACAAAAAAGCAGTTATTCATTACCTGTTTGATTAATTGAGAAATATCTTCCGATTGGTCATTTATTTTATCCAAATTGAGAACCTTTTTGATCTGTTGCTCTGTTTTACCAGCGGCTCCATCCAATACCATACAATAGGCAGTAATAACACTTAACGGCGATAAAAGTACATTTTTTGAATCACATTGAGAACTAATTCGTTTTAAGAAATTCAATCCGAAATCAATACTAGACTGACTTAATTGGGACATGGTTAAAACAAATGATGAAAATGATATTTATTTGCGAGAATGAAGGGTTTTTATGATTTATAAGCTAAAGGTGTTTCAAGCAAGTTGTCACAAATGCGCAAAGCTTAATGAGCTTTATTGGACAAAGATGAGTAAGGTTTAGATAACAAAAAACATTAAACAACACCATCTATGACCATTGAAATTTTGAACTGTGGTCATTTAAGTTAAATCACAACTAAGGTTCATAGATGGTGTTGTTTAATTATACTTGCTTTACAAACAAATCATTTAATTTAAAAGTTTCAAATGCTAAATTTTGACTTGAGTTGCGATTTTTTGGAGGGTTGACATCTATGTGAACTACAGGGGGAAACTACTGATTTTTCTTTTACCTATTTAGATAATTATATTGCTGCAAAACCTAACCTTTCGCGACCTTTCAGGAGCTTCCAGACGATTGTCCATTACTTACTCAGTTGTCATCTGACTCTGTAATGCAATTTCTTAGTGGATGCAAAGAACAAAATCTTCGAATGATGAACCTAGACTTACCTGGAGTCTGCTTTAACCAGCTTACACATCAGATATTGATTGAGTCTTTAAAGCTGTTCCGGCACTTGATGTAATCAATTGAGCTGCTATTTCAACTTGTTCAACCATCATGTCTTCACTCACACGAGCAGCAGCTTCTCGTTTCCTCTTAAAATGATTTAACATCTATGTATGAAAAAATGAAAATGAGATGAAAACAAAAATAAAAACATAAAATCAACAACAGTTTAGAAAATGAAAGTTAAATTGAGTTATCACGAAATATACATAACAATTTGTATGATTAGAGTCATTTTCAGGTCCAATCGAAACAATGAAAATAGTTTAAAATTTAACAAATAAAAATACTGAGACACTCTAGTGCTAAATAATTGTTAAAAGTTCAATTTCCAATCTATTATCTTGATTTTGAATGAATTCAATCGAGAAGAGTGTCTATGAATTTCATAGAAAATCTCCATAAATATCTTTGATCATATTATATTTCCCATCCAGCCTTGTTTTAGATTCAACAATGATAATTACAGAAGTCTCTTTCGGTTTTTAAAATTTCAAAATTTTGTGGTCATTATTTTTTTATACTCATAAATGAATACAAAATTTCCATGCTCGACCAATAAAGTGAGATTATCTGGAAAGACATCGGAACACTTTTAAACTTATTGTGGAAACCCAATGTAAATGAGACATCAGTTATTGTTTTGAAGAAATGTAACAAGCTAAAGATATTTGAGAGCAAATGTTGGGGCCAACATACCCGTATTTGCTCGCTAGATGGCAATGTTTAAGATTTTTTTAAAAATAAATGGCAGCAATTTGTATCGGAAAGGCAGCCTATCATATTCAAAATTTCATGTTTAATATCATCTTTTTGTCAAATATATTCGTATTTCTGTTATATTTAATATTGTTAACTATTATAATTATAATTATAATAGTGGAATATAGTGGAAAATATTTATAAATAACAGAAAATGATTAAATTTTTATATTCATCTAAAATCTTTCCTTTTCTTTGGACACAAAAAGCATTTGGAACAATTGATTTGATTTATTGGTGCAACTGGACAACAAGAGTTTTGAACAACAAGGATCTAGGAACTCACAAAGTAAGTTATTTAAATTTTTTACCATAGAAATATGGTCAAAGATGTGCAGAAATTGAATGCTTTTTCGTTGTTTTCTTGTAACATATTTATAGCTAGTTCGAATCGTCGATTTGACATGTTACTAAGCTAACTTGTTCGATTTTCCTGTGAGTCAAATCGGTCTTCAATTCGAGGGGTTGAAGAAATCCAAGCTTGGATTGTTGACCTTTGGACAATTTGGATTAGTTATAAGATGACTAGAAAACGCATTGAATTTAACAATCATTTCTCGCCATATCTCAATCTCATTCCATTATTTCAAAAATGAGTAAAAACATTTTTACTATCAGGTGAACGACAAACTATTTTTTATGATTAGTGTCTATCTTTTTTAAATAATATTATTGTTCATTAGAGGGATTATTAGATTATAGATCATTATTAAATGAACTTCTTCAATATAAAACCTTATTATTTTTCAGTCCATAATAATCTAAGAATGATGTTTGTAGGTACTGCATAGTTCAATCAATACCTAAAATCTGTAATTTTTTATTTAATTTAAGATCAGAAATCCAAAATCTTTTTGTACAAAATATACACTGACCATAATATCATTCAGATTAGAAATTTTCATCAATATCATCGATTTCTTTGTTGCAGTTAGTAATTTGTGAATAATCGAGTCACTATTTATATGATTGATTGCATTGTAAGCAAAGTATCTCATAGTAAATCATAGTAGTTTACGCTTTCTAATTTCTAAACTATTCTTTTTTTCAGATGACTGGAATTGATGAAATGAGTGATGCAGATTACATGGCTTTGAAAGATGAGGTATTTGAATGCACACACAAAGAGCCAGTTACGCATTTGTTTAATACTGTTGTAGGCAAAAGCCGTGGAGGGCTGCGAATTCATCAAGAAAAAAGCGAGAAACGGACTTCATCATTTAAACACAAGCTTTTCGCATATCAATTCACGCTTTTCAACGTTGAGAAGCAAAAAGAGATTTCGTGTCGAGCAGTAGACACTTCATACCAAAAAGCAAAGCAAAAAGCTGCAATTAAATTACTGAATCAATTAGAAGACACAACGCAAATGGTAAGTAAAATTGTGAGTGTGTAAAAAAAGTACAATACATAAGTTTTATTTCCTTGCACTTAGCCAAAAAATCTCATTGGGTTTCCAAATTATAGAGGACATGATTTTTTCATTCCCGTTTTTCTGCCATTATTCTGGAATAAATTTTTTGTTGAAAGTTTGGTAAGAGCGACAGAGATTGCATCAACAAATAAGTCTAAGTTCAAACTTTTTTATGGAATTAAAGGCTTATTTGAGGAATATCGAAAAGCTAGTTTCGATCAAAATTTTTCAATGGTTAACAATCCTGGTCCTAGCACACAACCTGGAAGAAAACCTGATCTCAAAATAGATCAATTTATTATCAAAATTCTATTACTACTTAGAGTTGAACAAAAAGATTACGCTACACCAGGTATGTCCTTTATGCGTTAACAAATTAGTTTTAACTTATTTTTTAATGTTTGCTTTTATTTATTTTTGAGTCTAGGAGGAGATGACACAACTTTGTATAAAGATATTATGAGAAAGCTGTATGAGGAATTTAAAACTTCAAATCCATTCGAGGATGTCCTCAATTTCAACTTCAAAATTGAGTTTGAATGTTCAACGTGCAATCAAATAGATAAATATATTATCAATCAACCATACCTGATCTTGAGAAGAAGCTACTTTGGCGTTTTTAACTCTTTGAATGACGCCATGGATACTGAAAAATCGTTTTTGACACTCAGAAATGTGAATTGTAAGTATGCGTTAGTTCAAAGAAATTAACTAACAAATCTTTGCCTTCAGGTAACAGCTGTCAAGGAAGTGATTTCACAGTGAAGAAGAAAATGATATCTCTGTCATCAATCCTCGTTTTCATGATTGAAGAAAAGGTAGACGACGATCTTTCTAATGAAATAAAAATAGGGCTGCCAGACAATTTGAATGTTTTTGGTACTGCATACGAAAAATATGCTTATTCAGTCAACTTAAATACATGTAAAGTTGGACAATCTGACATCGAAAGACCATTGCGACACCATAGTGGCCAATCGGGAGATAAAATATCTGGTGCAAATGTTATTCTCCACATAAAACATGGGGAAAGTTGGAAAGAAGTAAACAATGACCAGGTTTTACAACCATTAAGAGATTACCCTTACGGGAGTGAACAAATGTTAATTTTCTATCGTAACATTCAGTAAAATGATTCATTCATGCATATTTTTTTCTTCCAAACTCATCCGTGTTACTAAGCTAACTTGTGCGGCTTTCCTGTGAGTTAAATCGATCTTAAACTTGAACGATTGGATTAATCCATAGTTTGGATTGTTAATATTAACCATATAAACTTCAGGTAGAAAGTATAAACACAATATAAATGTAATTTAATTGATCAATAAAAATTTTGAAGATTCTGAGTTCATTTGGAGCAATCAAATTAATTTATAAATTATGTTGAATTCAAATAATCTGCTTAGAAGTTATACTATTCAATTGGCCCATGAATAGATTGACTTTTGTTAGATTATCACGAATGGAGAAAAGAAATGGCCGATCTGCTATAAAATTAAACACTTTTTGCGGCTGTGGTGAGTAAAGTGAACATCCCAGCATGAATTCAACTTGAGTTGCCGCAGTTGCTACGGTACCAGCCTCAGTCACTTCAATCAAGGCTTTTTGTATTGATTTTGAAATGTATAATGGTAAAGAACCTTCAGTGATTCTTGGAAATTCAGCATTCATTTGGAATGGTCGAGTCATTCCCATGCTTGGTAAAATTTTGTGTAGTTGATGATTATCTTCCAGTTTGAATTTCGGTATAGTTAAAGTATCCAAACGTGTTCTTGACATGGAGTCCATCAAACTGGAAAGCTCAGTTGAGTCCAAATTATCAATCATCTTTTTTAGATTGTTGTCACCAGTTGGAAGGATCAATACCATGCTAATATTTCCAAAATATGGAATCTCGACAATCTGCCAATGAAAAACGATAAATGAAACGTTAGATAAAAATTAAATATGTTTGGATAATGTTTTTACCTTTAATTTTTTTTCGGGACATTCTGCAAAGTTAAAGGTATCATCTGAAAGAGTCATCATCTTAATCTTAGTTGTTGATCCATCTGAATTGGTGAATATCTTCTCTTCTGTAGAATCTTCATAAAAAGGTTTTAGCCAATTAGCTTCGAAATAAATTGTATTCACTAGCAAACACACAGCGTCAGGTTCTGGTGGTTCGTCGAGAATCGTTGAAATTTTATTTCTTGTAGCTTCAGAAACCCAAGAGTTGACTTTTTCTAGAATATTTTGGCCATCAGTAAAATCCTCATTGAATGCATTGGCAGAATAGTTAGTTTGTAAGTTTTGAACAAAAGTCTTTCGAAGCCTGAAATCTTTATTAGCCATAAGTAAATTGCCAAACTCTAATAGGCATTTTTTCTCAGAAGCAGAGTTCTTATTCTTCAGATATTTTTCCATAAGCTTCCAAAAAAAGAAAAAAGCGATTATTGGATGCAAGTGACAGTTATTGTTAACACCCCAAACAATTGATATGCAAATATTCATAATTACCTGTTTGATTATTTTTGAAATATCTTCTTGTTGGCTATCAACTTTATCCAGATTCAGGCCTGTTCTGATTTGTTTTTCAGTTTCCCCAGCGGCTCCTTCGAGTGCCATTCCATAAGCAATTATAACACTTAATGGTGACAAAAGTAAATTGGTTGAATCAGAACCAACTTTTTTCAAGAAGTCCAAACCAAGATCAATACTGGGCTTGCTTAATTGTGACATTTTCAATTATGAAGAATATTTTAAATCACTTAAATTACAGATGATAAGAAAAATATTTAAATTTACATGCAAACACACATATAAAAGAGACTAATGTTTTGATTAAAAATTCAGTTCATTCAAAACTCAGTTGATAAGGTTTTTACAGCAAAATGATCAAAATATCGGATCTTAGATCAAGAATTCAATCCTTCAATATTTAATTATAATTAATATGCATAGATGGTGCTACAATTTGGTTAAATGTGTAATCAAAATAAAACTTTCAATAAAATGTGCCTGAAGACTCTCAATGAAAATTGAATATTTTAAGCGTATACGCCTTGCAAGCGTCAATTTAATTTTGAACATTGCTCGAAATAAATCAAGGTGATTCTTTTCAAAACCATCACTCAATAAACAATAAAATTTATGAATGTGATTCGAAGTTTAAAGTATTTTCATCGACAATTGACTGAGATTGTGATGAATCACAAGAATGCAGAGCATTTCTGGTTTTAAATTATAATTTTTATGGAACAACGTTAATTCCTTAATTTTTCTATCAAACGCCGCAAAAAATGTATTAGCAAAGAAAAAATTAAAACCTAATCCCTAACATTTAGAACATTGTTTGGCTGCAATCGGCTAATAGAAGATACAATGATTTTTCAAAGAACTGGTTAAACTTTGTAAATTTTATGTTGAGTTTATTCTTATGAAATTGTTTACAACAATTTACAATAAGTTTCGTCCTTGTACAATATCAAAATAATTTTCAAAGAAACTGTTGGCGTGTCATTTTACTCAATTGACCCATGAATAGATTGACTCCACTTTTGTTATCACGAATAAAGAACATAAAAGGTCGATCAGCTATAAATGTGATGAGTGGCATTCTGAATGAAGAACAAGTTTTACCCTTTAGTTTTATGTTAACTACAGTTGCCGCTGTCGCTATAGTGCCTTTTTCAAATACTTCAATTACAGCTTTTTGTATTGATTGTGATATGTATAATGGTAAAGACTCTTCAGTAATTCTTGGAAATTCAGCATCAGCTTTTTTAAATGGTCGCGTCATTCCCATGTTTGGTAAAATTTTGTGTAGTTGATGGATATCTTCCAGTTTGAATTTCGGTATCGTTAAAGTATTCAAACGCGTCTTTTTCATAGACTCCATCAAACTGGAAAGCTCAGTTGAGTCCAAACTATCAATCATCTTTTTTAAATTGTTGTCCTGAGTTGGGAGGATCAATATCATGCTGATATTTCCAACATATGGAAGCTCGACAATCTGTTTGTGGAAAAGGCAAGGAAATGTTTACAAACTGTTAATATCTTATTCATAATTTTATTTATAAGACCAATGCATATTGCTTACCTTTAATTGTTTATCAAGTCGTTCAACATAGTTAAAGATTTCTCCGGACATGGTCATCATCTTGGTCTTGATTGTCGTTCCATCTGAATTGTTGAATATATCATCTTTCGTACGATCTTGAGAAAAAGACTTCAACCACTCCCCTTCGAAATAGATTGTGTTCACTAGAAACAGAACATCAAACGGACTTGGAGGCTCATTGAGAATAGAAGTGATCTTATTTTTTGTATTATTAGAAACCCAAGAATTTACTTTTTCCACTATTTTTCGGCCAAAAGTAAAATCCTCATTAAATGCTTCAGCAAAATAATTTGTCTTCAGACTTTGAACATAAGCTTTCTGAAATTTGTCATCTTTATTGGCCATAAGTAAATTACCAAACTTTAGAATGGATTCTTGCCTCGATCCAGCAGTTGCAGGTTTCAGATAGCTTTCAATAACCTGTCAAGAAAAAAAAGCCAAAAATTAATGAAAAAGTCACTCAAGTGGGATTTATATTAAAATGCAAACAAAAAATCAGTTATTCATTACCTGTTTGATTAATCCAGAAATATCTTCCGATTGGTCATTTATTTTATCCAAGTTGAGAACCTTTTTGATCTGTTGCTCTGTTTCACCAGCGGCTCCATCCAATACCATACAATAGGCAGTAATAACACTTAACGGTGATAAAAGTATATTTTTTGAATCACATTGAGAACTAGAACTTTGTTTTAAGAAATTCAAACCAAAATCAATACTGGACTGACTTAATTGGGACATGGTTAAAACAAATGAGAAAGTTTGCAATTAAAGATGAGATTCATTTGCGAGAATGAAGGGTGTTTATGATTTATAAGCTATAAAGCAAAATATTCTATTAAATATTCTAAATTCTAAATTTTGACTAAAGTTCAACTTCGTATTTTGATTTTTAAAGTGCTGACATCTATGTGAACTAAAATTAATTTTACAGTTAGCCCACACAAATGAAGCGCCTGAAGTGAAGGGCTTAAGAAGATCAAAATATACGGAATCAAACTGTACTGTCAAACCTCTGATATTGTGACGCATTCGAAATGTCACAGAGTCATGGTAATAAAATAAACGATTTAGATTTTTAATTAAATATCTTCATTAATGATTTAATTAGGTATATTATACGAATCACCCAATTAAACATCAAAAGTCGCTAAATTAAATTACAATCAATTTTTTTCAAATAAAATTCAAAAAAGCTATTTCACCGAATAATTGTGTAAAAATAACCAAAACGATAATCCCACGAAGTGACATTATTAGTAAGTTGACAGCAACAGCGAACCAGAAACACACTTCAAAACCAATATTTTTGTTTACTATCAAAGTTATGTGCATAACCTGAACATGATGAAATAGTAAATATGGATTTCTTGCGCATTTGAACTCTGTTGATGTGTAGAGACATAAGCACTGAATTCCATTTGTGCGATTCAAAACATTCTCTGATCATTAGTTTTTCGAGAAAATCGATTTTAAAGTTGAAACTTTTATACCTTTTGCCTTTGAAGTCTTTTGTACAATTTTGGAAGCTTTTTTCATGAAAGTCATTTTACTGATGTAACTTTTGTCGACAAGTGTATTATTTGTAATATTCATTTTGAGAAATGCAATTTTCTTTTCCTGTAATCAGTTCGATTTTCACTCAAAGCAGCCAAATTATTGTATGTGATGCCATTCTCGAAATATTGAGCCTCAAAGTTTTAAGGCCAATTGCCAAAATCAAGAAACTGGTTTTAGATTGATGCAAGTTTACAATTCAATGTGAAGCAACAGTTTTTACATTTTTCAAACAACAAATGAGAAACAAATAATAAGTTTCAGCTCTTTAACCCGCACGGTCACAGAATGCGATTGGTTTATCGGAGAATCGAACTAATCTGTTTGCAGAAAAAGAAAAGTTCTATTTCTCAAAATAAATCTGATTGTTCATCAAAATTAAATTCAGTAAAATGACTTTCATGAAAAAATCTTCTTCCATAATTGTAAAAAAGGTGATCGAAATTTCCACTTGTTTTTTAAACAAATTGAAACAAATGTGCATAAATGTGATAATAGTGTCTTTTCAGTAACAACCCAGAGAAGCTGTTTTGCATACATGTTTTTCAATCAACCAATGAATAGAGTGATTAATTTGGGGTTATCACGAATTAAGTACAGAAAAAGTCAATTAGTAATGTTAAGTTATTTCTCGATTCTAGCTCAATCCAATATTTAATATGCCATTTTAATATGATAGAAAACTGGAGAAGACAAACTTTGTAAATTTTAAGTTCAGTTTATTCTTATGAAATTGTTTACAACAATTTCTAATAAGTTTCGTACTTGTGCAATATCAAAAGAATTTTCAAAGAAACTGTTGGCGTGTCATGTTATTCAATTGACCCATGAATAGATTGACTCCACTTTTGTTATCACGAATAAAGAACATAAAAGGCCGATCGGCTATAAATTCGATGAGTGGTCTTTGGGGCGCAGAAGCCATCGTTCGCATGGGTCCAACCACAGTTGCCGCTGACGCTATAGTGCCTTTTTCAAATACTTCAATTACAGCTTTTTGTATTGATTTTGTTATGTATAATGGTCGAGGCTCCTCAATAATTCTTGGAAATTCAGCATTCATTTCGAATGGTCGAGTCATTCCCATTCTTGGTAAAATGTTGTGTAGTTCATGCTTATCTTCCAGTTTGAATTTCGGTATTGTTAAAGTATCCAAATTCGTCATACTCATAGACTCCATCAAACTGGAAAGCTCAGTTGAGTCCAAATTATCAATCACCTTTTTTAAATTGTTGTCCTCAGTTGGAAGGATCAATATCATGCTAATATTTCCAACATATGGAAGCTCGACAATCTGTTTGTGGAAAAGGCATGGAAATGTTTAAAAACTGTTAATATCTTATTTATAATTTTATTTATAAGGCTCAAGCACATTTCTTACCTTTAATTGTTTATCAAGTCGGTCAACATAGTTGAAGTCTTGGAATTTGAGGGTCATCATCTTGGTCTTGATTTTCGTTCCATCTGAATTGTTGAATATATCATCTCTTGTACGATGTTGAGGGAAAGGCTCCAACCATTTTCCTTCGAAATAGATTGTGTTCACTAGAAACAGAACATCAACTGGACTTGGAGGCTCATCGAGAATAGAAGTGATCTTATTTTTTGTATTTTTAGAAACCCACAAATTCACTTTTTCTACTATTTTTTGGCCCTCTTTGTAATCCTCATTAAAAGCGTCAGCGAAATAATTGGTCTTAAGACTTTGGACATAAGCTTCCTGAAATTTGTAATCTTTATTGGCCATAAGTAAATTACCAAACTTAAGAATGGGTTCTTGGCTCGATCTAGAAGTTGCAGGTATCCGATAGCTACCAAAATCCGTTAGAGAAAAAACTGATCTAGAATCTCGAATGGATTCTTGTGTCGGTCTATAAGTAGCAGGTTTCCGATAGTTTTCAATAAGCTGTAAAGAAAACAGGCCAAAAATCAATGAAAAAATCACTGGAGTGAGATTTTTATGTTAAATAGCAAACGAAAAAATCTGTTATTCATTACCTGTTTGATTAATCCAGAAATATCTTCCGATTGGCCATTTATTTTATCCAAGTTGAAAACCTTTTTGATCTGTTGCTCTGTTTCACCAGCGGCTCCATCCAATGCCATACAATAGGCAATGATAACACTTAACGGCGATAAAATTACATTTGTTGAATCACATTGCGAACTAGAATTTTGTTTCAAGAAATTCAAACCGAAATCAATACTAGACTGACTTAATTTAGACATGGTTAAATAAAAGATCAAGTTTGCAACTAAAGATGAGATTTATTTGCGAGTATGAAGGGTGTAAGAGAATAAAGGTATAAAGCAAAATATTCTATTAAATATTTCAAATTCCTAATTTTGACTAACAAATTGTAAGTTCAAAGAGTAATAGCAAGACAAAGAGAGAGAGAGAGGGCACGGCAATGAGAGCTATATGGATAAAAGAGATAAGAAGTTAAAAGGAGCAGGAAAAGACAAAGAGTAATAATGAACATTGCGAGCTACCTCTTTTTATACCCTTTCCTAAAGTTTAACTTCGTATTTTGATTTTTGGAGTGCTGACATCTATGTGAACTATTAATGAACTAATAAAATTAATTTAACAGTTAGTCCACTCTAATGACTCTCCCTGAAGTGAAGGGTAGAAAGGCTAAAGAAGATCAAAATAAACTGAATTGTCAAACCTCCGATAATTTCACTCTCTCAAAATGTCACAGAGTTATGTTAACAAATTATTTGTAGAGACATGAAAACTGAGTCCATTTGTTGATACAAAAAGTTTCCCTGATCGTTAGTTTTTCGAGGAAATAGATTTTAAGTTGAAACTTACAATTACTGTTAGATCGCTTTTTGTATAATTATGGAAGCAGTTTAATGAAACTCACTTTACTGATGCATCTTCTGATGACAAATGTATTATTTGTAATATTCATTTTGAGAAATGCAATTTTTCTTTTCCTGTAAAACAAATCAGTTCGATTTTCATGCAAAGCAGCCGCATTCTGTATCCGTACGAGTCAGATCATCGATTGAATACTTTTAAAAGTTTAACAACAGTTCTCTTGATTTTGCCCATTGTCTTAAAACTTTGAACATCAATATTCATTATTATTATAATATCATTATTATATGAATATTATACTTTTTTCATTACATTTACAAGCTTAACCAGAAAATTGGTTTACAGCATTTCTCGGTGAGTTTCATCGAGTTTTCACTACCTTTAGTCGCGTTTTCATTGGATTTAGTCAAACCGGTAGAGGACCAGTTTACTAAAGTTTTTTTGTTATTAGCTTCAGTCTGTTGTCTTAAGCTTTAGTCAAGTTTTCAAAGGATTTAGTCAAAGGGCTGGCTCGTGGGGGGGGGGGAATGTGGGTAGAATGGGACACTAAGAAAGACAGCACTAGTTCTCCAAGCCCAGTAAGTGGGACTCACAAATATTTTGCCGTTGATGCTAACCGAAATATTCCTTGTTTCTTTATTTGACCATCCAA